GATATGATCTAAAGGCGACTCTTCGACTCTTGTCAGCATTGAAGTAGTTACTGAAGAAATTTGGTGACCCTTTTCCCAAGTAAAACAGAAAAAGTTTGGGGTGTTAGAATGTACTGGGACATGGACCTAAGCCACTGTCTTTGCTGCAACCAAGAAGATAAACATCACTGACTAAATACCTGACCAGGAGATTCCCCATATCAGAAGCAACTGAGGCATAGCCTCTGGCATCCTGCTGGAAACCTGTGGTATCCTCAGTGACCCCTCGGCTCTCCCTGGAGCTTTCTACAGAGTCAGCCCTCCCTGTTCAAACACCTGGACCTTGCGACTCACCCTCCCCACGGCAGTCTGCTACAACCGTAAAAACCCTTCTACCCTTTTCCTTGTGGCTGCCATCCGTTCAGACCCAGCCGGCCTGAACTGTGTCTCGGCTTGAATAAAACCCTTTAACTGGACTTTTCTGGCTCTGAGTGCTTTCTTAGCCACTTTGGCTACTTAACACTTACCAACTCTGTGGCCCTGAACAAGGGCTCCTCTTCCTGTGCCTCAAAGTCCTCATCGCCCCAGTCCAGTTGGTTTTCCATCTCAGAAGGATCTAAAAGACTTTCAAAACCATGACACAGCCTGTGTCTCTCTTGGTTCACGACCATCCCAAGCTCCCAGGACCATCAGAAAGAAAGTGCAACCCCTCCACCTCAGACTGTTTAGAGCAGATGTAAGGCCAAGGCCACATGTGGGGGCCTTTTGGGATCAATGACAACTGCATATGTTTAAAAGGTGGCACCACGGCAGGTCGCCATTGCCAACCCCCTCACACTGAGCGTCGCCCATGAGTACCTACGATCTCAGATGCAGGGACCTAGGCTGCAGGATGTGATGAGTGCCCTGGACTGCAGGACTCAGTGGGCTGAGGGGCGAGGGCCCAGGGGACTTGCACTCACCTCAGCCTCGGCCTCAGCGCAGTTGCCACCATCGGATTCAGTGGCAGGAGTGGGGCAGGAGCGGCGGGTGAGGAGGGTGTCCCTGGTACTGGGGTTACTGTCCCAACCTTGACACCAGATACCCAGGCCGCGTACTTGGTTCCGCTCCCGTGGGGAGCGGTACACTGGCACCTTCTCCTTTCCATCTTGTGACCAGGAGACCCTGATCGGGTAATACAGAAACTGAGAGAAGAGGAAACGCCCACCAGAAGACTGATGGAAGTCCCTCCCTGCAGTACGGCCCCAAGGGAAACGCCTTTTCTGAATCTTTACTGACTCAGCCTTGTGATATTCCACACCTGACTTCTGGGTTATGTTGGTTGTACACTCCAAGATTAGGGTCCTGTACTTTCCGAGCTGTCTCCAGGTGTGTATTTTCGGGTTTATACCCCAAGAATACCTTGAGAATACTAAATCCACTCCATAGCCACCTGGGCGGACATCATTTCTTGGGCAAGGAAGGGTCTGGTGTGCCAGCTGGACCTTTGATTCAGGCCTTGGGGCCCGTGCCTACCTCAGGCTGACTGTGGTTAGGGACATTACCCTAGTCCCTAATTGTCTCTATCCTGCATCAATAGGACCCACAATGCAAATTAAATGTAATAAATAGCCCTGGCTGGTGTAGATCAGTGGATTGAGCTCGAGCCTGTGAAGCAAAGGGTCGCTGGTTCTGTTCCCAGTCAGGGTACATGCCTGGGTTGCAGGCCAGGTCCCCAGTAGGGGACTCATGAGAGGCAACCACACATTGATGTTTCCCTCCCTCTCTTTCTCCTTCCCTTCCCCTCTGTCTAAAAATAAATTAATTAATTAATTAATGAATTAATAATCTTTTAAAAATAAAATAAAATGCTATTAAAAAAAAAAAAGACCTGGGGAGTGGCGTTGCCTGTGGCGATCCATGGAGGCCAACCGGATTTGTTGGCTGCCTTCCGGCTGCTGTGCCCTGGGTTAAAAGCAGCAACTAAGAAACCACGAAACCATCTACTCGTCCAACCATGAAAGATCCAAGTCGCAGCAGTACTAGCCCAAGCCTCTTCGACGAAGATGTGATGATTAATGGTCATTCTCATGAAGACGGCAATCCATTTGCAGAGTACATGTGGATGGAAAATGAAGAGGAATTTAACAGACAACAGCAACCTGAATCCAAATGCAAAGGAGTTTGTTCCTGGGTGAACTACTGACATATTTGAGCAGACGGGGCCCTCTTTTGGTGGATGTAGCACAATCTCCACACTGCAAAGGCAGTATTAGAACACTTCATTGTAAAAGCTCTCTTGTCACTGTGTTATACTTAGGCATTGCCCAAATTTTGTTAGTCTTGCATGCTTAATACAAGTGCTGAGACTGTTATTAAGTAAAAAAGCTGTCAAACATTTACTGAAAAACAGAATTGGCCCCATGGCTTGATGTGGAGACAGCAAGGAAAGAAGCATCAGTCAAGTTGTGACAAAGCACCAGGTTAAATGACCTTTAAATTACTGAATTGCCTTTTTTGGAGACTAAACTGGTCCCTTAGGATTAACTAACACTTGTTATTGTTTAAGCTTTTTTTTAAGTGAGTAAATTTAAATTAAGTTCTAGTTGCTAAGCAAATTTCTCAGTTCAGACTCAAATTTGTATCTGTCCCAATCAAAAAGAATCCTCTGAGGAGGGTTGTGAATTTGAAATAATTCATTGTAGACTCATCTGATCACTGAGGTAGTGATCTGATGAGAACTGGTATTAGCTTTGGTGGTATGTTATCACGTCAAAAATATATCTTAGGAAATAGGCAATTTGAGAGCTGCATCTCCTATAATTCTCACTGTAGCTATGCCTTTGCAGAGTAACATTTGACTGAGCTTAATCCAAGTGAGCAAAGAAATTGTAACATACGATCTGAGTGGGGCTTTTCCTTGCTTTGTGAACCATCATTACAATAGTTTGCAGCACAACTTTTCCTTTAACTAAACTAGAACAGTTTTGGCTTCTTAAACTTCATGTTTGGGTAGGTTAAGCTGCCACACGTGTTCAGGACGAATAGTGTTTAAGTTGAAAATATTGTAAAAAATTATATTTTTTCAAAAATATTTTTAAAAATAAAAAAAAGACCCATTCGGTGGCCAGTGCTGCCCTGAGTCTAGATTATACAATACATAACCCAAACAGTATTATTTAAAAAAAACCTCTATTTTTAGTCATACATTTATAAGCATAAGTCGACCAATTAGGTAAAACTTGCCCCAAAGTGCTGTTTTCTGGAACCAAGTCTTTTTCCCCCATTCTATGAAAGAGCTCTATAATGTCACAAAAGTCAGAAGGTACCTTAATCAAACAAGAAGGCATCTTTTTACCAGACAGAGGTCTATGAACCAGAATGCATCTTAATTACGGACGATCTAAATTGTAACCTGGGATTGTAAACAGAACCAAAAAGCATAGCATTTCAATCAAGTGAGAAAATGACAGGAAGTGCTGAGAATCAGAGGAGAGTCCCCAAGTGAAATCACTTGGCAGGTGCTAGTGATACGCACCCTGGGGACCTCCGGTCCAGGCAGGCAACAGGACTCCTCACCAAACATGCAGAGTTATCGGATAATCCAAAAGTCTGTCTAAAAGGAGCCCCCAAATATGAAACCAGAAAAGCCAGTGTTTGGGTTTCCTGTCACCTACAGCACACAGAAGCACAGACAGGGACTGAACCTCTAAGGGTGCTTTATTCAGAAGGCCAGTGATCTGAGAACACAGGATATTCACACCATAACAGAAAGTCTTTCCTTTCAAGCCAGACTTTTTTTTTTATAAGGGAGCAAAATGTAGGTAAGGGACTTGGACTTCAAGGGGGGAAAAAGTGTAGGTAAGGGGTTTGGAATTCAGGAAAGAAGTTAATCAGATAAAAGCTGCAGTCTGGCAGTTTCCCTAACATTCTTTCATCAGCTGACCAGTGATTTTCTTTATCTGTATCCTGTGCTGCAGACTGTCTGTCTCTCCCCGGAACACAACGGTCTGGATGCCACCTTCATAGCATATGGTCTCTTCTGGAGCACAAAGGCCAATTTCTTGTCTCCTGGAGTCAGTTTGGGCCATACCTGCAGCCCCTAAAACAGTAACTTTTTACATGCATTAACTAATAGGCTTATAACTATTAACTTAAACTAAAATTTTCCAACTCTTGAGGGCCCCATCAGTTTAGTTGGTTAGAGGGTCAACCCTAACACAAAGCTTTTGGGTTCTGATGAGGACACATATAAGAATTAACCAATGAATACATACATAAGTAGAACAACAAGGAAATGTTTCTCTCTTTCTCCCCTTCTCGCTTTCTTAAAATAAATTAAATTTTCAAAAATTATAGGTATGCATACATACTATAAAAATTTTTAAATCAATAGAAATTCTGTAAGATATCTTTTCCTGTTTAAAAATTTAACATGCCTTTTTTTTCTAGTTTCTCATTGCACTAGATGTCGAAGTCTCTGTCTCAAATCATTTTTCAAATCTGAGCCGGCTGGTCACTGCAGGTTTGGGAACATTCTAAAGTTTATCACACCCTTGATCCAAGACATCATTCCCTCAGGTTACACAGAGTCTCTTTTGAAATGCTGAACACATTCCAGATATGCCTACCAGCCATTTAACTAAGGTGATCTCAGCTAACAAAGGTTACAGACTAAATGGATGCCACATGTCAAGACACACTAATACTCCATGAAAAGGATGAAACTATATCCAGGTAGTGGACACAGTCGGCACAGGAAGATGGCCTACCAACAAATTTAGATGAAATTTTCACATCAGCATCTCAACCCAGACAATGAACCAAAAACTAATAATAGTTGAACCTGCAGATGTTGCCCCAAAAGCACCAAGGACAAAAAGAGTGAATGCACATGCCCATGGAAAAAATTACAGAGACAAGTTATTTTTCTTCATAGACCTTATTACTTCTTTTTACTTTTTATATTTTATTGATTATGCTGTTACAGTAGTCCTAATTTTTCCCCCTTTGCCCCTCTCCACCCAGGACCCACACCTCCATTAGGCAGTCCCCCAACCATTGTTCATATCCATGGGTCATACATATAAGCTCTTTGGCTACTTCATTTCCTATACTGTACTTTATATTCCAATGGCTATTCTGTCACTACCTATGTGCACTTCTTAATATCCTCACCTCTTTACCCATTCCCCCTCACCCCACCTTCAATATGGCTACCATCAAAACATTCTCCATATCCATGATTTGGTATCTATTCTTCTTATTGCTTAGTTTGTTTTTTAGATTCAATTGTTGATATTGCCTTTTTTTTGCCATTTATTGTTTATATTTTTTATTTTCTTTTTCTTAAATAAGTCCCCTTAACATTTCACATAATAATGGTTTGGTGATCATGAGCTCCTTTAGTTTTTTCTTGTCTGGGAAGTCCTTTATCTCTCCTTCTTGGATTCCAAATGATATCTTTGCTGGGTAGAACAATCTTGGCCGTAGGTCCCTGCTTCTCATGACTTTCAGTACTTCTTGCCAATCCCTTCCAGCCTGCAAAGTTTCTTTTGAAAAATTAGCTGACAGTCTTATGGAAATTCCCCTGTAGGTAACTAACTTCTTTTCTTACACTGCTTTTAAGACTCTCTCTTTATCTTTCACCTTTGGCATTTTATTTTTTTCTTCTTGACCTTAACATTCCTCTTTTGTGAAGTGATCTGCATTCTTTACTCTGGATTATGGACTATAATAGAAACTGAATGACATAATATATTATTGCCTGAATCTTAAACTTCCATTTCCATCCCCCCCTTTTTGAAAGATTTTATTTATTTAAGAGAGAGTAAGGGAAGGAGAAAGAGAGGGAAAGAAACAATGATGTGCAAGAGAGACACTGATAGGTGGCCTCTTGCTGCCCCAACTGGGGACCTGGCCCACAACCCAGGCATGTATCCTGACTGGGAATCAAACTCATAACCTTCCAGTTCACAGGCTGGCACTCAATCCACTATGCTATAGCAGGCAGGGTTAACCTTTGGTGTTTTAATACTGATGTGTTTTCGAATGGGCCTTTTTGCACCTATCTTATTTGGGACTCTCTGTGCTTCCTGGACTTGCATGTCTATTTGCTTCACAAAATTAGAGAAGTTATCTATCACTATTTTTTAAAATAGATTTCCAACTACTTGTTCTTTCTCTTTTCCTTCTAGCACCCTATGATGTGAATGTTGGATCTCTTGAAGTTGTCCCATAGGCTTCCATTCTGGAATCCATAACTCTTTAATAGAAATAATCCTCTAGTCCCCATGCAGAAAATGTCACTACATTGAGAAGTAAAATGATCATTTCCCTGCAAAGTGGAGAAATACAACAACCCTAAACATCTTTCTTACATTCACATGCCCACTTTCCAAACCTTCACAGATGGCAGTATGAAAGCCATTGGTACAAAATGTAAATTTTGTACATAACCACTATTTCCAAGTACATGCTAATATTCACAAAAGCTAAAAATACATCTTGTCTCAGAAAATTCAGTGAGAAATTTCATGTGCGAATACAATTCTTTTTGGCCCTGGCCAGTGTGACTCAGTGGACTGAGTGCCAGTATGCAAACTGAAAGGTCATTGTTCAATTCCCAGTGAGGGAATATGGCCAGGTTGCAGGCCAGGTCCCCATTTGTAAGAGGGCAAGAAGCAATTGGTTGATGTTTATCTCACATGAATGTTTTTCTCCCTGTCTCTCTGCCTTCCTTCCCTTCTCTCTAAAAAGTAAATCAAATTTTAAATAACAGAATTGTCTTCAGCAGTTAGTAAACAAATACTGACACTGTCTGCTGGTGGACACTGCTAAGTAGCATCACTAAATTCTCCCTCCTGCAGTCTTCAAATCTAAGTCAGAGCCTCCGTAACAGCCCAACAGCTGAAGAAACACTTTATTGGAGTTTTGAGGTTTGAAACGTGATAAGGGACTAAGGAGCCATGGTGAGCAATGGCGAACACTCACAGACTATGTGATGAGAGATCCAAACACCAAGTGCTACAGAAGCTTGGAGTCTGTCACACATGTGGAGATGGATGCAGCCATGAACACGTGGCCCTATGAGGTGAGAGGAAGAGTTGTGGAACCAGAGTCTTTCTCAAGGGAAAGTTCCCTAGCTCAGTGGGTTGAGCTCTGGTGTGGGAATCCAAATATTGCGGTTGGCTTCCTGTCAGGACCCATCTGGTTGTGGGCCAAATCCCCAGCTGGGGGCATATGAGAGGCAACAGAAGCATGTTTTCTCCCCCTCTCTCCCTATCTTATGCTCTTTAAAAATAAATAAGTGAAAACTTTTTAAAAGAGGATTTTCACAGACCTGATGCCCCCTTAACTATGAAGTCCATTGTCAATGATATCAAAGAAGACATTGAAAAAATCACCTAACAGATCACTTTTGAACAATGTGAAAATTTGAAGTTACTGAAGTCGTAACTAACAGAGGCGGTAACAAAACTAGTCTTTGCTTTTATAACCTTTGATGACCGAGCCTGTGTAGACAAGGTCGTCATTTAGAAGTACTATATTGTGAATTGTCACAACTGTGAACTGATAAAAGCCCCATCTAAGCAAGAGACGGCTAGTGCTTTCTCCAGCCCTAGATGGAGAAGTGGTTCTGGAAACTTCAGAGGTGGTCTTGTGGGTGGTTTTGGTGCAAATGACAACATTGGTCATGGAGAAAACTATAGTGGTCAAGGTAGCTTTGGTGGCTGCTATGGTGGTGGTGGTGAATATGGTGCCAGTGGTGATGGCTATAATGGATTTGGTGATGATGGGAGTTTGAAGGTGGTAGAAGATACAATGATTTTTGGCAATTACAACAACCGATCTTCAAATTTTGGACCCATGAAAGGAGGAGTCTTTGGAGGCAGCAGTTCTTGCTCCTCTGCTGATGGAGGCCAACATTTGGCCAATCCAGGAATCCAAGGCAGGGAAGACCACGGCACAGGTTGTTAAGATAAGAACTGCCCAGAAACAAAGCTTAGCAGGATGGGAGAGCCAGGGAAGCTACAGGTTACCACAGATCTGTGACGCCAGGCAAGTACTGTGGTGGCAGAGTCAGGCTGCTACAAGAAGACATTTTAGACAAATCTCATGTGAATGGGCAGACAACTCAAGGACCGGGTTTGTGGGTAAATTCAGAACAGAATATTTTAGTTCCTCTTCTGTAGGAAGTGTTAAGTGCTCCAAGAAAGTATTTTACTATCATTTTTTGATAGTAACATGCTGCTGAATGCCAAATAAAATGGTCTGACACTGAATAAATGTTTTTCAAAAACTATTTCTTTGATTATTTATTTCTAGAGGGGAAATGGAGGGAGGAAAAAAGGGAGAGAACCTTGACCAATGTGGATCAGAGGGAGGAGTTCAATCCGTAATCAAAAGGATGCAAATTTGAATGTGGGTCAGGGCACATACCTGCCTTATGTGTCACCCCATCTATGTGCATGTGCAGGGAACAAGCGATTTCCAAAATTTCCTAAACTTACAAGAAATTAATTTTTGTGATTTCTCTCATAACATGAAAAGCATAGCTACTGGTAAAAGATTTCCCACACTCAAAGCACTGAAAACACATTTCTACAGTGTAAACTCTCTCATAATAATGGAAATCACTGATGCACAGAAAAGACTCCCCACATTCACTGCAGGCATAATCCCATTCTCCAGGGTGGACTGATGGCAAAGGAGGTGACTGCAATGGAAAAGGGATTTCCTACATTCACTGCACTCAGAAAGCCTATCTCCTTTGTGAACTCTCTGATATCAGAGCACAGATCATTACAAAAATGTCCTGATTTCACTGCCCTTAAAAGGCCTACATCCATTGTGAGTAATTCAAAGATGAAAAAGGCAGTGCTACTCGTGCACATTTTCCCACGTTTACTGCACAAATATGGCTTTTCTACAGAATGAACTTGATAGTGTTGATGAAGGGCAGATCTTTTGTTTGTAAAGATTTTATTTATTTTTAGATGGGAAGAGAGAGGGTGAGAGGGAAACATCAGTGTGTGGTTGCCTCTCATGCACCCCCAACTGGGGACCTGACCTGTACCCCAGGCATGTGCCCTGACTGGGAATAGAACCAGCAATACCCTTTGCTTTGCAGGTGGCATTCAGTCCACTCAGCTACACCAGCCAGGGCAAAGAGCAAATCTTTGTATAACGCATTTCCCACATTCACTGCACTCATTAGGGCTTTCTCCAGTGTGAACCTCTGATGATCAATCATGAAGGGATGGGCTTGTGGTTAAGTATTTCCAACCTTCACTGAACACAAAACTCTGTCTTTAGCTCTGGCTGGTGTAGCTCAGTGGATTGAGTGCAGGCCTGCAAACCAAAAGGTTGCTGGTTCGATTCCCAGTCAGGGCACATGCCTGGGAATCGGGCTGCAGACCAAGTCCCTAGTTGGGGGTGAAGAAAAGGCAACCACACATTGATATTTCACTCCCTTTCTCCCTCCCTTCCCTCTATAAAAAAATAAGTAAAATCTTAAAGACAAAACAAAACACTGTATTTAATTTGTGTGGACACAGCCGATAACTTTCTTGCATTCTCTGGGGGTGTAATAATACTTAGTATTTTGAAAAGTCATTCTAAGTTAGAGATTTCCTTTGCCCTTTAGCTGGTATGAGCAGCCAGTTGCTTGAGATGTCCTGAGTTAATGAGGAGTGTTTTCCAATGTGACTGGAGGTACAAGGATTCCATGAAACATGGAGATGCATGGAAATTGCAGCTCTTTGCAAGGGAGACCCTGACCACACTGCTTGTGAAACAGTTCTTTGATGTGTCCCCCTTTTCTGGTGCTAGTGGCATAGCGCATTAGGATAAAATGGTTTTGCATGTGCCCCACGCCTCAGCCGTTTTGGCTTAACTTCTGTTCCCTGCTGGTCAAAGAAAGGAAAATGTCTCTCAAGATCAGTCCACAACTCTCACAGTGGGGGCCCTTCTGGGAAGACAAAGCTGAGTTGAGAGTCTGTGAGACTCATAGAAACACGCTGTTCAGTGGGTCCCAACATGCCCTTGTTCCACAGCAGCAACATGAATAAAAACAAATGCTGGTAAGATATGGTGACTCGCGGTGAGGTTTTGGGTTTTTTAAAGATTTTATTTATTGATTTTTAGAGAGGGGAAGGGAGGAAGAGAGAGAAGGAAAGAAACATCAATGTGTGGTTGCCTCTCGCGCGACCCCCACAGGGGACTTGGCCTACAATCCCTGACCGGGAATCAAACTGGTGACCCTTTGTTTCATAGACCAACATTCAATCCACTGAGCCACAGGAGCCAGGGCATCAGGGTGAGTTTTTAAAAAATGACTTATTTATTTTTAGAGAGGGAAAGGTCAGGAGAGAAACATCAGTGTTCAAGAGAAACATCAAACTGATGTCTCTCCAGCACCCCCAGTTGCAGAGCCAGTCAGCAACACGGGCATGTCCCCCAACAGGGAAATGAACCAGCAACCTTTCGGTTCACAGGGCTTCATTCAGTCCAGTGGGCCACACCAGCCAGCGCAGGGCATTTTCTCATCACAGATGCTCATCTCTCACATCAAAGCATAATTCTATGTGACAGTTTTCCAGAAACTGACGTAGACTGTGAAAAAGTGGGGGCTGTGCCTTACTACGGCAGCAATGAATGTAAATAATGGGCACCTCATAAAACAAAGGACACTAGGACAGGACGGGACACAAGGAAGAGAAGCAGGGTTCGGAAGTTGTCCCTCTGATATAGCTGCCTGCCAAACCCTTCCTGCTGGTGCTGCCAGCTTTTGTAGAGGAATGTGAATGTGCCTCAAACCGTGATCATCAACAGCAGCAGAGCACATGCTATGCAAGGTTCGTATAGAAACACGAGCAACACTTCACGGTGAAACAGGCGTTGACGGAAGTTGGAGAGCACAGCAAATAGACTCCTCAGAGGAATGGTTGTGCTGTAGAGGTCAGAGAGCCTGAGTTTAGCCCTGGTTGGGTATCAGATTAGAAATGATACCTATTAAAACAACCAGCCCTGGCTGGTATGGCTCAGTGGATTGAGTGCCGGCCTGCAAACCAAAGGGCTGCCAGATCGATTCCCACTTGGGGCATATGCCTGGGTTGTGGGCCAGGTCCCCAGTAGGGAGGTACGCTAGGGGCAGCCACACATTGATGTTTCTCTTCCTCTCTTAAAAAAAAAAAAAAAAAAAGCAGCCAAATTTGCAAAGTGCCAACACTGGGAAGGGACCAAAAGATTAGTATGTGGCCACCAACAATGGTGACAAAATTAGAAGTTAAAGAAAACATGTTCCTTATCATGTTTTAAAAAGCCCTTGCATCTAATGCTCCCCAAGCGCCATTCACAAACACCAGACCTTCTGTGGGCTCATCCTGTGATGACTGGACTCAGGTTCCTCTTGTGATACACACAGGACTCTTAAAATTCCCTCCCAGTTAAGCAATTACATGAAACGCTGATGATTCAACTCCAAAGAGAAGTCAAAACAGATGAAAATCCACTACTGTTGTAGCATAACTTAGCAGAAATAAACCAAAGCAAAACAATCTATATTAGTGGTGAATAATGTTGGCAGAATAAAACATACAGATTTACAACTGCCTTCCAAAATAATTAGAAAATTATCCATCATAAGGAACATCCCTGGAGAAATGGGGAAAATGCTTAGGAAACCAGTTTCTTCAAACAGCCATAAGTACAGTATAAAAGAACTACACAGAAGGAATTGCAGAGGAGACTGTCTTAGCAAAGATGGTTCGATTCAAAATTAAGGATGAATTTCCATCGACCCACTGCACATGTTACCGTGGACTCTAGTGATCTGGTCTGTGAATCACCATGGAAACCATGGTCTCTGAGAACTTCAGGATTTTCAGTAATGTCTGCAACTTCCCAAAAATTTCATCTCAAAAGAACCTGTAGAGTTCTCAGCATGGATATCAAGAGAACTCCCCTCGGCTACAACATCATGAATGAATAACACCAGTATCTCCCCAGCAATCTTTGCCATCAAAAACTTCTAAACAGATCGCTAAATATTTGGACAACTGCTGCCCTGCCCACTGAGGACTCTAAAATCTTCAGCAATCTGACCTCCCCTAATGGGAGAGCAAGAAGAATGACAACTGAAATTTGTTTTCAGTTGAAAACACATCACCTACCAGGAACTCTTCTATCCACAATGAGATAAAACTACTTCTTGTCCTGGCTGGTATGGATCAGTGCATTGAGCATAAATCTGAGTCCTGGCACATGCATGGGTTGTGGGCCAGATCACCAGGTGGGGGTGTGCAAGAGGCAACCAATTGATAATTGTCTTGCATATCATGTTTCTTCCTCCCTTCACCTCCCTCTAAAAATATATAAAATATCTTTAAAAACATTTATAGAAACAAATAGGTTGAAAATAAAAAGATATAAAAACTTTCCATACAGATAAAAACAAAAAGAGCAGGAGTAGCTAAAATACTACATGACAAAAAGAAACCTCAAACTGTTACAAGACGAAAATGTGATCATAAAGTGAAAAAGAAGTTAATTCAGCAAAAGGATGACAATTTTAATTACTATTCATCCAACCACAGACACCTAAGTATTTTTGGCAAAACTATACAATCTAAATCCAGAAAATGCAACACAATATTAAACAACTTACACATTCCCCTTTCAACAATGGGTAGATGTAACTGATTGAAAGCAATAAAGAACTAATGAGACATCTGGTCAAGATGGAGTCATAGGTAGACATGCCTCACTTCCCAGCCAACCACAAAGAAAATCACAACTATATCTCAAAACAAATAAAAACTTCAACTGTCAGGAAATTGAGCTGTAATGAAGTATGATAATCAAGGATTTAAAGAAGTCACATTCGTCCCAACAGGTGCCTCTTACAGGGATTCAAAGCAGTGCCACCTAATACACAGAAACACACACAGGGAGGCTGCAAAATTGAGGACAGACAAAGAATTATGGACCAAGTGAAAGAACAGAACAAACCCCAGAAAAAAACTAAATGAAATGGAAATAACCAACCTGTCAGACGCAGAGTTCAGTACATTGCTAATCAGGATGCTAAAGAACTCATCGAGTACAGCAACAACATAAAGGAAGAGATGATGGCTACACTAAGTGAAATAAAAATCAACAGGAAACCAGCAGCGCAGGAAAGAGAGCCGGGATTCAAGTCAAGGATTTGGACACGAGGAAGAATAATAGGGATGCCCAAAGGAGAAGAGAAAGAGCAAGACAGTGAAAAATTATTTGAGATCTTCCACAGGAGGCCTACACACCACTGCAGCCATGTCTCTAGTGATTTCTGAGAAATTCCAACACAATTTGTGAGTACTCAACACCTATATTGATGCACAATGGAAAACAGCCTTTGCCATCACTGCAATTAAGGCTGTGGGGTGAAGATATGCTCCTGTGAGGTTGAGGAAAGCAGACATCAACCTCCCCATGAGGGCAGGAGAGTTCACAGAGGATGAGGTAGAACAGGTGATTACCATTATGCAGAACCCACCTTAGTACAAGATTCCAGACTGGTTCTTGAACAGACAGAAGGATGTGAAGGACCGGCCAATGGTCTGGACAATAAGCTTCATGAAGACCCAGAGCAGCTGAGAAAATTCAGCCCACAGAGGGCTGCGCTACTTCTGGGATCTTTGTGTTTGAGATCAGCACACCAAGACCACAGGCTGCCGGGGTTGTACTGTGGGTGTGTTCAAGAAGAAATCAATCTGTAGGCTTTGACTATTAATTAATAGTTCCCACATACACGCACACACAAGTGAAAATTTATCTGAAAAGATAATTAAAGAAAATGTCCTCAGTTTGGTGGAAGAAATAGCCATACAAGCCCAGGAAGCACACAGAGTCCCAAACAAGTTTGACCCACAGAAGACCACACCAAGACATATTATAATTAGAATGCCAAAAGTTAAAAAGTTAAAGAGAGACGCTTAAAAGCAGCACAGAAAAGCATTACCTTCAAAGGAGTGCCCCAAAACAGGCAATCAGCTGATTTCTGAGAACAAACTTTGCAGGCAAGAAGAGACTGGCAAAGAGTATTCAAAGTGATGAAAAGCAGGGACCTACAAACTAGATTAGTCTATCCAGCACAGCTATCATTTAAATAGAAGGACTGACAAAGTGCTTCCCAGAGAGTGTAAAGCTAAAGGAGTTCAGCATTATTAAGCACATATTACACGAAGTGTTAAAGGGACTTATTTAAGAAAAAGATCAGCCCTGGCTGGTATAGCTCAGTGGACTGAGCATGGGCCTGTGAAGCAAAGGGTCACAGGTTCAATTCCCAGTCAGGGCACATGCCTGGGTTGCAGGTCCCCAGTAGGGAACATATGAAAGCCAACCACACATTGATGTTTCTCTCCCGCTCTTTCTCCTTTCCTTCCCCTCTCTCTAAAAATAAATAAGTAAAATATTAAAAAAGAAGAAGATTAAAACTATGAACATTAAAAAGGCAACAAATTCAGAACTATCAACAATTGAATCTAAAACAAAACAAAGCAAAAAAAAACATAGGAAACAACCAGAGCAAGAACAAAATCATAGGTATGGAAATAACTTGTAGGGTTATCAGTTGGGAGGGAGAAGGGGAAAATATGCAGTGATTAAAAAACAAAAATGATAGATACAAAATAGACAGGGGGAGGTTAAAAATAGTATAGAACATGGGGAAGCCAAAGAACTTATATGCATGACCCATGGACATGAAATGATTGGGCGGGGAAATTGCGGGGTGGAAGGTACAGGATGCAATGGGACAAAGGTAAAATAATTGGAACGACTGTAATGAAATAATCAATAAAATATATGTAAAAAAATAAAAAGATTCAAACTTTCTGTAGGATTTAGTGACACACCAAGACACACTTGAAAAACACAATAAAAAGCTGTAAAATACAAGCAGCAATATAAACAAGCATGTGAATAAACTTAAAACTAGGGGCTGCAGATGATCTTAGAGTTTAATAGGAGACTGAACTGTGCCCGCAAATGACCTGACACATGACATCTGCTTAGGGGACACAGCTGTGCCCATGGTTATTGTTCCCTTGAACATGACCTACACAATTTTTCTTGTATATAATACATCCTAAAAAGTATACCTGTATCTCTCCAAATAACTGGGAAAATCAGTGGGACTTGTGACTAGTGATAGGTTACCATGGAAATGCAATGACATCAAAATAATAATAAATGCTCAAGTCCCAGGTAACTTACAAGGGCTGCTGAGGGCTGCTCCATGTGGAAAATGGATAATCAGAAACACTTAGAAAGGCTTTAGAGATTCGGCACTAATCCAATTCATTCTACTGACAGTAATGAGGAAACAGCAAAGGGAAAGAGGTCAATTTTCAGACAGTGTCCATGCATGCCACCAGGTGACTTCAGATGGATTGTGTTGTTAGGAACATATCTTAAGATCAGACTGCAAACATCACCAAGAATGCTGCACACTCGTCCTGTTCTCAGGAAATGCAACGAGCCATAACAATGCTAATAAGGTCGTGTAGACACAGACCCAACCTGATTTGGCCGACTGGCCTGTCTTGAGCCATCAGGAGACGAATCTCACTTTGTTCAGAAGGACTTGCATCTAACAAAGTATCTCTGAGGTAGACAGCAGGAGGGTGGAAAGGGGAATGTCATTGCTGAAAACGGTCAGGGCTGCAGGAAAAACACGGAGAGCCTCAATTCCTCATCCAGCCAGTACTTGACAGAGTAGCAGGGGTGCCCAACCTTTTGGCGCCTCTGTTCTAAACTGGAAGAAGAGTTGTCTTGGGCCACACATTAAATACACTATAACACGTAATCACAAAAAAGAAATCTCATAATGTTTTAAATAAATGTATGACTGTGTTGACCCACATTCATAGCCATCCTGGGCTACATGCAGCCTGGGGCCACAGGCTGGACACCCATGTAGTACAGGATCTAAAGGACAGTTTCCTATATGAAGAATAAATGAGCACTCCACTGAGTAGATAACAGTACAATAGGTCTCCAGCGTCACACAGGTCTCTATCATATCAACCTGTCCTCGATATTGCAGAGTACCTATCAGCAACATTTACAAAAGAATACTGGAAGTGTCGGAGTGGATAATATTCACCAGTGTATAATATCCTAACCTGCTATGCAAAAGACAAGTAAATGTGCAGAAAGAGCCAGCCAAGAATCACTTGGGCCTCATTAGTGCTGACCTGTGTGTACTAAGCTCAGAAAGGAGGCAGACAAAACACAGCTAAGACTCAAAGTCGTTTCCCCTGGAGAGACAACTGGAAGTGCCCCATAGGGTTCCCATGAAGAGTGTGATGCAGATGTTAAGCACCCTGAGACACCAGTAAAATGCAGAAAACTTACAATAATGAAAACAGTAGCTAGCTGAGTTTCTCTTGTCCCTGTCTTCCTGCCTTGTGCTGAGGGCCTACTATGCTGTGGTAGATTGTCCACAGCCCTGGAGCCAGACTCACTTGTTCAAATCCAGCCACTTGAATCTGACAATTGTCTGCTCTGTGACCTTGGAAAAACCCCTTCCTCTTCTCCATCCTATTTCTCCCAAAAGTACAGTAACAGTAATTCCCAGGGTGCTGTAAGGATTAAAAGAATAATAATGATCAAAATGCAAGGCCTGGAAAATGTGCAACCAGGGATGAAGGATGCTCTTTCTTAAAAATATTTTGTTCTCTGGCTATTAGAAAGGGTAAGGAAGGGAGAAAGAGAGGGAGAGATATCTCCAAGTGCAAAAACATTAACTGCTCGTCTCTCCCACTCCCCTAACTTGGGAACTGGACCAAAACAGGCATGTGCCCTGACCAGGAACCGAACACACACCTTTTGGTTTGTGGGACAACTTTCAAACCATTGTGCCACTCAACCCAGGGCAAGGGTGCTTTTTACCCCTATTTACACAGGAAAATACTGAGACCTATAGGGTGAATCACTTTCCTGTAACCTTATGAATGATCAGTATTCTAAGATTTAAATCCAGTTGCACTGCCAATATATGGGGAGTCTAATCACTGTTTTCTTGTCTTTGGCTTCTGGGAGAACTTTCAGGCTCAACAAATACCCACTGGTCCTCATACCACCTGGTGTACGTTCAAGTCCTGTTGCAGCACATCAACCCCAGATGAAAGACCACAGAAAGGGCTGAAAAACTAAAAAGCAAAAATTATTATATTAATGACTGAATTTACAAAAGCAAAGAAGTGTGTTAATAATGCAGATTACCCTAAAATATATATGTATGTACCTACACATTCTGTATAGCAAAAATATCCAAATAATTTGATTTGTTTTCCACTACTAAAAACAATTTTCCATAAAAATAATTATTCCATGAAACAAAAATTATTTGTTTTTTAAGGAGTGAAGATGGGTGACGTTACAACATAGATCTTTGTTGTTTCATTCCCCTATTTTCTAAGGAGAGTAGCCCTAAATTATAAAACAATAGGTGAAGTATGTGAGTACAGAATATACTAAAAACAAATCCCCATAACATACACTCCTGAAAAATGCTCACCAGTCCTTAGATAAGTACCACTAGAATAATAAAAAGAGCATGACAAATATATAAAAAGAGCTATAAGTATAAAAATTAAACAAATCAACATTTTGTTAGAGTGGGGGAATGCAACCCTCATACATATAACTATGAATGCATAAATGCAACATTAGTTTAGACCGTATCTGTTACTTCAAAATTTAAATATGAAATTTCTGAGACATCTCCACACTGAGCATATAAAATTAAACTCAGACATCTTCAGAAAGTTTTTTTCAGTATCATTACATCAAAAAAAATTTCCTACAATCTAACCTTTTGATGTTGGAGACCTCTCCAATGTCAAAAGGCTAAAGACTTATGGCTAAGATTTCCCATGTTCACTTCATGCTTGAATCCTTTACCAGTGTGAACTACATTGACATGCTTATGGAAACAAGGTGAAAGAATTCCCACATTTCATGTTATCATAAGGTCTATCTCGTCTGTCAACTCTCTGATAAGAAATAAAAAACATTTCCCCACACCCCCCTTACTTACAAGGGTATTCAGTAGAGTGAAACTGGGAATATAATGGGAGATTGTGCTATAGAAAAAATTCTCATATTTCTTGTATATAAAAATGTTTCTCCTGTGTAACTTCTCAGAAGATAACAAAGGCAACGGATAGATAATAAAGCATTTCCCAAATTACCTTAACTTACAGGGACTTAGACCTTGTGAATTCTCTAATGATAATAAAGGGAATGGCTATAGTTTAAACACGTCTCGTATTCACGTCACTCAAGTTGCATTTCAACAGTATAAACTCTATCACACTAGTAGAAGTCAATGATACAAGAAAAACATTTTTCAAATTCACTGCAGGCATAAGGCCATTCTGAAGGGTTACTTGGGGACTACCCGAGGGGACTACTACAAAAAAAGGAATTCCCACTTTCACTGCATTCATGAGGCCTTTCTCCAATGTGAAGTCTTTCAGGAAAATGAAGGTTACCGATAAAACAATTCTCACATTCCTTGCAGCCATCAAACTTTGCTCATGTGTGTCGTCTCTGGTAACATCGATAGTCAATGCAACAGCTGAAAGATTCCCCACATTCACCACTCATTAGCGTTTCTTTGGTGTGAACTCTGTGATGACAATTGAGGTAACTGGTACACATAGAGGATTTCCCCATTTACTGAACTCGCAAGTACTTTACCCAGTGTGAACGCTAATGAAAATGGAGGGCAGACTTACAGGTACAAGATTTCCCATGTTCACTGCACTCGTAAGGCCTCTCTCTAGTGTGTACTTTCTGATGATTACGGAGGATACAGCTATGGGTAAAAGATTTCCCACATTCCCCACACACATAAGGCCTTTGTCCAGTGTGAACTATGTAATGATACCGGAGGCCACAGCTACTTATAAAAGATTTCCCACATTCACCACACACATAAGGCCTCTCTCCAGTGTGAACTCTCTGATGTTTACGGAGGTCGGAGCTCCTGGCATGAGATTTCCCACATTCACCACACACGTAAGGCCTTTCTCCAGTGTGAACTCTCTGGTGACCACGGAGGGCAGAGCTAGTGATATAAGACTTCCTACATTCACCACATTTATAAGGCCTTTCTCCAGTGTGAATTCTCTGATGAACACGGAGGGCAGAGCTGCTGGTATAAGACTTCCCACATTCACCACACTTATAAGGAAATTCTCCAGTATGAAGTCTCTTATGAACACAGAGGGCAGAGCTACTGGTATAAGATTTCCCACATTCACCACATTTATAATGCCTTTCTCCAGTGTGAACTCTGTGATGAGAAAGAAATGTATGTTTTTGCTTAAAAGATTTCCCACATTCAGCGCACTCATAAGGCCTTTCTTCAGTGTGAACTCTTCGATGTTCCTGGAGGTCAGAGCTACTGGTACAAGATTTCCCACATTCATCGCACTTAAAAGGCCTTTCTCCACTGTGAAGTTTCTGATGACGACGGAGGATATTGTTTTGTGTAAAAGATTTCCCACATTCACCACACCTATAAGGCCTTTCTCCAGTGTGAATTTTCTGATGATGACGGAGAACAGAGTGACCAGTGAAAGATTTCCCACATTCACTGCACTTAAAAGGCCTTTCTCCAGTGTGAACTTTCTCATGATAAAGGAGACCCGACCTACTGTTAAAAGATTTTTCGCATTCACCACACTTATAAGGGCTTCCTTCAGTGTGAACTTTGTGATGACGATGGAGGATAAAACTATTGGTTAAAGATTTACCATATTCACCATGACTATAAGGCCTTTCCCCTGTGTGAATTCTGTGATGTTTACGAAGGTCAGAGCTACGGGTAAAGGCTTTACTACATCCATCACATTTATAAGGCTTTTCACCAGTGTGAACTTTCTGATGACGACGGAGGGTAGAGCTCTGAGTAAAAAATTTTCCACATTCAACACACTCATAAGGCCTTTCTCCAGTGTGAACTTTCTGATGACGACGGAGGGTAGAGCTCTGCGTAAAGGATTTCCCACATTCAACACATTCATAAGGCCTTTCTCCACTGTGAACTCTGTGATGATGAAGGAGACCAGTGCAAGTGGTGAAAGATTTCTCACATTCACCACATTTATAAGGCCTTTCTCCAGTGTGAACTCTCTGATGAACATGGAGGGCAGAAATTTTGGTAAAGGATTTCCCACATTCAGAGCACAAAAAACACTTCCTTTCGGTAAGGAATCTCTGGTCCTTAACAAGTGTGTCATCACAGCCAATGGCTTTCTTGCATTCTCTTGGTGTGTAATATTTTGTAGTGGGACAAGTTATTCCAGACTTCCAGATTTTTTTCCCCCTGTGTTTGGTGTAAGCAGTCAGTTGTGCAGGATATCTGGAGCTGATGAGGAAGCATTTTCCAACCTGACTAGAGGTACAAAAATTCCACGACACATGGAAATTGCAGCTCTTTGATAACGAGACCCTGTCCATAGTGCTAATGAAACTGTTCTCTGCTGTGTCCTGCTCCTGGAGTTGGTGACTCTGTGCACTGAAATAAAATGGTTTTGCACATGCCCCACACCTCAGCAGTGTTGAGCCCTGTTGGGTTCCCTGCTGGTCCACCGAGAAGAAAATGTGTCTCAAGACACACCCACAACTCTCACAGGGGTGGCTCTTCTGGGAAGACAGTGTTGACTTCAGATTCACAGCCTTAGAGACTCTTACAGTAATATTCTGTTCTGTCGGTGCCTCCAAATCCTCTGCTCCACAGCAGCAACCTAAACAAAAGCAAACCTAGTGAAGTACATAGTGACCTATAGGGAGAAGGTTTTCTCATTATTAATTTGCATGTGTAACATCTGGCATGACTCTATGTGATGATTTCCAGGACAAATGAGAGATTCAAAAAAAGCCTCTCCTGTCTATAATAATGGGGGCCTCCTTAATTGAAGGATACTAGGACAGGATGGGATACAAGGAAGAGAGGCTGGCTTTACAAGTTTTTCCTCTCTTAAGGGCTGCCTATAAAACCTTTCCTGCCTGTCTTGTAAGGCTGTGTAGAGGATATGAACATACCCCAAACAATGAAAGTCAACAACAGTAGAGAAGAGACTGTGCTAGGTTTGTAAAGAAATATGTACATAATTCAAGGTGCAACATACATCGATCAAAATGGTATAGCACACCACCCTGGCTGGTGTGACTCAGTGTATTGAGTGCTGGCCTATGAACCAAAGGGTTGCTGGTTCTATTTCCAGTCAGGGCACATTTTTGGGTGTGGGCCAAATCCCCAATGCAGGGTGCACGACAGGCAACCACACATTGATGTTTCTTACCCTCTCTTTCTCCCTCCTTTTTCCCCTTTCTCTAAAAAAACTAAATAAAATGTCAACAAAAATATAGTAGACACCAAAAGGATTCCTCAGAGAAATGGTTGTGGTATAGAGGTAAAAGATTATGCGTGGGTGGAAGTTAGGATAGAAACTGAAACCAAAGAAAAAACTGGTAATGTGACAAGAAAGGGAAAGGACGAGTTAATTAACGTGTGGCCACTGGCAACTGTGATGAAATACAGTTAAAGACAACAGGGTCCTCATTATGCTTTAACACAGCCTTGGGATGAAATTCTCCCCCTCGGCCAGACCTCCTGTGAGTCCCATCTGTCATTGCTGGTCTACTATTCTTGTGATACACAAAGGACTCTTCCAGTTTCCAACCCATTGAGCAACTCCAAAGAGAAAGCAGAAGAGGTGAGTAACCAACACAAATCTTAGAATAACTCTAGACCAAAAAGACAAAAGAAAAAGTTCTGTGTGACCACAGCAAGATAGAAGAATAAAAAATAAAAGTATTCAACACCCTACAATGAAATTAGAAAATTATCCACCATAAACAGCACCCTCAGTAAAGGGGAAGAGGCTTAAGATCCAAGTTATTTTCAATGAGCAACAAGGTGGAGCATAATACAAAGAGCTACACAAAACAGTAGCAGGGAAGATTGGCTCAGCAAACGGGCGTAGATTCAAAACACAAAGGTAAGACCTTCTGGGGGACTCTGAGTTTGTGCTAATATTGATTCTAGTGGCCTGTTTTGTGCCACCAAAGCATCCAGAGATCACAAAATATTTGGAAAACTGTAGCCCTAGCCACTGAGAACCCCTTCAATCTCTACAATGCTGACCTTGGTCATGGGGCAGCAAGAAGAATGGGAAGTGAAGCTTCTCATCAGCCCAAAACACATCACACCACCTACCAAGCACCCTTGTATGCACATGCAGATAAAATGACTCCTCTATACACAATCGGTTCATGAGGTGCAAACAAGTAACTGCTTCATCAAAAATCAGACATCAACACTATGACAAAGGGAAACACAAAAACAAATAATCACAAAAGGAAGATTACAATGTTAAAGTGAATTAAGCCAAAATATGGAGGTATAAAAACTGCTGAAAAATAATTCAAAAAATCATTATGAAAAACTTCAGTGAAGGTGAGGTACAAGCAAATACACAAGTACCCATGACAAACAAACAAATATAAAAATAAAACATAGGGCCCTGGCTGGTGTGGCTCAGTGGATTGTGGGCCAGCCTGCAAACCAAAGGGTTGCCAGTTCAATTCCCAGTCAGGGTACATGCCTGGGTTGCCGGCCAGATCCTCAGTTGGGGATGTAGAAGAGGCAACCACACATTAATGTTTCTCTCCCTCTCTTTCCCCCTTTCCCTCTGTCTAAAAATAAACAAAACCTAAAAAATAAATAAAAATAAAACATGGGGATTGGAAAGATATAAAAAGAATTAAAGAGAAATTTGAAGTTGAAGAATACAATGAATAAAATGAAAAATGCAAAAGAGTTTCAAACCAGACAAGCTCAAGGAGTAAAATGAATACATCACCTCAGAGGCAGGTGATTTAAAATACTGTATGTAAAACAAAATGTGAGGACATCCTCTGTCAATTTGGGAACACCGTAGAGATAATGCATATATGCATTACGGAGTCTTAGAGCAATGGAAAAGGAGAGAATATGAGAGATAAATAAATAAGAGGGTAAGCAAAAGCAAAAAAAAAATTAAAAAATAAGCTGAAGACTGGCTTTGAAATATGAAAAAAAAATGTGAATAGCCATGTTTAAGATCCCCGCAGGTCCCTGTACACATTCAATGCAAACAGGATTTTAGCACGACATATTACAATAAAAGGTCACAAATCAAAAGCAAAAAAATGTTTTAAAGACTGAGGACAATAGAAACTCCTTATGGCCCTGGCTGGTATGGCTCAGTGTTTTGGGTGCTGGCCTGAGAACCCAAGGGTCTCTGGTTGGATTCCTAGTCAGGGCACATGCCTGCATTGAGGGCCAAGTCCCCAGTAGGGGGCGCGTGAGAAGCAACCACACAATGAGGTTTCTCTCCCTCCCTCCCTCCCGTCCCCTCTCTAAAAATAAATAAATAAATCTAAAAAGAAAAAAAAGAAACTCATCATGAAAGGACAACACTGCCATAAACAAGCAATACATTTCTCTGAAGGAACCTTGTAGCCTTAGAGTATCAAATGATATATGCAAAACACTAAAAGAAAACATCTGCAAAGCATAATAGTTTGACGTATTATGATCATAATAAATGATCATAATACTCATGATGGGTGAAAAAGGTGAAGGGATTACACAGTACAAACTGGCAGTTGCAGAACAGTCACGGGGATGTAAAGTACAGCCTGTGAGAGTCAATAACATCCCACCGATTATGAATGGCGTTAGAGGGGTGTGAGATTTATGAAGATGATCACTTAGTAAGTTACACAATTTCAAGTCACGAAATGAATGCCATAATGTATGTCAACTGTATTTAAAAATAAAAATATTTATAGAAATATACAAATAAATAAATTGAAGCCTGGTTGGGCTTAACTTGTGACTCACTAAATCTCCATGGAAACAAATAAGCTGAAAATAAAGAGATGTAAAAAAATACTTTATGCAAATAACAACCCAAACACAGAACACCTAAGTACACAAACAAACAAAATGAGATCTGAAAGTGGAAAATGCAACATAAGACTACTACACAACTTGGATATTCCCCTTCCAACAATGGGCAGACCATTCATTTCAAAGCAATGAGGAATTATTAAAGTTTGAAAACAAGGTTGAGAAAAGAGAGCTAATAAATATATGCATAGAACCTTATCCAGCCACGGCCAAGTGTCTCAGTTAGTTAGAGCACTGTTCTGTGCACCAAAAGGCTGCAGTTTTGATTCTTGAGCAAGGGACAAACCTAGGTTATGGGTTTGATTCCCTGTTACGGGCACATATGAGAGAAAACCGATCAATGTTTCTATCTCCCTCCCTTCTATCTCCGACAATCAAAATAAATTTGGCACTGAGGATAAAAAATATATATACACTGACACTTCCAGCCAAGATGGAGGTGTAAGTAGACACACTGCGCCTCCTCGTACAACCAAAATAAGGACAACAAAAATTTAGAAACAAAAAAATAACCAGTACTGACAGAAAACTGAACTGTATGGAAGTCCAAAAACCAAGGAGTTAAAGAAGCAATGTTCATCCAGACTGGTAGGAGGGGCGAAGTCAGGTGGCTGGACGGAGAGGAGTTGTGGTAAAGCAGCGGCTGGCAATCAACGGGTGCATAAAACAGCAGCAGGCGGACCCAGCAAGGAGGTGGATTGTGGAGGCACTTGCCATACAAGGCAGCTGGCGGACTAGGTGGTCCCACATTCCCTCACAGATAAAGCAGGCAAAATTGGGAAGTAAGACAAACCTCACAAACCAGGGTCCCAGAGCAGGGAAATACAGCCTCAAACACCGATTAGAAACACCTGTGAAGGTTGAGGTGCCAGGAGAGACTCCCAGCCTCACAGGAGAGTTCGATGGAGAGACCCACAGAGTCCCAGGACGTACACAAACCATGCCACCCAGGAATCAGCACCAAAAGGGACCAGTTTGCTTGGGTAAAATGGTGCATGTGACTGAAATCCAGCAGAAAGCAGAGCAAGTACTATCATTCCCTCTCAGAACCCTTCCCCACATACAGCCTCACCACCCAGCAAAGTCAATTACCCTGCCCTGGTGAACATCTAAGGCTCTGCCTCTCCCTATGTAACAGGGGCCAAATGAAAAAACAGATCAAAGCTCCAGAAATAATACAATTAAGTGACAAAGAGATAGCCAACTTATCAGATGCACAGTTCAAAGCACTGGTGATCAGGATGCTCACAGAATTGGTTGAATTTGGTCACAAATTAGAGGAAAAAATGAAGGCTACACTAAGTGAAATAAAGAAAAATGTACAGGGAACCAATAGTGATGGGAAGGAAACTGGGACTCAAATCAATGGAGTGGCCCAGAAGGAAGAAAGAAACAATCAAACAGAAAAGAATGAAGAAACAAGGATTCAAAAAAAAAATGAGGAGAGGCTTAAGAAACTCCAGGACATCTTTAAATGTTCCAACACCCAAATTATAGGGGCACCAGAAGGAGAAGAGGAAGAGCAACAAGTGGAAAAGATATTTGTACAAATAATAAAGAAGAACTTCCCCAATCTGGCAAAGGCAATAGACTTCCAGGAAGTCCAGGAAGCTCAGAGAGTCCCAAAGAAGCTGGACCCAAGAAAGAACACACCAAGGCACATCATCATTACATTAGCCAAGATTAAAATGAAGGAGTGAATCCTAGAAGCAGCAAGAGATAAGGGGACAGTAACCTGCAAAGGAGTTCCCATCAGACTGTCAGCAGATTTCTCAAAAGAGACCTTACAGGCAAGAAGGGGTTGGAAAGAAGTATTCCAAGTCATGAAAGGAAAAGATCTACCTCCAAGATTGCTCTATCCAGCAAAGCTTTCATTTAGAGTGGAAGGGCAGATAAAGTGCTTCTCAGATAAGGTCAAGTTAAAGAAATTCATCATCGCCTAGCCCTTATTATATGAAATGTTAAAGGGATTTATCTAGGTAAAAGAAGATAAAAAATATGAACAGTAAAATGACAGCAAACTCACAGTTATTAACAACCACACCTAAAACAAAAACAAAACAAACTAAGCAAACAACTAGAACGGGAACAGAACCACAGAAACGGAGATCACATGGAGGTTAGCAACAGGGAAGTGAGAGGAAGAGAAGGGGAAAAAGGTACAGAGAATAAGTAGCATAGATGGTAGGCAGAAAATAGAAAGGGGACAGTAAGAATAGTATGGGAAATTCAGAAGCTAAGGAACTTATAAGTATGACACATGGACGCGAATTAAAGGCAGGGAATGTGGGTGGGAGGGGGTGTGCAGGGTGGAGAGGAGTGAAGGGGGGAAATGGGACAACTGTAATACCATAATCAATAAACTATATTGAAAAATTTATATATATGTATATATATAGTTTTAGAAATGTTCAAAAGTACAAAAAATGCTTTTTCACAGTAATAAATGTGAAATATATTAGGCTTCTGGCAATAATACTGAGGTCAAATTCTTCCCTACAAGGGTTCTGCACAGCAGGTATTGGGGCAGCAAGGACAACAGGGGGCAATGAAAACACTCCAGCCCAACCTAGTCCAGAATCTACCCAGAAAACTGGGAAGCATATACTGACCACAGTGCACATGAGAGGACAAAGCAATCCCTGAGGAAAGAAGTGCACTGGGGAAATGCATAGCCTTGTCCAGATCACTGGTAAGACAGAGGGTCTTTTGTTTTCTTGACACTGTGAGGTAGTTTATTAAAATATGGGGAAATGAACCCCCCAAAATGGAGCCCAGTAGACATGATCAAAGGAAAGCCTGAGCCCTGACTGGCGTAGCTCAGTGGATTGAGCGTGGGCCGGCGAACCACACGATTTCGGTTCAATTCCCGGTCAGGGCACATGCCTGGGTTGCAGGCCAGTTCCCATCAAGGGACACACGAGAGGCAACCACACATTGATCTTTCTCTCCCTCTCTCTCCTTCTCTTCTCCTCTCTCTAAAAATGAATAAAATCTTAAAAAAAAAGGAAAGCCCGAGATCAGCTGCTGCTGTCCATCTTCCCTGGAAACAAGTCTGGTCAGGACGCTTAGAGCTTAGAATAGAAGAAGCAGACTGCAACCCTGAGAAAGAGGTGTTCAGACAAGGCAAAGAACGGTGCGCAGGGAGAGTCAGTGTCTTACCCAGCGATGATATAAGAGCGTAGTTCTCCAGCATCACATTGAGGTACAGGCATCTCTGAGCCTCATCAAGGAGGAGCCATTCTGTCCTGGACAGGTACACGGCAACATCCTCGAAGGTCACAACTACCTGTCAGAATTAATACAAATGAACCTGGAACAGTCTGTTTGAGACTCCTTTTCCTAGTCTTACCCACATTGAATCCCTTGCAGCACCACCCCCACCCCCTACAATGCCTTCAGAGAAGACATCAACACTGGTGCTAGAACTGCCTGCTGTCTCATCACAGTCTCATCCATCTCTCACATCGTCCTCAGCAAAGGCAGCAGGATGAGAGGAAGTGGGGCAGATAAACGCCATCTAAACTCAGGGCCCTGCCTGCAGGGCCCCTTTCTACCTTCTAAACAGTCTCACTTATTCTTCCAGATCAGGCTTCCAAACCCAGCCATATATGGGCTTAGGCTTCACCCTTAATTCCAAACACCAAGAACCCAGGGCCATCAGCTCACACTTCCTCTAGCTGGGCACACAGTGTGGTCTCTTCCTGCTTCATAGCTTCACACTGAAGTTCACTTCCTCAGCTCTGCCCCCCTTCACCCTCCTGCATTAAAGAGCCTCCACTTTTGTATGACTCCATCCTCGATCGACCCTTCCACAGATTCAGAACCATGCAGATACTCACAAAATGTTTCTACTTACTGCTCTTTTTAAGTTACAAAAGTTGAACCAAAAGAGTCTTCCAATATGCACACACAGAATTAACCTACCACTATCCTCCCCAGCCTAGCAGATGGAGCTTCCACTGCTTCTGCTGCTAGGACCAGAAACGCTGGGGTGGTTTTGAACCCTTTCCTTTCTTCCTGAAGCTGAAAAACCTGAAACTATACTTGCCTTTCCTAAAAAATGTCAAGGGGAAAGGAGTGGATGAAGGTAGAAGAAGGTATGAGAAAGATAAATAGTAATAAGAAAAAATAGGATAAAAAAATAAAACACCGACCAAGAATCCAACTTTTTCTCCTACTTCTGAGGCCCAACTTAGGTCCATTGACTCTCCTCTGAATCAAAGAACTCACCTGGTGATGGGATCCCTGCCTCGTCCATGAAACCCATGATCCGTTCTCCACTAGGCAACCAGATGGAGCCTGTTACACCCAAGAAAGACCAGCTCCTTTCTCTTATGCAAATGGCTTACTACCTCCCTAAGTCATCAACTGGCCACTTTAGGCATCTGATTCTTGACCCCCTTGTGCCTTGTTGTTTTTTTTTTAAGATTTTATTTATTTGGCCCTGGCTGGTGTAGCTCAGTGGATTGAGCGCGGGCCTGCGAACCAGACAATCGCGGTTCGATTCCCAGTCAGGGCACATGCCTGGGTTGCAGACCAGTTCCCTGCAGGCCAGTTCCCAGCAGGGGACGCACGAAAAGCAACCATACATTGATGTTTCTCTCCCTCTCTCCTTCCCCTCTAAAGACAAATAAATAAAAAATAAAAAAAGATTTTATTTATTTATCTTTAGAGGGGAAGGAGAGAGGGAGAGAAACATCAATGTACGGTTGCCTCTAGTGCTTCCCCTGCTGGGAAATAGCCTGCAGGGAACTGGCCTGCAACCCAGGCATGTGCCCTGACTGGGAATTGAACCGCGATCGTCTGGTTCACAGGCCTGCGCTCAATCCACTGAGCTACACCAGCCAGGGCCCTTGTGCCTTGTTTTTAACACAAAGGGGACTTGGGGTACCTACTCCGAGCTCTGTGGCATCTTCAAGCAGTATTAACTACAGGTGTGCCTTCCCAGGAACTCTGACTTCAACGCTTACAATGACTGCCTGTGAGGACCAAAAACAAAAGGGCAAGGGGCACATACTAAACCTGAGCAGCTTAGGAGACTTACAAACTGATGGCCTTACAAACTGAGAGAAAACACTCCTATACACGGTCTGAAATTAAAGCTTTCTAACCAAAAGTGAGTGATGGCAAGTTGGGCCTCTATCTTCCCTGAAGAAACTCAATTTTTACCCTAACTGAGCCCATTTAGTATTTTGGCACCTTTGTTAACATACCTTTGGAATGTCAGCATAATTTCCTTTTTTCTTACCCCTCAGAGCACAAACACTGCATGACACCAGAGACCAAGGTACTCCTCCATGTTATTACCGTATCGATTAAATATTACCTATCTTATACCCAGTAAAGGAATTGTGTCCATTCATATTTACCTTTTATTTAGTATCAGGCATTTTCCTGCTTTGTTTTCTCTTACCTCACTAACCTATCACCAATGGATTTCCAGTTCCCAACTTAGACATCTTCCTTTTGATTCTGATGTATAAAATAAGTGGTAAAACTGCCATTTCCCAGAGCATTTTCTCACTCCAGATATTTTTTATATTTTGTTTCCTCAAATCATACTCAGTTCAGCTCAGATAAACATTAAAAAAAATCGCTACAGTTTGAATGTTTCTTATGCTGACGCCAGAAATGGGAGCACCTTATATTACCTGTGACCTGCACTAAAGATTGGGGTATGCCCAGGGTCTCCTCATTTGAAAGCTGGAAAATTAACAAGGGAATAGTCTTTAGACACTATAAGGTAATGTCACCACCAGGCAGGGTCTGTGACACCCTGTCCCTCCTTGTCTAGTTTGATAATGATTTTCAACCTCAGAACCTGTGGGAAGAAGCAGTCAACCCCCCTCCAGCTCCTAGTCAGCAGGTCTCAGCTGTATCTCAGCCCAGCCCTGGAGTATAGTGACCTCTGGCCAAGTGTCTTCTCAGTGCCACCTCTTACCAACTCCGTGACCTTGAACAAGGGCTCCTCTTCCTGCGCCTCAATGTCCTCATCACTACACTCCAGTCCGTTTTCTATCTCAGAAGGATCTAAACAGCTTTGAAAACCATGACACAGCCTGTGTCTCTCTCGGTTCACGACCATCCCAGGCTCCCACGACCCTCAGAATGAAGGTGCAAACCCTCTGCCTCCCAGTCCGGGTATGACTCGCCTCAGACTGTGTAAACCAGATGCCAGGCATTGGCCAGGTGTGAGGGTCTTTGGGGGTCAACGACACTGGCACCTGTTTGGAGGGCGTCACTTCCGCCGGTCACCCTCGCCAACCCCGTCACAACGTGTCACCCACGAGCGCCTAAGACCACGGACCCCGTGGCCCGGGCTGCTGGATGTGACGGGCGTCCCGCACCCGGGCTGCAGATCCGTGGCTGAGGGGCGAGGGCCCAGGACGCGCACTCACCTCAGCCGAGCGCAACAGCGCGGTCGCCGCCATCGGACTGCGCGACTGGAGGGGCGGGAGCCGCGGGCGAGAAGGGTGTCCCTGATATTGGGGTCACTGTCCCAACGCGGACGCCTTCTCCTTTTGACCCAGTGACCACCAGACACAGACGGGGTAACAGGAGAGGAAATGCGCCCCGCGAAACCGACGGAAGTCCCGCCCTGCAGTGTGGCCCCAACGGAAGTGCCTTTTCTGAGTCTTTATTGACTCAGCCCGTGGTCTTCCACCCTGCCTTCTGAGCGATGCATGGTCCAAGGTTGGGGTCTTGTATTTCCCGAGCTGACTCCAGGTGTGGGGTTAACACCCCACGAATACCCTGAGAATGCTAAATCCGCTCCATAGCCGCCCCGGTGGGCATCATTTCTTGGGCGAGGAAATGTCTGGTTTCTTGCTAGGCCTTTGATTCAGAGTATGGGGCAAGTGCCTTCTTCAGGTGGAATGTGGTTCAGGACCTTGCTCTAGTCCCTAATGCTCTCTATATTCTGCATTAGTACGATCCACAATGCAAACTAAATTTACTAAATAATACATTAAATATTAAGTGCATGTATGCACTATTAAGTGCAGCCAGAATCTTAGTTCTGCCTGGACAGCATGGTGACTGAATTCCTCACTAATTTGATCTGATGAGGAATCTAACTTAAATTACACATTTTTTTTTCAAACAATGGAGTACATGTTGAAGACATAAAAGGCATGCCATTGCAGGAATTAGGCCCACAAAGTGCGTATAAACTTCCAGCCTAACCAACTGAATATACTAATAAAGCTAGTCACACTAATTTGTTCCAAAGTACAGATTGTAGTCTATTAAAAAATGCAATAATAATAGATAAGAAATAAAAATATACATAACTTAAATAAGTGGAAAAACATAGTTCTCTCTCCCTCTCTTAAAATGAATAAATAAAATTTGAAAAAATTATGGGTAATGATACACTGTGTAAAAATTTTAAAATCAATAGAAATTCTGTAAAAGGCTTTTTTTCCTTTTAAAAAAATTGATGTAGTCCCGGCTTTTGTAGCTCAGTGGATTGAGTGCGAGCCTGTGAACCAAACAACAGCAGTTCAATTCCCAGTCAGGGCACATGCCTGGGTTGCAGGCCAGTTCCCAGCAGGGGACACAGGAGAGGCAACCATACACTGATATTTCTCTCCCTCTCTCCTTCCCTTCCCCTCTAAAGATAAATAAATAAATAAAAATTGATGTACACTTTTTCTTCTTTCTGATTGCACAAAGTGTTAAGGTTGCTGTATCAAATCATCTTTCAAATCTGGACTGCCTGAGGTCACTGCAGGTTTTTAAACATTGCAAAGTTAATTACACCCTTGGTGCCAGACATCATTCCCTCCCGCTACATGGAGTCTCTTTGGAAATGCTAAGCACATTCCAGATACACTCTACCAGCCATTCAACTAAGCAGACCTCTACTAACCAAGAATATAGCCTGGATGGGTGCCATCTACCAAGAGATGCATTAGTACCCCTCTCAGATTGGTTGTGAAGTCAGCAAGCTTATGTCCATGAGGAGGATGAACTCTATCCACACAGTGGACACACAGAAAACAGCCTACCAACTGATTTCGATGAAATTTTCATAGCAGAACCTCAGCACAGACAAAGATCCAAGGAACAGATAGTACTTGAACCTCCAGTCCCTGCACAAAAGCACAAAGGACAGAGCGAGTGAATGCATATAACCATGGGAAAACTTTGAGAGACACGTTATTTTTCTTCATGGACCTTATTACATTTTTTTACTTTTTTATATTCTATTGGTTATGCTGTTACAGCTATTTTAATTTTTCTCCTTTTGTCCCCCTCCACCCAGCAACAATCACTCCCTCGAGCAATCCCCCAACCTGTTCATGTCCATGGGTCATGCATATAAGTTCTTTGGCTACTTCATTTCCTCTACTAGAGTTTACATCCCCATGGCTATTCTGTAACTATCTATTTGTACTTCTTAATCCACTCATCTCTTCAGCAATTCCCCCTTCCTATTTGGCAACCATCAACATGCTCTCCATATTCAGGACTTGGGTCTCTGGATAATTTTTTTTCTTGTTGCCTAGTTTGTTTTTTAGATTCAATCATTTCTCTCTCTCTCTCTCTCTCTCTCTCTCTCTCTCTCTCCCTCTCCCTCTCTCTCTCTCTCTCTCTGTCTCTCTCTCTCTCTCTCTCTCTCTCTCGTGCTGCATCCATAATGTGTTTATTGGGATGGTTCCCCACTCATCTTGATTCAGGTAATTGTAGTGATGCTTCCTTCTGAAGGAGCCTCCTTCTGTAAACCTTGCTTTTCCTCCTGTAGGCAGGGCAGTGGAGCAGCCAACACACAAAACTACCATTTGCGCATGGCTAAACACGGTGATGCTTTTATAGCATCCTGGCACTTCACAGGATTCGGGGCTCTGCACAAGGTGCTGCTTCTTGTGTTTCCTCCTCTTCTGGAGATGGATGAAGGAGATCCTTTGCGAGAAGCACATTGAAGTGGAGAGCTCCTCACCCTCAGAAAAGCTATATTCAGTTGCTGATAGATTGTCTTGTTTGCTATATTATTTTTCATAGTTTTGATCTTTTTGCTTTAATAATTCCCTCTAACATTACATGAATAATGGTTTGGTCGTGATAAATCTCTTTCCTGTTTTCTGGTGTGGGTAGCTCCTTATTTGCCCTTGGATTTTGTTTTATTTTTTGAATTTATTTGTTATTCAAGTATAGTTTTCTGTCTTTTACTCCCAACCCAGCCCACCCCCCCAGTGCTCCCCACCTCCCTCCCATTTCCACCCCCCTTAGTTGTTGTCCACGTGTCCTTTATACTAGTTTCTGTATGCCCTTGGATTTTAAATGGTATCTTTGCTGGGAAGAGCAATCTTGGTGTAGGCCCCTGCTTTTTGTGACCTTTAATATTTCTTATCAATTCCTTCTAGCCTGCAAAGCTTCTTTGGAGAAATCAGTTGACAGTCTTATGGGAATTCTCCTGTAGGTAACCAGCTTCATTTCTTATGCTGCTTTTAAGACTCTCTCTTTATCTTTTACCTTTGGACTTATATACTTTTTCTTCTTGATCTTAAGGTTCCTCTTTTGTGAGGTGATCTGCATTCTTCACTCTGGATTATGGAATATAATAGAAACTGAATGACAAACTACATTGTTCCCTGCATCTTAAACATTCATACCTCTTTTTTTTAAAAATATTTACTAATTTTTAGACTGAGGGTAAGGTAAGGAGAAAGAGAGGGAGAGAAACATCAGTGTGTTAGGTTGGAGTCCCTCAAGAAACCAGATGGACGCAGCAAGCTAAGGAGCAGTTTATTAGCAGGAATAAGAGGGAAAGTGGAGCCAACCAAGGGAGGTTGGGGAGCCAACCAAAGTTGGTTAAGACTCATGGGGGAAACCGGGGCCAACCTAGGAAGGTTGGCGAGCCACCTAGGGAAGATTAAAACTTGCTTGGTTGTTCTTAGGGCAGGGTTTTCAAGCACAAAAACCTGCAAAGGATAACTGGTTGGGGTGTCAGAGTCTGATTGGCTAGAGCTGGTTGTTGGGTGCCATTTCTGTTGACCATTGTTCTTGATACATCTTGTCAGGTTCAAGTTAAAACTGCAAACTGTTATGCCAGATAGGCCAACCCCAGACCCTAATCTTAGCCGGGCATCTGTTTGTCCTGGGTAGGGCTGGCAGGCAGTGTCCCAGGCAGGCATTTTCCCAGGCTACAGTTTCCCCACCTGGTGATTTTCCATTCCTCCTAGGCCTACCTAGGTCTGTCATTGTGCGTGAGATACATCGATTGGTTGCTTCTTGCTTTCCCAAACTGGAGACCTGGCCTGCAGCAGAGATATGTGCCCTGACTGGGAATCAAACTCATCACCTTACAGTCCGCAGGTCGGCACTCAATACACTGAGCCATACTAACTAGGGCTGACCTTTGGCATTTCAATTATGATGTGTCTTGGAATGGGCCTCTTTGCACCTATCTTGTTTTGGACTCTCTGTGCTTCCTGGACTTGCATGTCTATTTACTTCACAAAATTAGGGAAGTTTACTTTCACTGTTTTTTTAAGATTTCAAATTTCTTGTTTTCTCTTGTCCTTCTAGCACCCATACGATGTGAATGTTGAATCTCTTGAAGTTGTCCCATAGGCTGCTTATACTATCCTGTTTCTTGGATTCCACTTCAGGTTGTTCTGACCCATATCATTCATTTGATTCTTGGCTTTATCAACACTACAGTTGTCTCTATGCAAAATTGTTCTCTATTTCAATTAGTGTATCCTTCACTTCTGACTGGATTTTTTAATACTGTGGAGTTCCTCACTAACTTTCTAGAGCATCCAAATAAACAAAGTATTGAAATCTGCATATTACTGACTGCTAATCTTTGTTTTGCTTTTTCTGGAGATTTGATTTATTCTTTCTTTTGGGCCATGTTTGTCTACTTATTTTGGCAGCCACCCTGTGTTTGTTCCTATGTGTGTTTGACAGCCACCCTGTGTTAGGTAGAGCTGTTTTTACTCTGTCTTGGTAGTGCGGCCTAATGTGGTGTCTGCAGGGTCCAGGGGTACAACTTTTCCTATCACCCAAACTGGGTACTCAAGGTGTGCCCTTCACATAGGCTGAGTACCACCTTCCCTTGCAGTTGAGACTTTGTTGCTATTGGCAGATCAATGGGAAGGATTTACCCAGGCCAGTCAGAAGCAAGGACTGGCTGTGACCACTGACCAACTTCTGCCATCCATGGATGATCAGCTATGCAGGGGCAGGGTGGTGGTGCTCTGACGTGGTCTGTAGCTGTCCAATGGGTGGTGTCCCTGGGGTTCTCCAGGTGTTCAGGCCAAGTTCAGCTCCCACTTGTCTTTTGCCCTCAGCCACCCTGCCTGAGCTATAAAGCAATCTGAGATGGCTACTACTTGTGCTGGGCTTGGAGATTCCCAGGCAGAGCCATGCTATGCATCTAGGCAGGCTGCTGCCAGTTCCGGCCCTGGGACTCACTGAAGATAGCCATTCATATGAAAAAGCAGCTTCAGTGCACCCATAAATTGGGTAGTACAGAATCTCTGGGATCTATCTGTAAGGCAGGTCAAATGCTGTTAGCCAGGTGGATGGTTCCAGATATGGCACCAGCTTGCTGTTTCCGGGGTGCAGGTGGCAGATTTAGAAAAGGGATGATGGCCTCTGCTCACCCTGAAGCCAGATACATCAGGTTCTCCATGGATACCACTGGTGCCCTTCAAACTGCTGTGCTGTTCAGGAGCTAGAGGGACTGAGTCTGAGTATGTAAATCTGTGCGGGGGACTTTAAAAGAAACTGCTTGCGGCTCCAGTTTCTTCCACCAATGAAATCCCCACTTGGTTTTGCAGACAGAAGTTATGATGACTTATCCTCCAGGCACTGGAACCCTGGGGAGGGGTTTGGTGTGGGGCTGGACTCCTTGCTCCCCAGATATCCCTCCCAAACTTTTAGCCACCACACATGGGTGAGGAACAAGACTATTCCCTATCTGTGCCCCTCCGATCAGTTTGGATGGATGAGGTTTCTTTAATTCCCTTGTTCGACGACTTACATTCAACTCAGTATCTGATGGTTCTGAGTGCTGGTTGTACAGAGGTGAACCATGTCTGCCTATACCACAACCCTGACCAGAAGCCCAGAGACACTTTAGATATAGGCAAAAAAAGGGACCAAACAAAACAGAAACCATTAGCCTCTGAAATTCTCTGGGGCTGGGAAGAAAAACAAAGGGACTCTCCTTGGTTAATGACGTTGCTCTGCTTGGAAGTGTCAGAGCCACAGGACATCGAGTGATGTGTGGTTCTAGAATATCATGACAAAGTCTTGAGGTCATCCTCAGAAAAGAGAAGCCCCTGTGGAGCTTCGAGAGTATCTTCCACACACTCAACACAACAGATGATCCTGTCATCTGAAAGCTGGTGAGCATCCAGAGCAGTACGTTGGCTACTGAAAGTAATCTGGCCCCAAATGTGACCTGCACGTACACCCTGAGACATTTCCTGAGACATTTCCATCCAAAATCAGGTCTCACCTCTTCTTTGACAAAAGGCACAATTATGACATGGACCTCCTGACACTGAGTGGGATGACGAGGCCTGAAGAATGAAGGAATGTCTGCAATTTACCCTGTGACCTGGTCGTTGAGTCAAACTAAATCAGCCAGAGCTTCCCTGAAGGTGAGCCTCTGAAACAGGTGACATAATTAGTGATTACTGAAATGAAACATGGTATCTGTTGTAGACCGCTCTAGGAATTGTATCTTGACCCCTTGTGGCTAAGGGTGAAGGACAACCTCTGGAATGTGAGCCGCAGGAGACAAAGCTTGTCTCTGGTAGCAAACGCTGCCTCAGTTTCCTCTTCCTGCCCCCAAAGCGTGGGCGGAAGTCAATGATGGGTAAGACCCCTCACAGTGGGGGGCAACCTAAACCAGACTTGATCACTTGGAAGGCCTTCAAGAAAGGACTCAGGGGGCTGCAACAAAGAGCAATGGACTCTCGCCCACTGGCTTTGACATAGCCGAGTCCCCTTGTTCTCTGGGAGAAGCCCTTCCTGGCTCTAATCTCCTTAAAGCCTGGCTCCAATCCCCTTAAGCCTGAATACCTGATGGGGAGAGGTGCAGCTCCTTGCCTTGCTTAGAGCGTGTCCTGGGGGAAAATCTGGCATGACAAAGACTTCCTGATAAACCTGTGAAATCTGCTCTGCTAAGAGTGCTTTCACTCATATGTTAAGAGTTCAAGCAGGAAACCCTAAAACTCTGTTCCTGACAGACTCAGACTCATAGTAAGCCCTCAGATTTCTTTGAAATGTTATCTACTGTTTGATCCTTGCCGCCCTGTATTCCTGTGTATTACAACCCAATAAAAGGCCCCGGAGGAGGGGGCTGGAGGCCTTTTTCCTCTGGGAAAATGGCCACTTCTCCTCCCCAAGCAGATCACATCATGTCTCTCTCGGTCATGATTGCTCTCATCTGTGGCACACGGGGGGGACTTGCGAGGAAAGTCACCCCCACAGATGTTATGGCTTTCCCTCGCTCTTCTATATTTCTCGGCTTACATCTTCCTATGTGTCTCCCACCTCACCGTTTTTCTTCAAGTTCTTAGGAATGAAAATTACCCATACACTATAGAAAGATGATATTCAGGGTGGCCACATTTCCAGCAGAGCAATAACTCAAGTTAGTTCTGTCATTCTTAGAACTAAGTTTCCTTAATGTAAAACCCATTGGGCCTCATCTGTTCTCTGGCCGCATACAGCATTTTCTCATATTGCTCCTTAAATAATGAACATTGTAGATCCATTCATCAACAGTAATAATGTTCCAGAGTTTGCTCACTTCATAACACTTTTTATAAATTTAATTTCATTTTTTAAAAATACTTTTCGTATTTCTAGAGAGAGGAAAGGGAGGAGAGAGCGAGACAAACATCAGTGTGTGGTTGCCTCATAAATGCCCGTTACTGGGGACCTGGCCCACAAAGCAGGCCTGTGACCTGACTGGGAATCCAACAAGCAATGGGATTCGGTTCGAATGCCAGCACTCAATCCACTGAACTACACCATCATGGCTCCATAACCCTTTAACAGTCCCCATGCAGAAAATGTTACTGCATTGACAAATGACAAATTGATCATTTCCATGCAAGGTGCAGAAATACAGTAATCCAAAATGTCTTTCTCACATTCAGATGTCCACTTTCCAAAACTTCATGGATGGCAATCACAGCCATTTTTGTACAAGATGCAAGTCTTGTACAAAATTTACAAATTTCCAGGAACATATTAATATTCACAGAACTTAAAAATGCATTTTACTTCAGGAAGTTCACTGAGATTTCATATGAAAAACAATTATTTTTGGCACTGGCTGGTGTTACTCCGTGGATTGAGTGCCAGCCTCCAAACTGAATGGTCACTACTTCGATTCCAGGAGTATTAGGGAATATGCCTGGGTTGCAAGGCAGTTCTCCAGTTGAAAGGTTGTCAGAGGCAATTGATAGATGTTTCTCTGACACATGGGTGTTTCTCTCCCTCTTTCTTTCTCCTTTCCTCTCTCTCTAAAATAAAGATAAATAAAATTTTAAATAACATAATTGTTTTCAGGAATTAGAACACAAATATTGACTCCTTCTGCCAGTGGACACTGCTGAGTAACCATCGCTGAAGTCTCCCTCCTGCAGTTGCTACATCTAAGTCAGAGTCTCCCTGAGAGCCCTAACAGCTAAAGAAGCTCTTCATTGAAGGTTTGAGATTTGAAACATGTGCTGAGGGTCTGAAGAGCAATGTGGAGCAATGGCAAATGCCCACAAGCTGTGTGATGAAGATCCAAACACCAAGTGCTCCAGAGACTTGGGGACTGTCACACATACCACATTGGAGGATGTGGATGCAGCCAAGAACACGTAGCCATATAGGTAGGTGGAAGAGCTGTGGAACCAAAGAGCCTTTTTCAGGAGAAAATTCCCGAGCCCTGCTGAGGTCTGGCTCAGTGGATTGAGCTCTGCCTTGTGAATCGAAATGTTGCTGGTTTGATTCCTGTCAGGACCCGTCTGGATTGTGGACTAGATTCCCAGTTGGGGGCACGTTTGAGGCAGCAGATCCATTATTTGTCTCCCTCTCTCCCTACTTTACCCTCCCTCTAAAAATAAATAACTGAAACCTTTAAATTTTCACAGACATGGTGACCCTTAACTGTGAAGACTTTAGTCGATGGTAGCAAAGAAGACACTGGAAAACACCTAACAGATTATTTTAACAACATGGAACAATGGAAGTGATTGAAGTCGTGACTGACTCAGGCAGTGGCTAAAAGAGAGGCTTTGCTTTTGTTACCTTTGATGACACTGCCTGTGTAGACAAGGTTGTCGTTTAGGAGAACCATACTCTGAGTGGATAATATTCACCACAGTGCATAATAACCTAGCCTGTCGTGCAAAAGGTAAGTGAATGTGCAGAGACCCAGCCATGAATCACTGGGGTCTCATTAGTCCTGATCTGTGTACACTAAGCTCAAAAAGGAGGTAGGCAAAATGCAGCTAAGGCTCAACGTAGTTTCCCCTGGAGAGGCAATGCAAATAACAGATAGTATTCCCATGACGACTATGAGGCAGATGTTAAATACTATAAGATATCAGGAAAAAACACAGAAAATTCGTGATAATTAAAATAATGAAAACAGCAGCTAGCTGAGTTTCTCACGTCTCTGGCCCTCCTGTCCTGTCTTATGCGGAGGGCGGAATATGCTATGGTAGATTGTGCCCAGCTCTGGAGCCAGACTCACATGTCTGAATCCGGCCACTTCAATCTGACAATTGTCTGTCCTGTGACCTTGGAAAAACCCTTTCCTCCTCTACATCCTATTCTCCCCAGAAATACACGAACAGTTACTAATTCCCAGAGTGTAGTTAGGATTAAAATAACAATTTTGATCAAAATGCAAGCCCTGGATAATTTTTATTCAAGGATGAAGGCTGCTCTTTCTTAAAATTATTTTATTCTCTGGATTTTAGAGAGGGTAAAGAAGGGAGAGAGCAAGAGAAATGTTGAACTGCAAAAACAGTGTTTGCCCTTCCCAATCTCCTAACTTGGAAACTGGACGAAAACACAGGCATGTGCCCTGAGCAGGAATTGAACACGCAATCTTTTGGTTTGTGGGACAGCATTCAGGCCATTGTGCCACTCAGCCCAGGGCAAGGGTGCTTTTTATCCCTATTTACACAGGAGAATACTGAGGCCTATACAGTGAATCACTTTCCTGTAATAACAACTACGGTCAATAATCTAAGACATAAACCCAGCTTGCATGGCCAAGATACGGGGAGTCTAATCACTGGTTTCTTGTCTTTGGCTTCTATGAGGGCTTTCAGGCTCAACAAATACCCACCATTGATCTTCATACCACCTGGTGCACCTTCAAGTTCTGCTGTAGCACATCAACCCCAGATGAAAGACCACAGAAAGGGCTGAAAACTTAGAAACAAAATTATTATATTACTTAATGACAGAATTTACAAAAGCGATGCAGTGTTAATAATGCAGATTATTCTATAAAGTATATGATAACTACCTACACATCCTTTACAGCAAAAAATCCAAATAATTTGGAGATGTTTTCCACGATTAAAAACAATGTTTCCATAAAAACAATTATTCCATGAAACAAAAATTATCTGTTTTTCAAGGAGTGAAAATGGGTGACATTACAACACAGGTCTTTGTTGTTTCACTCTCCTATTTTCTATGGAGAGTAGCCTAAAATTACAAAACCATAGGTAAAGTATGTGAGCACAGGATATACTAAAAACATACCCGTTTTACATACACTCCTGAAAAATGCTAATCATAAATCCTTAGAAAAGTACCACTAGAACAATAAAAAGAACATGACAAATATGTAAAAACAGCTAAAATTATAAAAAATAAACAAATCGACATTTTGTTAGAGTGGGGGAATGCAACCCTCTTACACTTTAAGTATAAATGCATAAAGGCACAAAGAGTTTAGATCATAATTTGTTAAGTACTTCAACATTTAAATATTAAATTTCTGAGACATACATCTCCACACTCTGAGTATATAAAATTAAACTCAGACATTTTCAGGAAGTTTTTTTTCAATATTATTACACTGAAAAAAAAATACATTTCCTACAATCTAAACTTTTACAAAGTGAGACCTTTCCAACATCAAAAGGCTGAAGACTTATGGCTAAAGACTTCCCATGTTCACCTCATGCTTGAATCTTTTTACCAGTGTGAAATTAACATGCCTATGGAAACGAGGTGGAAGATTTCCCACAGTTCATGTCATCATAAAGACTATCTCCTCTGCAAACTCTCTAATAAGAAAGGAGTTAGAATCAAAAACATACTCATTGGGCTGTTTACCACGGGAACCTGGGAATATAATGGAAGATTGTGGCATTAAAAAATTCTCATATTGCATATATAAAAAACCTTGAATCAGTGGAAATCACTGATACTAGAAAAACATTCCCCAAATTCACTGCAGGCATAAGGCCATTCTCCAGGGTGACTCTCTGATGACAACTGAGGGACTGCTACAGAAAAAGGATTTCCACTTTCACTGCATTGATGGGGCCTTTCTCCAATGTGAAGTCTCCAAGGAAAACGATGATTACTGATAAAACACGTCCCACATTCCCTGCAGACATAAAGCTTTGCTACTGTGTGCAGTCTGATAACAATGACAGTTAATGAATAGATAAAAGATTTCCCACTTTCACCACATTCATAAGTGCTTCTTTGGTGTGAACTCTCTGAGGCTAATGGAGGTGACAGGTACATATAAAGGGTTTCCCCATTTAGTGCAGTAATCAGTGCTTTATCCAGTGTGAACACTCTGATGAAAATGGAGGGCAGAGCTAGTGATACAAGATTCCCCATGTTCACTGCACTCATAAGGCCTTTCTCCAGTGTGAACTTTCTCATGATGACGGAGACCAGAGCGACTGGTGTAAGATTTTTCACACTGACCACACTTATAAGGCCTTATTCCAGAGTGAACTCTGTGATGATGACGGAGGGAAGAGCTATGGGCAAAAGATTTTCCACATTCACTGCACTCATAAGGCCTTTCTCCAGTGTGAACTCTGTGATGTTTACGAAGCTCAGAGTTTTGGGTAAAAGACTTTCCGCATTCACTGCACTTATAAGGCTTTTCTTCTATATGAACTTTCTGATGATGACGGAGGGAAGAGCTACAGCTGAAAGATTTCCCACATTCACCGCACTCGTAAGGCCTTTCTCCAGTGTGATCTCTGTGATGTTTTCGAAGGTAACAGATACGGGTAAAAGATTTCCCACATTCACCGCATTTATAAGGCCTTTCTCCTGTGTGAAAATTCTGATGATGACGGAGGTTAGAGCTTTGCGTAAAAGATTTCCCACATTCACCACACACATAAGGCCTTTTCCCAGTGTGAACTCTATGATGATACCGGAGGCCACAGCTACTGGTGAAAGATTTTCCACAGTCACCACACTTGTAAGGCCTTTCTCCAGTGTGAACTCTCTGATGAGAATTAAAGTTAGCTTTTTGCTTAAACAATTTCCCACATTCACTGCACCCATAAGGCCTTTCTCCAGTGTGAAGTTTCTGATGATGGCTGAGACCAGAGTGACTGGTATAAGACTTCCCACATTCACCACACTTATAAGGCCTTTCACCAGTGTGAACTCTCTGATGTACACGGAGGGCAGGGCTACTGGTGAAAGATTTCCCACACTCACCGCACTTAAAAGGCCTTTCTCCAGTGTGAACTCTCTGATGAACCTGGAGGGCAGAAATTCGGCTAAAAGACTTCACACATTCAGTGCACTCATAAGGCCTTTCTCCAGTGTGAACTCTATGATGAATACGGAGGGCAGAAATTGTGTTAAAAGACTTCCCACATTCACAACACAAAAAAAACTGTTTTCTAGTAAGGAAATTCTGGTCAACAAGTGTGTCGTCACAGCCAATGGCTTCCTTGTATTCTCTTGGGGTGCAATATTTTGTAGTTTGTAAAGTCATTCCAGACTTAGGGATTTCATTTTTCCTGTGCATGGTAGAGCTGATGAGGAAGCCTATTCCGTCCTGACTAGAGCTACGAGCCTTCCACAACACATGGGAATTGCAGCTCTTTGCAAGCAAGACCCTGTCCACACTGCTGATGAAACAATTCTTTGTCGTGTCCTGCTCCTGGAGTTGGTGACTCTGTGCACTGAAATAGAATGGTTTTGCACATGCCCCACACCTCAGCAGTGTTGGGCCCTGTTGGGTTCCCTGCTGGTCAGTGGAGAAGAAAATATGTCTCAAGACACACCCACAACTCTCACATGGGTGGTTCTTCTGGGAAGACAGTGCTGACTTCAGATTCATAGCCCTTGAGCCTCTTACATTAACATTCTCTTCAATGGGTGCCTCCCCATCCTCTGTTCCACAGCAGCAACCTGAAGGAAAACAAACGCTAGTAAAGTACATACTGACCTACAGAGAGTGGGTTTTCTCATCATTGATTTGCATCAGTTACATCTGGCATGATTTTATATGATGATTTCCAACACAAATCAGAGTCTCAGAAAAAGCCCCTAAGGACTGTAATATGGGGAACTCATTAACTAAGAATACCAGGATAGGGGGAACCTAAGGAAGAGAAGCTGGCCTTAGAAGTGACCCCTGTCGTAGGGGATGCCAGCAAAATCCCTCCTGCTTGTGTTGGGAGGCTGTGTAGAGGATATGAGTGTGTTCCAAACCATGAAAATCAACCACAGCAGAGCAGACACTGTGTTCATTTTGTACAGAAATATGAGCACACTTCAAGGTGCAACAGGCACTGATCAAAATGAGAGAGCACATGAAAAAGATTCCACAGAGAAAGGGTTGTGGTGTACAAGTTAGAGAGGCAGAGGTGACCCATGGCTGGAAGTCAAGTATATGAAGGAAAATTATTAAAAGTAACAAACAGCCCTGGCTGGTGTAGCTCAGTGGATTGAGTGCAGCCTGTGAAGCAAAGGGTCACCAGTTCGATCCCAGTCAGGGCACATGACTGGGTTGCAGGCCAGGTCCTCAGTCATGGGCACACAATAAGAAACCTCCCATTGATGTTTCTCTCCCTCTCTTTCTCCTTCCTTTCCCCCCCGCCTCTAAAATAAATAAATAAAATGCCTAAACACACACACACACACACACACACACACACACACACACACACGGTGCCAATACGGGAAAGGACAAGTTTAATTAAGTGTGGCCACTGGCAATGGTGAGGAATAAACTCAAAGAGAACAAGTTCTTCACTATACTTTAACCAAGGCTTCAAATCAAATACTCCCTCCCTCCCATACCCACTCGTGAGCCCATACTGTCATGGCTGGAGGCCTGATCCTCTGTAATACACAAAGAATTCTTCCTCCACTTCCCTCCCCAATGAGCAATTATGTGGAATACAGATGATGCAACTTCAAAGAGAAAGCAGAAGAGGCGAATAACCAACACCGTTGTAGAACAACTCTGCACCAAAAAAGCAAAAGTTAAAGATCTATGTGAGTGACCACAGCAAGATGGCAGAATAAAAAATACAAGATCCAACCCCCGTTAAGAATAATTAGACCCTTTATCCATGATAAACAGTGTCTGTACAGGAAAGGGGAAGAAGCTTAAGAGACAAGTTATTTCGAAGAGCTATAAGTTGGAGCCTAATACAAGGAGCTATGCAAAAGAATAGCATGAAAGACTGGCTCAGCAAACAGGGTTAGATGCAAAAGACATGGCTAAGAACTTCTGGGAGACACTGCACTTGTGCCACCATTGACTCTAGTGGCCTCTTTCTGGCCACCAAAGACTCTCAGAGGTCACTAAATATTTGGAAAACCGCAGCCCTGCCACTGAGGACCCCTTCAACCTTCACAACGCTGACCTTGGTCATGGGGCAGCAAGAAGAATGGGAAGTAAAGCTTCTCATCAGCCCAAAACACAACACAGCACCTAGCAAGCCCCCTTGTATGCACATGCAGATAAAACTACTCTAAACAGAACTGGGTCCAGAAATCCAAAAAAGTAACTGCTTCATCAAATATCAGACATCAACACTAACTCAAAGCAAAATATGAAAAAAATCACAATGTTAAAGTGAATTAAGCCAAACGATGGAGGTATACAAATTAACAAAAAATAATTCTAAAAATCATTTCTAAAAATTTTAATCAGGTACAAGCAAATACACATGAAATTCAACATAATGAACAAACAAACATGGGAACAAAACTTGGGGATCAGTGAAAAAAGGATGAAAAAGAAATTTGAAGTTGGAGAATACAATGACTAAAATGAAAAATGCAAAAGAGTTTCAAAAGCAGACAAGATCAAGGACTAAAAAAATACATCACCTAAGAGGCAGGTGATTTAAAATCCTCCATGTAAAAAAGCAAGTGGGGACAGAGCTGGTGAATTTTGGAACGCAATATAGATAACTTATATTTATATTATAGGACTCTCATAAGAGGGGCCAAAAGGAGAAAATGAGAGATAGGTAAACATGAGAAGGAAGAGAAGCACACAAAATTGGTTTTAAAAAATGAACTACAGATTGACTTCAAAATATGAAAAAGAAATTTGAGATTCCCGGCCAAGATGGAGGTGTAGGTAGAAACCTTTCACTTCCTCACACAACCAAAAGGTGGATAACAACCAAACTAAAGTCAATGAACAACCAAAAGTGCCAGAAAATCAAACTGCATGGAACTCTGATGACCAAGGAATTAAAGAAAAAAATCTACTAGAACAACTGGCCCAGTAAGGTGGTGGACCGCAGGCAGACCTTAGGGGTGGGGTTGGCTGCCTAGCTCCTAGGGCTGTGCAGGAGGGGCTGACTTAAGGGGAAAACTGAGGCTCAGAGGTGGCTGTGGACTACTCAGAGGTGAGAGAAACTCCCAGTCTCACAGGAGACTAGAGTTTCTCCAGTCTCACCCTCGGAAAGGATGCTAGAGAGGAGCAGGCAGGTGAGCTGCATCGTTCCCTCTCTGGCCCCTCCTCCACAGGCAGCAGCACAGCACAGGGAGGTTTGCCCTGCTAGCCCAGAACACCTAAGGCCCCACCCTCTTACAACTTATCAGCTGCACCAGGACAAAGAAATATGGTCCAAATGTAAGAACAGAGCAAAACCTCAGAACTAAGTGATGAGGAGACTGCCAACCTATCTGATGGAGAATTTAAAGCCCTGGTAATCAAAATGCTCACAGAAGTGTTTGAGCTTGGTCAAAAAATGGAAAAATCAAATGAAGGATACCCAAAGTGAAATAAGCAAAATATTCAGGGAGCCAACAGTGACAAGAAGGAAAACAGGAATCAAAGCAACGATCTGGAACAAAAGGAAAAAATAAACATCCCAACCAAAACAAAATGAAGAAACAAGAATTCAAAAAAGTAAAGAGATTCTTACAAACCTCTGGGACAACCTGAAACATTCCAATACCCAAATTATCGGGGTGCCAGAAAGAGAAGAAGAAGACCAAGAAACTGAAAACTTATTTGAACAAATAATGACGGAAAACTTCCCCAATCTGGCTAAGGAAATAGACTTCCAGGAAGTCCACGAAGCCCAGAGAATCCCAAAGAAGTTGGACTCAAAGAGGAACACACCAAAACACATCATCATTAAGTTACCTGAGATTAAATATAGAGAATCCTAAAAGAAGCAAGATGAAAGGAGAGAGTTACCCACAAAGAAGTGCCCATAAAGCTATCGCCTGATTTCTCAAAAGACCATTGCAGGTAAGAAGGGGCTGGAAAGAAGTATCTGAAGTCCTGAAAGGCAAGGACCTACATCCAAGATAACTATCCAGCAAAATTTTTATTTAGAACGTAAGGGCAGATAAAGTGCTTCCCATATAAGGTCAAGTTCAAGGAGCTCATCAGCACCAAGTCATTATTATATGAAAGTTAAAGGGACTTATTTAAGAAAAAGAAGATAAAAAATATGAAAAATAAAATGAAAACAAATTCATAACTATCAACAACTGAACCTAAAAGAAAAGAAAAACAACAAAAACAAAAACTAAGCAAACAACCAGAACAGGAACAAAACCAGGGAAATGGACATCACATGGAGGGATTTCAATGGGAAGGGGGAAGGGAGGAATGGGGCGGAAGGTACAGGGAAGAAGAAGCATAATTAGTAGGCATCAAATAGATGGGGAGAGATTTTAAAAAGAGTAGAGGAAACAGAGGACTCAAATACTTAATAGTTACAACCCATGGACATGAACTAAGGTGAGGGAATTCTGGAGGGTTGTGGGGGCAGGGAGGGTGGGGGAAAAAGTGGGAAAACTGTAATAGCATAATCAATTAAAAAGACTAAAAAAAAAAAAGGAATTTGAACAGCCATGTTTAACATTCTCCCAGATCCCTGTACACATTCAATACAAACAGGATTTCAGTATGACATATTATAATAAAACGGTCAAAAATAAAAAGCGAAAAAAAAAATGGAAAGACCAGAGACAATAGGAACTCCTCGTGTTAAGGACAACACGCCCATAAGGCCAGCAATATTTTTCTCTGAAGAAACCTTGCAGACTTGGGGAACTTCAAACAATATATTCAAAACACTGAAAGAAAACATCTGCAAAGCACAATGCTTTATTCTCCCATCCAAGTACGGACCAGGCCCGACCCTGCTTAGCTTCCGAGATCAGATGAGATCAGGTGCATTCAGGGTGGTGTGGCTGTAGACTATTCTAAAAACTTCATCAAAAAACCTTCCCAGACACAAAAGATGAAGACATTAATTTCCACTCACCCTGACTTACTACAAATGTGGGGCGTGGGGGGAGATCTTTGAGCTAAAATAAACATGTACTACATAGAAGCAGAAAACTATGGGAAAATGTAAAACTCTCTGGTAAAGCCAGGATGTCCTCAGGGTCACAATACTAAGACAGTTCATTGGTGGATAGATTTTATTGAACTCTATTGTACAGGACAAATAAAGTAGATTAAGAATAACAATGGTGACAATATTTGTGAATAGGTACACAACATAGAAAGAGGTGAACTATGAAATCAAAACATGCAAAGGGGGAAAAACATGTGAAGGGTAGTGTGGCAGAGAGTCACGGGGTAGAATATTTTGAATGCAGTGAAGCTGTTTTCAGGTTACAACAAACTGTTAAGAAAACAAATTTTATGTAAGTCTAATAAAAAACAAACCATAAGCACAATCCTGTGAAATGGAGGCAAAAAAGAGAAAGGAACCAAATCTCAAAAAAAAAAAAAAAAAAAAAGAACTGGCTGGTGTGGCTCAGTGGACTGAGTGCTGAACTGTAAACCACTTTGATTCCCAGTCGGGGCACATGCCCGTGTTGTGGCCCAGATCCTCAGCTGGGAGCACATGAGAGGTAACCACACATTGAAATTTCTCCCTCTCTTTCTCCTTCCATTCCCCTCTCTCTAAAAATAAGTTAGTAAAATCTTAAAAAAAAAAAAAAAAAGGAAAAAGAAAAAAAAATACAGCAAAATGGGAAGACAAAAGGAACTACAAAAAAGGCAGAAAACACAACGTGTCAATACCTTTAGAAGATACGAGTGTGTGAAGGGATAAAAACACAAGACACAAAAGCATTTGAGATATTGCGTTCTGTCCATTGTCACCAGTTTGGCTCAAATAAACACATAAAAATTCTCATGATGGGTGAAAAAGGTGAAGGGATTAAAAAGTACAAACTGGCAATGACAGAACACTCAACTGGATGTAAAGTACAGTCTAAGAAATAAAGTCAGTAACATTCTACTGATTATGTGTGGTGTTACACGGAATCAGATATATGGAGATGATCACTTAGTACGTTATACAATGTCTAATCATGAAACTAATATCATAATGTATGTCAACTATATTTAAAAATAAGAAAAAATAGAGTAAATAAATACATGAATAAATAAATTAAGGATTAGTTGGGATTACCTTGTGTCCCCACAAAAAGTCTCCGAAACACAACATATGCTGCTTCCAGGAGACTCACTAAATCTTTATGGACACAAATACACTGAAAACAAAGAGATGTAAAAAATATTCCATTCAAATAACACCAAAGAGAGTGGGGAGGATAACAACTGTCATTACTATGTGCCCGACAATAGAGCACCTAAGTATATAAGCAAACAATATGAGATCTGAAAGGGGAAAACGCAACCCAACGCTACTAGAAACCTTGAATATTCAGCTTCTAACAATGGGTAGATCATCCATTTCAAAAGCAATAAGGAATTATTGAAGTTTGAAAACACTGTTGAGGAAACAGAGTTGATAAATATATGCATAGCATTTTATCTACCCCTGGCCAAGTGGCTCTGTTAGTTAGAACACTGCCCCACATACACCAAAAGGTTGCGGGTTTGATTCCAGGTCAGGGCACAAATGTAGGTTACAGGTTTGAGGCCTCCAACAGGCACGTACGGGAGGAAACTGATCGATGCTCCTCTCTCACTGATGTTTCTCCTTCTCCTTCCCTTCTTTCTCTAGCAATCCCTACAAACACTTTGCAGAGAGCACAAAAAATAAATCCACTTGTAGAAATGTTGGAGAATATAAAAAATGCTTTTTCTCACCAAGCAATGTGATATCTATTTGGCTTCTGGCAATACTACTGAGGGCGAATCCTTCCCTGTGAGGGTTCTGTGCAGCAGGCATGGGGGCGGCAGGGAGAGCAGGGGGCGGTGCAAGCAAACCGGCCCTGCAGAGTCCAGGATCCACCCAGAACCCTGGGGAAGTGAACAGTGCCCGCAGTCCACATGGGAGGACGGAGCAACCCCTGAGGAGTGAAGGGCACGGGGGACATGCAAAGCCTAGTCCAGGTCACTGGTGAGATGGAGAGGGCTTTTTAAAAAAATTGTTAGTTTATTAAAATATGGAGCAATGAACAACAACAACTAAAAGAAAACACCCCTGCAGACATGGTCAGGGGCCAGCCTAACACCAGATGCTGCTGTCCATCTCTCCCCGGGTGCGCGACTGGTCAGGATCCTTACATCTTAGGATAGAAAAAGCAAAGCAACCCTGAGGAAGGGGTGTGCAGGCAAGGCAAAGAAAAGTGCACAGGGAGCATCGGTGTCTTACCCAGCGACGATATAAGAGCATAGTTCTCCAGCATCACATCAAAGTATAGGCGTCTCTGAGCCTCATCCAGAAGGAGCCATTCTGTCCTGGAGAGATACACGGCAACATCCTCAAAGGTCACAACAACCTATCAAAATTAATACAAATGAATCTGGAATAATCTCTCTGAGACCCTTTTTCCTACTCTTCTCCACACTGAACCCCTTTGAGGGGCCCTCCATTCAGAGCAGACACCAGTGCTTGGTGCCAGAGCTGCCTGAATTCCATCTCATTATCACTCACATCTCCCTCAGCAAAGGCAGGCAGGATAAGAGAAAGTGGGGCAGAGGAATACCATCTAATCTAAGGTCAATACCTGCAGGGTCACATTATTCCTGCTAAACAAATCCACCGAGTCTCCCAGATCAGGCCTCTAAAACACAGCCATATATGGTCTTAGGCTTTACCCCTAATTCCAAACACAAGAACCTGGGGCTATCAGCTAGCACTTCCTCTAGCTGTGCACACACTGTGTGATCTCTCCCTGCTTCACAGCTTCACACCCAGGTCCACTCTCTCAGCTCTGCCCCCTTCACCCTCTTGCATAAAACAGACTCCACTTTTGCAGGAGTCCATCCTCGACCCTTCTGCAGGTTTCAGACCCATGTGTTAGCTGCTCACAAGATGCTTCCACACGGTCACTGTAACTGATAAAAGTGTGAAGCAAAAGAACCTTCTGATATTGCCAAAAGGAATTAACCTACCACCATCCTCCCCAGCCCAGTGGAGGGAGCCTCCCCTGCTTCAGCTGCTATGACCAAAAAAAATGCTGGGGTGGTTTTGAACCCTGTCCTTTCTTCCTGCAACTGCAAAATCTTAAAATATACTTCTTTAAAAATGTAAAGGGGAAGGGGTGCTGGAGGTGGAAGAAGGTATGAAGGAGATAAATGGTAATGAGAAAAAATACTATGAAGATATCAAAGGATGGATCAAGAATCCAACCTTTTCTCCTACCCTTGAGGCTCAACGCAGATCCATCAGCTCTCCTCTGGATCATAGAACTCACCAGGTCCAGGGCCCCCTGCTTCCTCCATTAACCCCCACACTCTGTTTCAAGCTAGGCAGCCAGATAGAGACTATTTAACCCAGGAGAGACCAACTCCTGTCTCTTATGCAAATACCCCATTATCTCCCTAATAGATACCTTAATGATCAATTGGCCACTTTACAAGTCTTTGAATTCCTTGTGCCTCCTGTTTAACACAAACAAAGGACACCTGGGGTACCGATTCCCAGCTAAGGTAGCATCCCCAAGCATTGGTAGGTGCAGGGGTCCCTTCCCAGATAACCTGCCTTCAATGCTTACAGTGGCTGTGTGGGGAAAAAAAAAAACATATAGGAGACATACTAAACCTGAGCAGCTTAGAGGAGTCCTCCCAGATGGCCTTACAAACTGAGAGTGAAAAGACCCCTATATATGGTCTGAAATTACAACTTTCTAACTAAAGCAAATCGTAGCAAGTAGTCATGTCCTAGGCCTCTATGTCCCCTAAGGAAAGTTAACTTTGACCTTAACTGAGCCCATCTTTGTACTTGTGTACCTTTGGAATGTCAGGAAATTTCCTTTTTTCTTATCCCTCATAGCGCAAGCACTGCATGAGAGCTAAGACCAAAAAACCCCAGTGTTATTATTGTGTTCATTCATAAGTGTTAAATATCTTACACCCAGTAACGTAAAAGAATTGCATCCATTCATTTTCATCTTTTATATAATATCAAGGATTTTCCTGCTTTGTTTTCTCCCACCGCCCTAACCCATCACCAATGAATTCCAAGTTCCCAACTTATATATCTTCCTTTTTGATTCTGATGTATAAAATAAGTGGTAAAACTGCCATTTTCTGAAGTATTTTCACACTCCGCTAATTTTTTTTTCCTGGAAAGCATCCCTAGTATGGCTCAAACAAACATTTTTAAAAGTCTCTACCCCTTGAAAGTTTCTTACATTCACACCAGAAATGGGAGCGCCTTGATAGTACCTTGGACCTGTACTCAGGATTGGGGTACCCCAGGGTCTCCTCATTTGAAAGCTGGAAAATTACCAAGGGAAGAATCTTTAGATACTACGCAGTAACGTCACCACCAGGTAGGGACTGGGATACTGTCCTTCTTTGTCTGGTTTGATAACGATTTTCAACTTCAGAACCTGTGCGAAGCAATCAACCACCCTCAGCTCCTGGTAAGTGGGTCTGTATCTCAGCCCAGCCCTCGAGTCCGGTGAAGTCCCAAGTTTCTCCCAAGTGCGATGGCTTACCAGCTCTGTGTGACCTTGGGCACAGCTCTGTTTCCTGTGCCTCAATGTCCTCCTCACCCCATTCCTGTTGGTTTTCTATCTCAGAAGGATCTAAACAGCTTTCAAAACCATGGCACAGCTTGTGTCTCTCTGTTCATGACCATCCCGGGCTCCCGGAACCAGTAGAATGAAGGCGCAACCCCTCTGCCTCCCAGTCAGGACGTGACTCCGCCTAAGACTGTTAAAGCAGATGTAAGACCAAGGCCAGGAGTGTGCGTCTTTCAGGATCAATGACACCTGCACATGTTTAGAAGGCGGGATCTCGGCTGGCCACCCCTGCCAACCCCAACCCCCTCACCCCGTGTCACCCACAAGCGCCTCAGATTCCGGACGCCAGGGCCGGGGCGGCAGGACGTGACAGGCGCCCCGCACCCGGGCTGCAGGGCTCGGCGGGCGGAGGGCAGAAGGTCAGGGGGACGCGTACTCACCTCAGCCGGGCGCCTCAGTTCGGTTGTCGCCATCGGACTCTGTGGCAGGGAAGTGGCGGGATCCGCGGGCGAGGAGGGTGTCCCTGGTTTTGGGGTCACTGTCCCAACGCTGACGCCGGACACCCGGGCAGCGTACTTGGTCTCGCAGCTGTGTAGGGAGCAGCACACGGGCGCCTCCTCCATTGGATCCTGTGACCACGAGACCCTGACCGGGTAATAAGGAAACTGAGAGAAGAAGAAATGTCCGCCAGACACTGAGGGAAGTCCCGCCCCACAGCAGCGATCAAACGGAAATGCCTTTTCGGAGACTTTTTTTTTTTTTTTTTTTTTTGACTCAGCCTTGCCTGCCTTCTGGGTAATGTAGGTTTTAACGTCCACGGTTGGAGTCAGGACTCCAAGGCCGGGATCCTGTATTTCCCGAGCTGACTCCAAGCGTGGATTTGTGGGTTTACAGCCCAAGTATACCCTGAGAATACTAAATCCGCTCTTTAGCCGCCCGGATGGACTTCATTTCTTGGAAAGTGTCTAGTATGCAGGCTGGATCTTTGATTCAGGCCGTGGAGCATGTTTCTCCTTCGGGCGTAATGTTGGCATAGGCTGCTCCAGCCCCTAATGCTCTCTATGCAGCATCAGGAGGACCAACGATGCAAATTAAATGTAATAAATATTACACTTATACTTAAGTGCATCTGTGCCTGGTGCAGCAAGAAGTCTTATCTCTGCCTGGGCAGTAGTAGTGTGACTGGATTCCTCACTGATTTTATCAGATGCCTCTAAGTTGAATTACAACTTTTTTCAAACAATGGAGTACATGCTGAGCTCATCAAAGGAATGCAGTTACAGGAATTCAGCCCAGAAAGTGGATGTGAAGTTCCAGGCCAACCAACTGAATATACTAATAAAGCTAGAGACACTGATTTGTTTGTTCCTAAGTGCAAATTGTAGTCTGTTAAGTATGCAATAACACTAGGTGAAAAATAATAATATACGTAACTTAATTTTTTTAAGGTTTTATTTTTATTTTTAAAACATTTTATCTATTTCTAGAGTTAGGAGGAGGGAAATAGGGAAACATCAATGTGTGGTTGCCTCTTGCATGTACTGGGGATGTGGCAGGCATCCTAGGCATGTGTCCTGACTTGGAATCCAACCCACGACTGCTTGTTTCGCAGGCTGGCGCTTAAGCCACTGAGCCACACCAGCCAGGGAGGGAAACATCAATGTGCAAGAGAAACATCAGTGGGTTGCCTCTCACACACCCCTGACTGGAGAGTTGGCCTGCAACCCAGGCATGTCCAGGACAAGGAAGTGAAGCAGCAACCCTTCGGTCCACAGGCCTGCACTCAATTCACTGAGCCACACCAGCCAGGACAGGGGTTTTCTCATCACAGATGTGTATCTGTAACATCAGTGCATAATTCCATGCGACAAATTTCAAGAAACTGAGATAGACCCTGAATGACACCACTCTGAGAGGTGATTGTGTATTACTTGGCCACTAATGACTGTGAATAATGGGCACTTCATTAAACAAAGGCCACTAGGATCGGATGTGACACAAGGAAGAGAGGGGGGTTCAGAAGTTGTCCCTCTACTGATGGCTGCCTACAAAAGCCGTTCTGCTGTTGATGTCAGGCTGTGTAGAGGATATGAATGTGTCCCAAACCATGAAAGTCAACCGCAACACAGCAGATGCTCTGCAAGGTTCACACAGAAAGATGGTCACACTTCAAAGAGATACAATCATTGCCAAAGTTAGAGAGCACACCAAAAAGACTCCTCATAGTAATGGCTGTGGTGTAGAGGTTAAAGAGGCAGAGGTTAGCCCAGGCTGGATATCAGATTAGAAATTACACCTCACAAAACTAACAAATAGGACCTGGATGGTGTGTGGCTCAGTGGGTTGAGTGCAGGCCTGGGAACCAATGGGTCCCAGGCTCAATTCTCACTCCAGGGCAAATGCCTGGGTTGCTGGCCAGGTCCCCAGTAGGGAGCATGCAAAAGGCAACAAGACACTGATATTTCCCTTTCTTTCTACCTCCCATCCCCTCATTCTAAAAATAAATAATTGCAATCTTAAAAAAAAAAACAACAACTAACGAATTGGCTAAGTGCCAACACTGGGAAGGGTCCCTTAAGGTTCCTTAAGGAACATAGTTCATTAAGGCGTGGCCACTGGTAAAGGTAACAAAATTAAAAGTTAAAGAAAAAAGGCTCCTCGTTATGTTTTAAAAAGCCTTGGCATCAGATGCTCCCCGGTGCCACTCACAAACACCAGACTTTCTGTGAACCCATCCTGTTATGACTGGATTCATGTCCCTCTTGTAATACACACAGGACTCTTCCAATTCCCTCCCAATTAAGCAATTACATGAAACCCTGATGACTGGACACTTACTAAGAGAGAAAACAAGAAATGAAAAACAAACACTACTGTAGCACTACTTAGCACAAACGGACCAGAAGAAAGCCATCTATGTGATGACAGAATAACGGCATACATAATAAATACAAATATTCAACCCATTTCCAAAATAATTAGACAATTATCCATGATAAAAAGCATCCCTAGAGCCCTGGCTGGTGTGGCTCATTGGACTGAGTGCTAGACTGTGAAGCCAAGAGTTACTGGTTTGATTCCCAGTCAGAGTACAATCAATCAATAACTCTCTTGCACATCAGTGTTTCCCTGTTTCTCCCTGCCATCCCCTCTCTATAAAAAGAAATAAAATAACTTTTAAAAAGTTTATGGACAAAAACAGCTTGAAAATGAGGCAATGTAAAAAAATATTCCATACAGATAAAAACAAAGAGACCAGGACAAGCTAAAATTGTATCACACAAGAAGACAACCTCACACACTGTCACAAGGGAAAAACGTGATCATAAAATGAAAAAGGTGTCAATTCATCAAGAGGATAAAAATTTTCATTACTATGCATCCAAACACAGACATCTAAGTATACTAAGAAAACAATATAAGAGCTGAAGTCAGAAAATGCAACACGACAATAGCAAACAACTCAAATATTTGCCTATCAAAAACAGGGAGATGTAACAGATAGAAAGCAAAAAAGAACTAATGAGACTTCTGCTCAAGATGGAGCCATAGGTATACATGCCTTTTTGTGGTTGCCTCATACAGGCAACCACAAAAAGAATTACAACTATATCTTAAAACAAATAAAAACCTCAACTGTCAGGAAATCAAGCTGTATGGAAGTCCCACAAACAAGGATTTAAAGAAGCCACATTCATCTCAACTGGTGCCTCTTACAGGGATTCAAAGCAGTGCCACCTAACACACAGAAACACACACAGGGAGGCTGCAAAATTAAGGACAGACAAAGAATTATGGACCAAGTGAAAGAACAGAACAAAACCCCAGAAAAAAAAACTAAATGAAATGGAAATAACCAACCTGTAAGACACAGAGTTCAATACATTGCTAATCAGTATGCTAAAGAACTCATTGAGTACAGCAACAACATAAAGGAAGAGATGCTGGCTACACTAAGTGAAATAAAGAAAAATCAACAGGGAACCAACAGTACAGGAAAGAGAGCCGGGATTCAAGTCGAGGGTTTGGACATGAGGAAGAAATAAATATCCAACCAGAACATGAAGAAGAAACAAGAATTCAAAAGAACAAAGATACTATAAGAAGTCTCTAAGACATCTCTAAACGTGCCAACATTCGAATAATAGGGATGCCCAAAGGAGAAGAGAAAGAGCAAGAGAGTGAAAAATTACTTGAGATCTTCCACAGAAAGTCTATGCACCACTGCAGCCCTGTCTCTAGTGATTTCTGAGAAATTCCAACACACTTTGTGAGTACTCAACACCTATACTGATGCACAATGGAAAACAGCCTTTGCCATCACTGCAATTAAGGGTTTGGGGTGAAGATATGCTCATGTGAGGTTGAGGAAAGCAGACATCAACCTCCCCACGAGGGCAGGAGAGCTCATAGATGATGAGGTAGAACAGGTGATTACCATTATGCAGAACCCACCTTAGTACAAGATTCCAGACTGGTTCTTGAACAGACAGAAGGATGTGAAGGATGGAAAACACAGCCAGGGCCCGGCCAATGGTCTGGACAATAAGCTTCATGAAGACCCAGAGCAGCTGAGAAAATTCAGCCCACAGAGGGCTGCGCTACTTCTGGGATCTTTGTGTTTGAGATCAGCACACCAAGACCACAGGCTGCCAGGGTCGTACTGTGGGTGTGCCCAAGAAGAAATCAATCTGTAGGCTTTGACTGTTAATTAATAGTTCACACACACAAGCAAAAAAATATTTGAAAAGATAATGAAAGAAAACGTCCTTAGTTTGGTGGAAGAAATAGACATACAAGCCCAAGAAGCACACAGAGTCTCAAACAAGTTTGACCCACAGAAGACCACACCAAGACATATTATAATTAGAATGCCAAAAGTTAAAGTTAAAGAGAGACACTTAAAAGCAGCAGGAGAAAAACAAAGAGTACCTACAGAGTATCCAAAAGGTAATCAGCTGATTTCTGAAAACAAGCTTTGCAGGCAAGAGGAGACTGGCAAGAAGTATTCAAAGTGATGAAAAGCAAGGACTTACAATCTAGATTACTCTATCCAGCAAAGCTATTATTTAAATAGAAGGGCCAATGAAGTGCTTCCCACACAGAGTAAAGCTACAAGAGTTCATCACTGCAAATCCCTTATTACATAAAATGTTTGAAGAAAATAAAAATTATGAATATTAAAAATGCAACAAATTCAGAATTATCAAAAACTGAATCTGAATCAAAACAAAATTAAAAAACAACCAGAAAAATAACAGAATCATAGCTATGGAGATAATTAGGAGGGTTATCAGATGGCAGGAGGAAGAAGCAAAAGCATGTAGTGGGGAACCATGTAGAAATTCAAAAACATAATTTGTAGGTAAAATATAGACAGGGAGAGGTTAAGAATAGTATAGAAAATGGAGAAGAACTTATATGCATGACCCGTGGACATGAGATAAGGTGTGGGGATTGTTGGTTGAAAGGGTACAGGACACAGTGGGTCAAAGGAGAGTAATTGTAACAACTGTAAAAAAACAATTGATAAAATATATGTAAAAACTACAAACTTACTGTAGGATTTAGAGACATTAGCACACACTTGAAAAACATGTCAATAAAAGGTTGTAAAATACAGATAGCAATATAAACAATCATGTAAATAAACTTAAAGCTAAGGTCTATGAATGATCATAGAGTTCAATAGGAGATTGAACTATACATACAAATGCTCTGATACCTAATCTCTACTTGGGGGAACACAGCTGGACCCATGGTTATTATTCTCTGGAACATGACCTACTCAAATTTTCTTGTGTACAGTGAATCTTAAAAAAGTGTACTTGTGCCTTTTCAATAACTAGGAAAGTCATTGTGACTTACGAGTAATGATAGGATACCATGGAAATGCAATGACATCCAAATAATGCTCAATTCCCAGGTAACTTACAAGGGCTGCTGAGGGCTGTTCCATGTGGAAACTGGATAATCAGAAACACTTAGAAGGGCTTTCGAGATTCAGCACTAATCCAAGTCATTCTACTAACAATAGTGAGAAAAAAAACACCAAGGGGAAAGAAAATGTTCAGACCCTGTCCATGTATGCCATCTGGTGCCTTTAAATGCATTGTGTTATGGCTTGACTGGTGCAGCTCAGTGAATTGAGAGTGGGTCTGTGAACCAAAGGGTCACCGGTTTGACTGCCAGTCAGGGCACAGGTCTGGGTTGTGGGTCAGGTCCTCATTTGGGGGTGCACGAGAGGAAAACACACATTGATATTTGTCTCCAACTCTTTCTCCTTCACTTCCCTTCTCTCTAAAAATAAATAAATAAAATATTTTTTTAAAAAGGGATTCTGTTGTTAAGAGCATATTGTAGGATCAGATTGCAAACATCACCAAGAATGCTGCACACCCATCCTGTTCTCAGTAAAAGCAATCAGCCATAACAATGCTAATAAGGCCGTGCAGACAGAGACCCAACCTGATTTGGCTGACTTGCTTTTCTTGAGGAATCAGGAGAAGAATCTCACTTTGTTCATAAGGACTTTTGTCTACAGAAATATCTCTGGTGCAGACACAGGGAGGTTGGAAAGGGGGATGTGGTTGCTGAACATGGTCAGGACTGCAGGAAAAACATGATGAGTCCTGTTTCTTCATCCAGCCAATACTCGACAGAGTAGCAGGGGTGTCCAACCTTTTGGCGTCTCTAGTCCACATTGAAAAAAGAAGAGTTGTCTTGGGCCATACATTAAATACATTGCAACAGGTAATCACAAAAACATTCTCATTAAGTAAATTTATGATTCTGTGTTGCCTGCTTTCACAGCCATCCTGAACTGCATGTGACCCAGAGGCCACAGATTGGACACACATGATGTATAGGATCAAGAGGACAGATTCCTGTATGAAGAAGAGAACACCCCACTAAGTAGATAACATACTATAGGTCTCCAGCATCACTTCTGAATATATTCCGGTATCCTGTCCAGCTGTTCTCAATGCTGGAAGGTGCATATCCAGCGGCATGTATAAAAACTAGTTGAAAGGTCAAACAGAGTGCATAATATCCACCACAGTGGATAATATGCTAGTCTGTCATTCAAAAAAATAAGAGAATGTGCAGAAAGATTCAGCCATGAATCACTGAGGTCTCATTAGTGTAAGCTGTGCACTAAGCTCAAAAAGGAGGTAGACAAAATGCAGCTAAGGCTCAAGTAGTCTCCCTTGGAGAGACCACTGGAAATGACAGCTAAGGTCCCCACGAAATCTGTGAGGCTGATGTTAACCACTCTAAGATATTGGAAAAGGCAAAATTTTTATGATAAAATAAAAATAGCAGCTAGCTGAGTTTCTAATGTCCCTGGCCTTTGCTGTCTTCCTGCCTTGTGCTGAGGGCCCACCTCTGGAGCCAGACTCCCATGTTCGAATTCAGCCACTACAATCTGACAGTTCTTTGCCCTGTGACCTTGGAAAAAACCCTTCCTCTTCTCCTCCTATTTTCCCCAGAAGTACACGAACAGTTACTAATCCCCAGGGTGCAGTTAGGATTAAAAAAATTACAATGATCAAAATGCAAGCCCTGGAAATGTTCCATTCAGGGGTGAAATCTGCTCTTTCTTAAAACTATTTTTATTCTCTAAATTTTAGAGAGGGTAAGGTATAGGAGAACATTCTGACATTCTGTGTAGCATGGGCCCAGCTGCCATTCAGTGATGCACAGGACCCACACCCACAGATAGGTTTTCCCATGGGGAATCAGGCCTGCAATGTACCTAGGCTGCTTTGAGACTTGCTTTTGCTAAAACTCCCTCACCCTGAATTGAGGAAGCAAGTGCTTACTGTAACTTCCTAAAGTCTCTGCTAAACCTCCCCAGTATGCAGTGTAACCAGTTCAAACACGTTTCCCTTTGCATTTGCAAATATCCTTCTTCTGTGACATGATTAGTGGCATCATCTCCTTTGCTCTCTGTAAAAGGTAACCACCTAAAGCAAACCTGTGCATAGTAAATGAGGACCATCATGTAATGTGCCCAGAAGAGCAATAGAGGCTTGTCAAGGCAAGGGCCAAGGTTTTTTTCTCCTCTTGAGAGGGAAGCCATGTCGTCCCTTTTCCTCCACAGGACTCAGAATTTCTCATGCCTCATCCACAATGTGGCAGACCCCACAAGATGGGGTCTGCATCAGTAAGGAAAGGAGAGAGGGGGAGAAATATTGAACTGCAAAAACATTCACTGTTTGACTCTCCCACTCCCCTAACTTGGGAACTGGACCAAGATACAGGCATGCGCCCTGACCAGGAATTAAACACATGACCTTCTGGGTTGTGGGACGACATTCAACCCACTGCACCACTCAATCCATGGAAAGGGTGTTTTTATTTCTATTTACACAGGAAAATACTGAGGCCTACACAGTGAATCAGTTTCCTGTAATAACAACTATGGTCAATAATCTAGGATATAAACCCTTGCATGGCCAAGGTATGTGGATTGTAATCACTGTTTTCTTGTCTTTGGCTTCTGTGAGGGCTTTCAGGCTCAACAAATACCCAACGATTCTCATACCACCTGGTACTCTTTCAAGTCCTGTTGCAGCCTGGTGAACCCCAGATGAAAGACCACAGAAAATAGAAGCAAAATTATTATAGTACTTAATGATTAAATTTACAAAAGCGACTAAGTCTGTAAATAATGAATACTTTTTAAAAGTATATGTATGTACCTACACATTCTATACAGAAAAAAATACAAATAATCTGAATATGATTTTCAGTGCTAAAAACAATTTTTCCATAAAAACTTATTCCATAAAACAAAATTTATTATTCAAGGAATTAAAATGGGTGACACTACAGCATAGATCTTTGTTGTTTCATTCTCTTATTTTCTAAGGAGAGTAGCCCTAAATTATAAAAGAATAGGTAAAGTATGTGAGCATAGAATGTATTAAAAAACATATCCAATTTACATACACTCCTGAAAAAGACACATCATAAATCATTACAGAAATGCAACTAGAACAACGAAAACAGCATGCCAAATATATGAACAGAGCTAAAATTATAAAAAATAAACAAATCAAGACTTTGTTAGAGTGGAAGAATGCAACCCTCATACACTCTAAGTAGGAATACATCAAGGCACGATTAGTTTAGAATGTACTTTGTTAGTTAACGTCAAAATGTAAACATTACACTTCTGAGACATCTCCACAGTGTGAATACATAAAATTAAACTCAGACATTTTCGGAAAGTTTTCCTTAGTGTCATTACTATGAAGATAACAAATAAACATTTCCTAAAAAATACCCTTTTACAGAGTGAGAACTGTCCAACATCTTATGGCTAAAGATTTCCCTAGTTTGCTTCGTTCTTGAATCCTTTCGCCACTGTGAACTATGATTAACATGCCTATGGAAATGAGGTAAAATATTTCCTACATTACACGTCATCATAAGGCCTATCTCCTATGTAAACTCTGATAAGCAATCAAAAAACATTTTCCCACTTTCCCTCATAAGGACATTCTCCAGAGTGAAACCAGGAATATAATCGAGGATTATGCTACAGGAAAAATTCTCATGTTGCCTGTATATGAAAAGATTTTACCTGTGTGAATTCTCAGAAGATAACAAAGGCAATGGATACATAATAAAAGATTTCCCAATTTCTTTAACTTATAAGAATTTAGACATTGTAAATTCCCTAGTGACAGTGAAGAGAATGGCTACAGTTCAAACATTTCTCATACTTTCATCACTCAAATTGCATTTCAACAGAATAAACTCAACTTTGTTGACAAACTGCATATTTGACAGTATGAATAGAGTTTATTCGTACTCGTGGAAGTCACTGATGTAAGAAAAACATTTCCCAGATTCACTGCAGGCATAAGGCCATTCTCCAGGGTGACTCTCCAATGACAACGGAGGGGACTGCTACGGAAAAAGGATTTCCAGTTTCACTGCATTCATGAGGCCTTACTCCAATGTGCAGTCTCCAGGGAAAATGAAGATTACTGATTAAACATGTCCCACATTCCCTGCGGACATAAAACTTTGCTGCTGTGTGTAGTCTCTGATAACATGATAGGTAATGTAACAGATAAAAGATTTTCCACTTTCACCACATTCATAAGCATTTCTTTGGTGAGAACTCTGTGATGGTAATTGAGGAAACTGGTACACATAAAAGATTTCCCCATTTAGTGCAGTAATCAGTGCTTTATCCAGTGTGAACGCCTTGATGAAAATGAAGGGCAGAGCTACTGCTACAAGATTTTGCATGTTCACTGCACTCATAAGGCCTTTCCCTAGTGTGTACTCTGTGATGTACACAAAGGTCAGAGCCACTGGTAAAAGATTTTCCACATTCACCACACTTATAAGGGCTTTCTTCAGTGTGAACCTTCTGATGACGACGAAGGAGAAAGCTATGGGTAAAACATTTCCCACATTTGCTGCAACTGTATGGTCGTTCTCCTGTGTGGACTCTGTGATGAATACGGAGGGAAGAGCTACGGGTAAAAGATTTCCCACATTCACTGCACTCATAAGGCCTTTCACCTGTGTGAACTCTGTGATGTTTACGGAGGTCACAGCTACGGCTAAAAGATCTACTACAATCACCACACTTATAAGGCCTTTCTCCACTGTGAATTCTCTGATGAGAATTAAGGGAATCTTTTTGCTTAAATGATTTCCCACATTCGGTGCACTCATAAGGCCTTTCTCCAGTGTGAACTTTCTGATGATGACCAAGACCTGAACTACTACTGAAAGATTTCCCACATTCACCACACTTGTAAGGCCTTTCTCCGGTGTGAACTCTCTGATGAGAATTAAAGGAATCTTTTCGCTTAAACGATTTCCCACATTCGGTGCACTCATAAGGTCTTTCTCCAGTGTGAACTTTCTGATGATGACCAAGACCTGAACTACTACTGAAAGATTTCCCACATTCTCCGCACTTATAAGGCCTTTCTCCTGTGTGAACTTTCTTATGATAACCAAGACCAGAGCTACCACTGAAAGATTTCCCACATTCTCCACACCTATAAGGCCTTTCTCCAGTATGAACTCTCTTATGTACATGGAGGGCAGAAATCCTGGTAAAAGACTTCCCACATTCACAACACAAAAAACACTGTCTTCCAGTAAGGAGGCTCAGGTCCTCAATGAGTGTGTCATCACAGCCAATGGCTTTATAGCATTCTCCTGCCGTGTAATATTTTGTAGTTTGAAAAGTCATTCCAGACTTAGAGATGTCCTTTGTCCTGTGCATGGCATAAGCATCCAGTGGCTCGTGATGTCCAGAACTGATAAGCAAGCATTTTCCATCCTGATAAGAGCTACAAGCCTTCCACAACACATGGGAATTGCAGCTCTTTGCAAGCGAGACCCTGTCCACACTGCTGATGAAACAATTCTTTGTCGTGTCCTGCTCCTGGTGCTGGTGACTCTGTGCACTGAAATAGAATGGTTTTGCACATGCCCCACACCTCAGCAGTGTTGGGCCCTGTTGGGTTCCCTGCTGGTCAATGGACAAGAAAATATGTCTCAAGACACACCCACAACTCTCACAGGGGTGGTTCTTCTGGGAAGACAGTGCTGACTTCAGATTCATAGCCCTTGAGCCTCTTACATTAACATTCTCTTCAATGGGTGCCTCCCCATCCTCTGTTCCACAGCAACAACCTGAAGGAAAACAAACGCTAGTAAAGTACATACTGAACTATAGGGAGTAGGTTTCCTCATGACTGATTTGCATTAGTTACATCTGGCATGATTTTATATGATGATTTCCAACACAAATCAGAGTCTCAAGGAAAGCCCCTCAGGGCTATAATGTGGGGAACTCATTAACTGAAGGACACCAAGATACAGAGGAACCTAAGGAAGAGAAGCTGGCTTCAGAAGTTATTCCTGTCATATGGGCCTGTAAAACTCTTCCTAGTTCTGTTTCAAGGCTGTGTAGAGGACATGAATATGCCACAAACCATGAAAATCAACCACAGCACAGCAGATGCTGTCTTAGTTTTGTATAGAAATATGAGCACACTTCAAGGTGCAACAGGCATTGATCAAAATGGGAGAGCGCACCAAAATCACTCCTCAGAGAAAGGGTTGTGGTGTAGAGGTTAGAGAGGCAGAGATTACCCATGGTTGGAAATCAAAAGTGTGAAGGGAAATTATTACAAGTAACAAACTGGAAATGTGCCAACACTGGGAAAGGACAAGTGCATTAAAGTGTGGCCATTGGCAATGGTGAGCAACTGCAGTTAAAGAGAACATATTCCTCATTATGTTTTAACCAAGACTTGGAATCAAATTTTCCCCAACTGCCATTCACGAAGCGACACTACCCTTTGTGACACTACCTGTCAAGGCTGGATACCTGTCCCTCTTGTAATACGCAAAGAACTGTTCCTGCCCCTCCTCTTGGAGCTATCAGGTGGAAAACTGATGATGCAACTCCAAAGAGAAAGCAGAAGAGGTGAATAACCAACACTGCTTTAGACCAACTCTGCACCAAAAAAATCAAAATAAAAATATCTACATCAGTGGCCACAGCAAGGTGGCAGAATAAGAAATACAAATATTCAACCCCCTTCAAGAATAATTAGACAATTATCCATGTTAAACAGCATCCCTTCACAAAAGGGAAAGAGGGTTAAGAGACCAGGTATTTCAAGGAGCTACAAGGTGGAACCTAATACAAGGAACTGCACAAAACGATAGCAGGAAAGACTGGCTCAGTGAACAGGTTTAGATTCAAAAGACATGGGTAAGAGCTTCTGGGAGACACACTGCAATATGTGCTACCATTGACTCTACTGGCCTGTTTTGTGTTACAAGCCTCCAAGAGATCGCTAAATATTTGGAAAACCGCAGCCCTGCCACTGAGGACCCCTTCAACCTTCACAACGCTGACCTTGGTCATGGGGCAGCAAGAAGAATGGGAAATGAAACTTCTCATCAGCCCAAAACACAATGCACCACCTAGGAAGCCCCCTTGTATGCACATGCAGATAAAACTACTCTAAACAGAACTGGGTCCAGAAATCCAAAAAAGTAACTGCTTCATCAAATACCAGACATCAACACTAACTCAAAGGGAATTATGAAAAAACTCACAAAAGAAACATCACAATGTTAAAGTGAATTAAGCCAAATGATGGAGGTATATAAATTGACAAAAATAATTCTAATAATTATTTATAAAATTTCAGTCAGGTACAGACAAATGCACTTGGAACTCAACATAATGAGCAGACAAACATGGGAACAAATCATGGGGATCGGTGACACAGAAATCACAAAAAGGATGAAAAAGAAATCTGAAGTTGGAGAATACAATGAATAAAATAAAAAATGCAAAAGAGTTTCAAAAGCAGACAAGGATACCACCTCAGAGGCAAGTGATTTAAAATCTTCCAGGTAAAAAAAAAAATGTAGGGCAGCACTGGTGAATTTTGGAACACCATAAAGATAAAGTGTATTCGCATTATGGGAGTCCCAAGGAGGGGCCAAAAGGAGAAAATGAGAGATAAACATGAGGAGAAAGAGAAGCATACAAAATTGGTTTTAAAAAATGAACTACAGACTGACTTCAAAATATGAAAAATTGAACAGCCACATTTAACATCCTCCCAGGTCCCCGTACACATTCAACGCAAACAGGATTTTAGCACAACATATTATAATAAAAGTGTCAAAAATAAAAAGAGAAAAACATTTTGAAAGACCACAGACAACAATGGAAACTCCTCATGTTAAGGACAACACTCCCATAAGCCAGCAATATTTTTCTCTGAAGAAACCTTGCAGACTTGGAGAATGTTAATATGATATACTGAAAACACTAAAAGAAAATCTCTGCGAAGCACAATGCTTTATTCCCAAAACCTCATCCTCACTTTAACAAGCAAAAAAACTTTTCCAGACACAAAAGATGAAGACGTTAATTTCCACTCATCCTGACTTACTACAAATGCCAGAAAAAAAAGATCTCCGAGCTGACATAAATGTATACATAGAAGCAGGAAATGGTGGGAAAATGTAAAACTGTCTGGTAAAGCCAGGGTGTCATCAGGGTCACAATACTAAGACAGATGGACGCACTTTATTGAACTCTATTGTACAGGACGAATAAAGTAGATTAAGAACAATGGTGACAATATTTGTGAATAGGTACACAATATAGAAAGAGGTAAACTATGAAATCAAAACATGTAAAGGGGGAAAAAACATGTGAAGGGTAGTGTGGCAGCGAGTCACAGGGTAAAATATTTTGAATCCAGTGAAGCTGCTTTCAGGTTATGACGAACTGTTAAGAAAATGAATTTTATCTAAGTCTAATAAAAAAACAAACCACAACCACAATCCTGCAAAATGGATGCACAAAAGAGAAAGGAATCAAATCTCAAAAACAACAAAAAAGAACTGACTGGTGTGGCTCAGTGAATTGAGTGCCGACCTGCAAACCAAAGGGTCACGGGTTTAATTACCAGTTGGGGTGCATGCCTGGGTTGTGCAACCAGGTCCCCAGTTTGGAGCACACAAGAGGCAATCACACATTGAAGTTCCTCCCTCTCTTACTCCCTCCATTTCCCTCTCTCTAAAAATAAGTAAATAAAATCTTTTAAAAAAGAAAATAAGAGGAAAAAGAAAAAAATACAGCAAAAATGGGAAGACAAAAGGAACTACAAAAGAGGCAGAAAACATGACAAGGTGGCGACAGTAGGTTCTTCCAGAAATTCTCCAATCAAAGATATGAGTGGGTGAAGGGATAAAAACACAAGACACAAAAGCATTTGAGATCTTGTGTCCTGTTCATCGTCATCAGTTTGGCTCAATAAACACTTATAAAAATTCTCATGATGGATGAAAAAGGCGAAGGGATTATAAAGTACAGACGGACAATTTCAGAACGCTCATTTGGATGAGCGTACAGTAGAGTCAATAACATCACCGATCACGTATGGCGCCACATGGAATCGAATGTATGGAGATGATCACTTAGTTATATAATGTATAATTATGAAACTAATATAATGTATGTCGACTGTACTTAAAAAGAAAAATAATAGAGTAAATAAATACATGAATAAATAAATAAATTGAAGCTTGTGCTCCAGAAAGAAAACAAAAGTCCCCAAGACACAACATATGCTGCTTCTACCAGACTCAGTAAATCTTTATGGACACAAATGAGCTGAAAATAAAGAGACGTGAGAAACCGTCTATGTTTTTTACATAACACCAAATAACACCAAAGAGAGCAGGGATGATAACAACTGTAAATACTATATGCCCAACAATAGAGCACCTAGTGCATAAGCAAACAATATGAGATCTGAAAGGGGAAAACGCAACCCAACACTACTAGACAACTTGGATATGAGCCTTCCAACAATGGGTAAGTCATTCATTTTGAAAGCAATAAGGAATTATTAAAGTTTGAAAATACTGTAGAGAAAACAGAGTTGATAAATATAGGCACAGCATTTTATCCACCCCAGCCAAGTGGCTCAGTTGGAGCACTGTCCCATACACCAAAAGGTTGTGGGCTTGATTCTTGGGCAGGGCACAAACATAGGTTGCCGGTTAGATCCCATTAAATACACATACACGAAGAAACTGATCAATGCTACTCTCTCGTATTAATAGTTCCCCTTCTCCCTCCCTTCTTTCTCTAACAATCCATACAAATACTTTGCAGAGAGCACAGAAAATATAACACTTGTAGAAATGTTGGAGAACATAAAAAATGCTTTTTCTCACCAATCAATGTGATATCTATTTGGCTTCTGGCAATACTACTGAGGGCGAATCCTTCCCTGTGAGGGTTCTGTGCAGCAGGTATGGGGGCGGCAGGGAGAGCAGGGGGCGGTGCAAGCAAACCGGCCCTGCCAAGACCAGGATCCACCCAGAACCCTGGGGAAGTGAACAGTGCCCGCAGTCCACATGGGAGGACGGAGCAACCCCTGAGGAGTGAAGGGCACGGGGGACATGCAAAGCCTAGTCCAGGTCACTGGCGAAATGAAGGGTCTTTTTTTTTTTTAAACCGTGAGTTAGTTTATTAATATTTGGGACAATGAACAACAAAAAAACACACCCCTGCAGACATGGTCAGGGGCCAGCCTAACACCAGATGCTGCTGTCCATCTCTCCCTGGGTACATGACTGGTCAGGACCCTTATAGCTTAGGATACAAGAAGCAAACTGCAACCCTGAGGAAGGGGTGTGCAGGCAAGGCAAAGAAAAGTGCACAGGGAGAGTCGATGTCTTACCCAGCGATGATATAAGAGCACAGTTCTCCAGCAAGACACTGAGAAACATGTGTCTCTGAGCCTCATCCAGAAGGAGCCATTCTGTCTTGGACAGATATACAGCGATGTCCTCAAAGGTCACAAAAACCTATCAGAATTAATACAAATGAATCTGGAACAGTCTAAGACCTCAAATCCTACTCTTCCCCACAGTGAATCTCTTACAGGACACCCCACTTCAGGGAAGACAGCAACAGTTGGTCTGCCTGCAGTCTCATCACAGTCTCATTCATCTCTTATGCTGTCCTCAGCAAAGGAGGCAGGATGAGAGGAAGTGGGGCAGATAAATGCCATCTAAACTCAGGGCCCTGCTGCAGAGCCACATTCTTCCTGCTAAACAATTCCACTGAGTCTCCCAGATCAGGCCTCCAAACCCAGCCATAAATGGGCTTAGGCTTCACCCTTAAATCCAAACACCAAGAACCCAGGTCCATCAGCCCACACTTCCTCTAGCTATAACACCACAGTGTGATCTCTCCCTGCTTCATAGCTTCACACCCAGGTTCACTCCCTCAGCTCTGCCCCCTTCACTCTCCTGCATAAAAGAGACTCCACTTTTGCATGACCCCATCGTTAACCCTTCCACAGACTCAGACCCATGTGAGCTGCTCACCAGATGTTTCCACTCACTGCTGTTTGTAACTGATAAGTGTTAACCAAAAGAACCCTCTGATATTCCCCAAGAGAATTAACCTACCTCCATCTTTCCCAACCCAGTGGATGGAGCTTCCCCTGCTTCAGCTGCTAGGACCAAAAATGCTGGGGTGGTGCCCTGGCTGGTGTAGCTCAGTGGATTGAGCACCAGCCTGCGAACCAAAGAATTGTGGTTCGATTCCCAGTCAGGGCACATGCCTGGGTTGCAGTCCAGTTCCCAGCAGGGGACCCATGAGACACAACCATACATTGACATTTCTCTCCCTCTCTCCTTCTCTTCCCCTCTAAAGATAAAGAAATAAAATCTATAAAAAACAATGCTGGGGTGGTTTTGAACCCTTTCCTTTCTTCCTGCAACTGCAAAATCTTAAAATATACTTCTTTAAAAATGTAAATGGGAGGGGGATGATGGAGGTGGAAGAAGGTATGAGAAGATAAATGGTAATGAGAAAAAATACAATAAAAATATTAAAGGATGGATCGAGAATTCAACCTTTTCTTTTACCTCTGAGACCTAGCTCGGATCCATCAGCTCTCCTCTGGATCACAGAACTCTCCAGGTCCAGGGCCCCCTGCCTCCTCCATTAACCCCCACACTCTGTTTCCCACTAGGCAGCCAGATGGAGCCTATTAAATCCAGGAGAGACCAACTCCTTTCTCTTATGCAAATACCCCATTATCTCCCTAATAGATATCCAAATTATCAACTGGCCACTTTACAAGTCTGATTCCCCCTTGTGCCTTGTGTTTAACACAAAGTCTACCCGAGGTACTTATTCCCAGCTCGGTGGCATCTCCAAACATTTGCAGGTAGAGGTGTCCCTTCCCAAATAACTTCCCTCAAATGCTTACACTGACTTACCTGTGTGGACCAAAAAAAATAGGGTAGGAGCACATTAAACCCTGACCAGTCTAGAGGAGTCCCCCATAATGTCCTTACAAACTGAGAGACAGAAAAGACCACTATATATGGTCGAAAATGAAAACTTTATAACTAAAAACAAGTCATGGCAAGCAGTCATGACCTAGACTTCTATCTTCCCTGAGGAAGGTGAATTTTTACCTTAACTGAGTTCATCTTTGCATTTTGGTGCCTTTGTTAACATACCTTTGGAATGACACAATAATTTCCTATTTTCTTACCCCTCAGGGCATAAACACTGCATGACAGCAGAGACCAAAACCCCCCTCAGTGTTATTGTTACGTTAATTCATTAAAAAATAACTATCTTATACCCAGTAATGTGAAACAACATGTGTCGATTCATCTTTACCTTTTATTTAATATCAGGAATTTTCCTGCTTTGTTTTTTCCCACCTCACTAACCCATCCCCCCAATGACTTCAACTTCCAAACTTCTATATCTACCTTTTTTATTCTGATGTATAAAATAAGTGGTAAAACTGCCATTTCCCAAAGCATTTTCACACTCCGCTGAGATTTTTTCCCTGGAAACTGTCATCAGTTTTGCTCAGATAAACATTTCAAAAAGTCTCTACAGTTTGAATGTCTCTTACGTTCACACTAGAAATGGGAGCACCTTCCATTACCCATGACCTGCACTCAGGATTGGGGTATCCCAGGGTCTCCTCATTTGAAAGTTGGAAAATTACCAAGGGAAGTGTCTTTAGACACTATATGGTAATGTCACCACCAGGTAGGGACTGGGACACTGTCCTTCTTGGTCTGGTTTGATAATGATTTTCAACTTCTGTACCTGTGGGAAAAAGCAATCAAGCATCCTAACAGCTGCAAGTAAACAGGTCTCAGCTGTATTTCAACCCAGCCCTGGAGTCTGGTGACCTCTGGCCAAATGTCTCCTCAGTGCAGCCTCTTATCAGCTCTGAGACCTTGACCAAGGGCTCCTCTTCCTGTGCCTTACTGTCCTCATCACCCCAGTCCTGTTGGTTTTCTATCTCAGCAGGATCTAAACAGCTTTGAAAACCATGACACACCCTCTGTCTCTCTCGATTCATGACCATCCCAGGCTCCCAGGACCCTCAGAATGAAGGTGCAACCCCTATGCCCAGTTATGACATGACTCTGCTTCAGACTATTGAAACCAGATGTAAGGCCCAGACCAGATTTGTGGGTTTATCCAGGTCAAGGACACCTGCAGGTGTTTAGAAGGTGACACCAGAGCCGCTTACCCTCGCCAGTCCTATAACACCATGTGTCACCCACAAGCACCTAAGATCCCAGATGCTGGGGCCAGGCCTGCAGGATGTGATGGGTGCCCTGTACCTGGACTGCAGGGCTGGGTGGGCTGAGGAGGGAAGGCCCAGGGATCCACACTCACCTCAGCCACACGCCTCAGGGTGTCAGCTGCCATCAGACTGTGGCAGGGAAGTGGTGGGAGCGGCAGGCGAGGAGGGTACACCTGGTATTGGGGTCACTGTCCCAACCCTGACTCTGGACACCCGAGCAACATACTTGGCCTCACAGCTTCTGTGGGGAGCAGCACACTGGCACCTTCTCCTTTCCATCCTGCGACCACGAGACCCTGATCCTGTAATAACGAAACGTGAGAGGACAGGCATTCCCGCCAGGAGACAGGTGGAAGAATGCCCTACAATATGGCCCCAGTGGAAATGCCTTTCACGAGTCGTTATTAACCCAGCCTTGATATTCCACACTTGCCTTCTGGGTAATTTAAGGTGTATATTCCAAGAATGGGATCTTGTATTTCCCCAGCTGCCTCAAGGAGTGGATTGGCAGATTTACACCCCAAGAATACCCTAACAATACTAAATCTGCTCATACCCACCCCTGTGGACAATATTTCTTAGGCGAGGAAGTGCCTGCTACGCCTTTGATTCAGACTACGGGGCATGTGCTCCATCAGGTGGATGTTGCTCTAGTCCCTAATGCTCTCTATCCTGTATCAGGAGGACCCACATGGCAAATTAAATGTAATAAATAATACACTAATGTTCAAGTGAACCTGTGCCTAGTGCAGCCAGAAGTCTTAGCTCTTCCTGGGCAGCGGTGTGACTAGAATCTTCACTGATTGGATCTGATGCCTCCTACTTGAATTTTACATTGTTACAAATAATGGAGCACATGTCAATGACATCAAAGACATGCAATTATAGGAAATCAGCCCAGAAAGTGCCTATAAAGTTCCAAACCTACCAACTCAATATACTGATAAAGCTAGTGACACTAATTGGCTTGGTCTGCAGTACATCCTGTGGTATATTAAATATACAGTAACACTAGGTTAAAAATAACAATATACATACAATACCTACTGGGGATCTGGCCAAAAAGCTTATCATGTGCCCTGACTGAAAAACGAACCAGGGACCCTTTGGTGTCTAGGCCTTCACTCAATCTACAGAGCCACTCCAGACAGGGCTCTTTCAATATTGCTTGCCAATCCCTTAATAACCTGCAATTTCTTTTGAGAAATCACCTGACGATCTTGTGGGAATTCTCTGTAGGTAACTAACTTTTCTTCTTCTGCTTTTAGATTCTCTATTTACCTTTACACTATGGCATTTTATTGTTTTCTTCTTGGCTTTAAGCTTCCTCTTCTGTGAGGTGATCTACCTTCTTTACTTCAGATGATGAAACATAATAGAAACTCAATGGCATAATGTAGTGTTGCCAGCATCTTAAACTTCCATTTCCAAACCCCTCCTTTTTCCAAACATTTTATTTATTTCTTTATAGAGAGAGGGGAAGGGAAGAAGAGAGGAAGAGAAGAAGAAAAACATCGATGCGCAAGAGATACAGCAATCCATTGCCTCTCACTGCCTTAAACAGGAGACCTGGCCCACAACCCAGGCATATGCTCTGACTAGGAATCAAACTCGCAACCTTCTTCTTTGCAGGCTGACACTCAACCCACTGACCCATAACAGCTAGGGTTAATCTTCAGCATTTTGATTATGATGTATCTTTTTTAAATTTATTTATTTTTATTGATTATGCCATTACAGTAGTTCTATTCCCCCCTTCATTCCCCTCCACCCTGCCCCCCATCCCCACCATTACCCCCTCTTTAGTTTATGACCATGTGTCTCAAGTTCTTTAGATTCTATATTTCCCATGCTATTCTTGCCCCCCCCATCTATTTTCTATCAACTGTCTATGCTACTTATTTTCTGTACCTTCTCCCCCCTTCTCCTCCCACTCCTTTGTTGCTAACCCTCCTTGAGATCTTCATTTCTATGTTTCCACTCCTGATCTAGCTGTCCTTTTAGTTTGCTTTTGTTTTAGGTGTGGTTGTTAATAACTGTGAGTTTGCTGCCCTTTCACTGTTCATGTTTTTTTAACTTCTTTTTCTTAGGTAAGTCCCTTTAACATTTCATATAATAAGGGCTTGGTGATGATGAACTCCTTGAATTTGATCTTATCTGAGAAGCACTTTATCTGTCCTTCCATTCTAAATGAAAGTTTTGCTGGATAGAGCAATCTTGGTTGTAGGTCTTTGGATTTCATGACTTGGAATACCTCTTTCCAGCCCCTTCTTGTCTGTAAGGTCTCTTTTGAGAAATCAGCTGACATTCTGATGGGGACTCCTTTGTAGGTGACTGTCCCCTTATCTCTTGCTGCTTCTAGGATTCTCTCCTTCATTTTAATCTTGCTAATGTAATGATGATGTGCCTTGGTGTGTTTCTTCTTGGGTCCAACTTCTCTGGGACTCTCTGAGCTTCCTGGAAGTCTATTTCCTTTGCCAGATTGGGGAAATTCTCCTTTATTATTTGTTCAAATAAGTTTTCCATTGGTGGCTGTTCCTTCCCCCTTCTGGTACCCCTATAATTCAAATGTTGGAGCGTTTAAAGATGTCCTGGAGGTTCCTAAGACTCTCATTTTTTTTTTTTTTGAATTCTTGCTTCTTCGCTCTTTTCTGTTTGGCCATTATTTGCTTTCTTCTGGTCCACTCCATTGATTTGAGTCCCAGTTTCCTTTTATCTCTATTGGTTTCCTGTGCAATTCCATTCATTTCAATTAGTTTCACCTTCATATGTTTGTCTAATTTGTGGCTATAATCAACCAGTGTTTTAAACTGTGCGTCTGAGAGTTTTGCTATTTCTTCATCGCTTAGATTTATCGGCTCTGGGGCTTTGAGATCTTCTTGAGCCATTTTTGGTCTGTTCGCGCTCATTAAGTACGAGGAGCCTTGGACTCCCAGGTCGCTGGGTTGTGACGCCATATGTGGGGGCGTGCTCAGAGCCGGGAAATGGCGGCGCCCTCTGCTGCCGCTAGCCAATGGGGCTGCTGGCTCTCATCCAATCGCCCACTCCCTCGCTTGTCTATCCACACACGAATGCGCCACCACAGTCAACCCACAGCCCTGCTCCCTCGCTGTTTCCCCAAGGTCGCTTGCTGAGTTGCCCACCAGGTCCAACCCTGCGCCTGGATTCTGCGCGCCTGAGTCCGTCTGACCGAGTTTTCCGGTGCTACCCCGCTCCTCCAGCTGCTGGTTTCGCCCCTCTTACCGGTCAGGCTGAAGAATTTGTTGTTATCAGACTTCCGAAAAGTTCAATTTTCTGTGTTCTGGCTGTGTTTTCTGTTGCTAATATTTAGTTGTCTCTAAACTTCGTTGTGTGAGGAAGCACGGCGTCTCCACCTATGCCTCCATCTTGGTGGAAGTCTTGATTATGATGTATCTTGAAATGGGCATCTTTTCATCCATGTTGTTTGAGACTCTGTGCTTCCTGGAATTGCATGTGTATTTACTTCATGAAATTGGCGGGGGGGGGGGTTCTTTCACTATTTTTAAAAATAGATTTCCAACTTCTTGTTTTTTCTCTTTTCCTTCTGACACCCCTGTGATGTGAATGGTGGATCTGCTTAAGTTTTCCCAGAGACTGCTTATAGTACCTTCATTTTCTTTGGATTCTTTTCCTCTTGTTCTTTTTTTTTTTGTTGTTGTTTTATCTTTAGAGGGGAAGGGAAGGAGAGAGGGAGAGAAACATCAATGTATGGTTGCCTTTCATGCATCCCCTGCTGGGAACTGGCCTGCAGGGAACCGGCCTGCAACCCGGGTATGTGCCCTGACTGGGAATCGAACCGCGATTATCTGGTTCGCAGGCCCGTGCTCAATCCACTGAGCTACACCAGCCAGGGCTCCTCTTGTTATTCTGATTGGTTGGTTTTGTTCCTTCTCTTCCATATTGATTTAGTTCTCAGCTTTATCACCTCAACCGTTGTTTCCCTGTAAATTTGTCATCTCAATTACTTTATCCTTCATTGCTGACTAGATCCTTTTAATGCTGCTGAGATCCTCATTAAGTTTTTAGAGCATCCAAATAGTTTTGAAGTCAGCATTTGATTGATTACTAATCTCCATTTCATTTAGCTGTTTCTGGAGGTTTGATCTGTTCTTTTATTTGGGCAATGTTTCTTTGTCTCCTTGTTTTGGCAGCCTCCCTGTGTTTGTCTCTATGTATTAGGTAGAGCTGCTTTAACTTTGGTAGTGTAGCCTAATGTAGTAGGTGTCCTGTAGAGTCCAGAGGCACAAATTCCCCGATCACCAAAGCTGGGTACTTGAAGTGAACCCTTCATGTGGGCTGAGCATACACTCCTCTTGTAGGTCAGGCATCATTGCTGTTGGCAGATCAATAGGAGGGATTTACCCAGGCCAGTGAGAAGCAAGGATTGGCTGTGACTACTGACTACCAACTTCTGCCATATGTGGATGATCAGCTATGCAGGCACAGGGTAGTGGTGCACCGATGTGGTCTGTAGCTGTCCAATGGGTGCTCTGTCCCTGGGACTCCCCAGGTGGTTCAGGCCAAGGTCAGCTCCCACCTGTCTTTTGCCCTCAGCCACCCTTCCAGAGATATAAAGCAATCCAAGATGGCTACGACTTGTGCTGGGCTTGGAGATTGCCAGGGAAAGCCATGCTGTGGATCTAGGTAGGCTTCTGCTAGTGCCAGGCCTAGGGCTCACTGTGGCCAGGTGTTGTTTGTTTGATAGGATTCAGGGAGTCATGAAGCACAAGACAAGACCAGACATTCATGTGGAAAAGTAGTATAGGAAGGCCCACAAGGTGGGTGGGGCGGAGTCTCTAGGACTTGCTAAGGCAGGTCAAAAATTGTTAGACATGTTGACCAAGAATCTCAGATATGGCACCACCTTGCCTGCTCTAGGGTGTGGGGGGAGGGTTTAGAAAAGGGACCATTACCTCACTGACCTTAACGCCAGACACTTCAGGGTCCCCCTGTATATCAATGGTGCCTTTCAAGCTGCTATGCCAGTGCTGCAGCAGAGAGAATGAGTCTAAGTAGGTGAGTCTGTGTGTGGGATCTTTTTGTTTTTTTAATCAAAAATGTGTTTAGAGGAATGGTTCCCCACTCACCTTGATTCAGGGTACTTTTAGTGCTGCTTCCTTCTAAAGGAGCATCCTTCTGTGAGCCTTGCTTTTCCTCTTGTAGGCTGACAGAGGATTGTGGAGCAGCCAACACACAAAACTACCATTTGTGCATGGATAAAGGCAGTGGTCATTTCATAGCATCCTTGGCATTTCATCCTTGAAGTAGGAATTGGGGCTCCGCACTGGACATTTCTTCTGTTTCCTCTCCTCCTCTTCTAAAGAGGGATGAAAGTGATCCTTTGTGAGAGGAATGCTGTTGTGAGGAGGTCGTTATGGCCAGAAAGCTGTGTCTGGGGTCTTGAACTGCTTGAGGCTCAATTTTCTTGCACTAAGAGAATCCCCACTAGTTTTTGCAAACAAAAGTTATGGGGACTTATCCTTCTGGCCCTGGGACCCTGGATGGGGTCCTGCTGTGGGGCTGGACTCCCAGCTCCTAAGATAAGTCTCTGGAATTTTTATCTACTACATGTGGGTGGCGGTCCAGCCCATTTCTCATCGTTCCCCTACTACCAGTTTGGAGGGATGTGGTTTCCTTAATTCCCTCGTTCCCAGACTTCCATTTAGCTCAGTATCTGATGGTTCTGAGTGATGGTTGTCCTATATTTTGGTTGTAATTTGGATGTCACTGTGTGAAGAGTTAAGCCGTATCTACTTATGCTGCCATCTTGACCATAAGTCCAGAGACAATTTAGAGTGAGGCACAAAAGGGACCAAACATAACAGAAACAATGACTCTGAAATTCTTAGGGGCTGGTATGAAAAACAGAAATGGATTCTGCTCAGTTAAAGAAGTTGCTCAGCTTGGAAGTGTCAGAGCCACAGGATATCAAGTAATGAGTGGCCCTAGAATATGCCGATAAAGCCTTGAGATCATTCTCAGAAGAGTGGCAAGCCCCGGTGGAGCTTTAAGAGTATCATCCACGCATTCAACAGATAACCCTGTCATTTGAAATCTGGTGGACATCTAGTGCATTATAGTGGCCATCAATGCACTCTATCCACACTGAGGAGCTGCGTCTACTTCCTGTATTCCTGGGACATTGCTGTCCAGAGTTAGGTCTTACCTCTTCTTTAACAAAAGGCAAAAACCTGACAGTGATTCGGAAGGCCTATTAGCCCTACTGGATCAAGGTATTTTACTCAATTTGTCCTGCAACCTGGCCATGGAATCAAACTACATCAGCCAAAGCTTCCCTGAGACCTAAGTGAAGCATCTGAAATAGGTGACATAATTAATAAATGATTACCGACGAAACGAAACATGATGTCATGGCTTCCCTTTAACTCTTCTAAATTTCTCGGCGCACACTTCATTATATCTTTCTCACCTCACCATTTTTCTTCATTTTCAGGAGTCAAAAAGACCCACACTTTGTAGAAAGAAGATATTCAGCCACATTTCCAGCAGAGCCATAGCTCAAGTTAGTTGTCATTCTTAGAACTAAGTGTCCTTTATGTACTACCCTTTGGGACTTACCTGTCTTAGGGCTTCATAGATCATTTTCCCATATAGCTATTTTAGTAACACTCTTGTATAACCCCATTCCTCAACACCATTACCTTTATTTAGAAATTACGAATCCACTGTGGCTGGTGGGCCTCAATGAATTGAGCACCTGCCTGCAAACCAAAGGGTTGACAGTTCAATTCCTAGTCAGGGCACACGCCTGGGTTGCGGGCCAGATCCCTGGTGGTGGGTGGATGAGAGGCAACCACACATTGATGTTTCTCTTCCTCTCTTTCTGCCTTTCTTCCCCTCTGTCTATAAATAAATAGGTAATATCTTTTTTAAAAAGAAATTCTCAATCCATAACTCTTTTACAGAAATAATCCCCAGTCCCCATGCAGAAACCATCACAACATTTACAGATAAAATGATCATTTCCTTGCCAGGTGAAGAAATATAAGAATCCAAAATGTGTTTCTCATGTTCACATGCCCACTTTCCAAACCTTCACGGATGGCAATATCACAGCCATTCCTTTACAAAAAATGTGAATTTTGTACAAAACTACTATGTCCAGGTAGTTAATACTCACAGAAGTTAAAAATACATCTTATCTCAGAAAATTCAGGGAGAATTTCATCTGCAAAAACAATTATTTTTGGCCCTGGTTGCTGTGTCTCAGTGGATTGAATGCTAGCATATGAACTGAAAGGTCACTGGTTTGATTCCCAGTCAGGGTACATGCATGGACTGTGACCCATGTCCCAGTAGTGGGCATTCGAGAGTAAACTGATAGATGTTCCTCTCAAATGTGGATGTATCGCCCTGGCTGGAGTAGCTCAGTGGATTGAGTGCGGGCCTGCGAAACAAAGGATCGAGGTTCAATTCCCGATGTGCAAGTCAGGGCACATGCCTGGGTTGCAGGCTAGTTCCCAGCAGGGAACGCATGAGAGGCAACCATACATTGATATTTCTCTCCTTCCCTTCCCCTGTAAAGATAAATAAAATCTTTAAAAAATAAATTTAAAAAAATCAGTAACATTTAGAAGGGCTTTAAAGATTTAGCACTAATCCAAGCAAGACATTGTACTGACAGCAGTGAGGAGGAAAAGATGAGGGAAAAGGAGAATTTTACAGTGTCCACATATGCCACCTGGTTCCTTTAAATGAATTGTTTAGTAAAATGTCATGGATGCAGATTGCAAATATCACCAAAGATGCGCCAGACTCACCCTATCTGAAAAAGCCCATGAACCATAATTCTGCTAACCAGAACACAGATACATTGATTCATCATTTAGCCAATGTACCCGCCTAGAGCAATAAGGATTAAGAAGCTCAGTTGTGACCAGAGTATACTGGGCATTGTAGCGAGGGCTTATGTTCAGAAGGACTACATTCCTACTCGAAGATCTCTGGTGCAGACACAGGGACACTGGAAAGGAGGATGTGGTTACTGAACAAGGTCAGGGCTGCAGGGAATTGATGGTGAGCACCACTGTCTCCTCCAGCCAGTCCTGCCAGAGTAGAGTCAAGTGGGCACTGAGTTTCCTGTATGAAGAGGTGAACTCTCCACCAAGGAGATAACAATACTGTAGGTCTCCAGCATCACTTCTGAATAGGCCCCAGGTATCACATTTAGTTGTCCTCAAAAGTATAGAGTGCCTGTCAGTGACAGATACCAAAAACACTTGATGGGTCAAACTGAGGCATTACATTCACTGCAGTCGATAAAATTAAAGCCTTTCATGCAAAATATAAGTGAATGTGCAGAAAGACTCCTCAGTGCCCAACTGTGTTAAACTTAAAAAGGAGGAAGACAAAATGCAGCTAAGGCTCAAAGTAGTTACACCCGGAAAAATCACTGGAACTGACAGATAAGTGTCCCAAGAATACTATGAGGTAGATGTTAAGCACTCTAAGAAATGAGAAAAATACAGACATTTCATTATAATTGCAGCAGCTGAGTTTCCTGTTTTCTTGGTCTTTACTGTCCTTCTGCCCTGTGCTGAGGCCTTAATACACCACAATAGGAAATGTCTACAGCTCTGGAACTGCACTAATGACTGAATAAAGCCTCTTGAACCTGACGTTTGTTGTGTGAACTTGGACAAACCCCTTTACCTTCCTCATATGTGGTTTTCGGAGAAATTCACTAACAGTTATTGACCTACTGATGGATGAATTAAAAAACTCATCATCACCAAAAAACAAACCCTGGAATATCAAAACCAGTGTTTACTGAATTTTGTTATTTCTATTGACCTTCATGAGAGCCAGTTATTAATTTCATATCAGTCACTGAAGTGAGTTTTGGGGAATTTTGTTGACACCCAGAGATGCCCCTGTGGAGAATCCATACAGATACCCAGGAGCCCAGAAGCCACCTCCTCCCTGCGGTAATCTGTGTGCGTAGCAGCAGATATGGGAGATCGGCAAAGCTCCATTCATTTTTCCCAAGAACTTGGGGCAGAAGTTTCCAGGGGATTTTGTCCTGTAGGTGGTACCCAAAGTTGGTAACTAAATGTAAGGCAAGTACTTTTTGAACAAGCACCAAGGAAGGGGGGATCAAGGCTGCTCTTTATCACTGTATTACAAGCGAAAATACTGAGTCCCATATAGTGCATTGATTTTCTATAATCATAACAATAGTCAAACCTAGGCTTTAAACCCAGGTTGCATGGCCCAAGGTATGGGGAGGATCTAATCACTGATCTCTTCTCTTTACCTTCTGAAAGGGCTGAAAAAATACTCGTTTATCCTCATACCACTAATTTCACCTTCAAGTCCTGCTCCAGCCCAGCAAACCCCAGATGACAGAGCATAAAAATGGGTGAATACTAAAAAGCAAGACTTTTTATTATATTACTGTTTGCACTAACAAAAGTGATAAAGTGTGTTAATAATGCAGAGTATCCCTTAAAAGGATATATGTACCTACTACATATTGTGCAGCAAAAAAATCTGAATTAGGAAATATTTTCCACTATCAAGAACAATTATTCCAAAAAACCAAAATTTTCCATAAGCTGAAAATTACCTGTTGTTCAAGGAGTGAAAGTGGTGATATTGCAACACGTATCTTTGCTATTTTATCACCTATTATTTACAGGAGAGTAGCTGAAGTTAATAAAACAAGTAAATTATGTAAGCACATAATATACTAAAAACAATAGTAGTGCATACACACCTGCAAAAATGCTCACTATAAATCTGTAGGGAAATGCAACGAAAACAACAGAGAGCATGATGAACATATATAAAGAGCCAGAACTGATAAAAATAAAGCGCTCAGGATTTTGTGAGATGGGGAGAAACCATCCACATACACTATGTGTCAGAATGTGTACCAGCCGTGTAAATTCACAACTAGTTTCAGTTGTACTTTGTTAGGTTCTTTAGAATTTAAACATGAAATTCTGAGACATGGCCACACTGTGAACATATTAAATTAAATTCAGAGGTTTCCTCACAAAGTTTTCTTCGGTGTCATTGCTCTGGAAAAATACATTTCCCAAAGCATAACCATTTACACAGTGAGAACACTCCAATGATAAAAGGATATAAACTTATGGCTAGAGATTTCACATGATCACTTCACACTTGAAGCATTTAACCAGTCTGAACTGTGAATAAGGTGAGTATGACTCTGAGATAAAATATTTCCTAAGTTAGGCCTGGCTGGTGTGGCTCAGTAAAATGAGTATCAGCCTGCAAACCAAAGGGTCGCTCGTTTGATTACCAGTTGGGGCAGATGCCTGGGCTGCAGGCCAATTCTCCACTGGGGGACACGCTAAGAGGCAACCATGCATTGATGTTTGTCTTCCTGTTTCTCCTTCCCTTCCCCTCTAAATAAAAAAAATATTTTTTTTTTTAAAAAAAGAAAGAAAACTGGAAAAAAAAACCTACGTCCCATATTCACTGCACTCATAAGGCTTTTCTTTTTTGTGAACTATTCTTGCTAATCTGGGTGACTGTTATAGCTATAGGATATCCTACATTCAGAGCACTCATAAAGCCTAGCCCCCTTCGTGAACTCTGATAATACCAACAGAGTTATTGGTAAAAGATTTCCAAACTTCACAACACTCAAAAAGCCTTTATCCAGTGTAAATACTTCAATGATGACAAAAGGCAGAACTGCTCATGTTTTCCCACATTAACTACACTTACTCCGTTTTACTCCAGAATGAACTCTATAGTGTTGAATAAGGGAGGAGCTTTGTCTAAAACATTTCTTACATTCACTACACTCATAGGGTCTTTCACCGGTGTGAATGCGCTGATGACAACGATAACCATTCCTAGTGGAAAAAGATTTCCCACATTCACTGCACTCATAAGGCCTTTCTCCAGTGTGTACTCTCTGATGAATACGAAGAACAGAGCTACTGGTAAAAGATTTCCCACATTCACCACATGCATAAGGCCTTTCTCCAGTGTGAACTCTCAGATGACACCGAAGGTCAGAGCTATAGGCAAAACATTTCCCACATTCACCACACTCATAAGGCCTTTTGCCAGTATGAACTTTGTGATGCTTACGAAGGGCAGAGCTCATGGTAAAAGATTTCCCACATTCACTGCACTCAAAAGGTCTTTCACCAGTGTGAAGCCTCTGATGAGAATTAAAATTTTCTTTCCTCTTAAAAGATTTCCCACACTCACTGCACTCATAAGGCTTTTCTCCAGCATGAACTCTCTGATGACAAATAAGGTAAGAACTACAAGTAAAAGATTTCCCACATTCTGTGCACTCATAAGGCCTTTCTCCAGTGTGAACTCTCTGATGACAAGTAAGGTAAGAACTACAGGTAAAAGATTTCCCACATTCAGTACATTCATAAGGCCTTTCTCCAGTGTGAACTCTCTGATGACAATTAAAGTGATATTTCCTTCTAAAAGATTTCCCACAATCACCGCACTCATAAGGCTTTTCTGTAGTGTGTACTCTCTGATGATCATGGAGGGCAGAGTTCCTGGTAAAAGATTTCCCACATTCACTGCACTGATAAGGCCTTTCTCCAGTGTGAACTCTGCGATGACAATTAAAGTAATATATTCTCCTAAAAGTTTTCCCACATTCGCCACACTCATAAGGCTTTTCTCCAGTGTGAACTCTCTGATGATCATGGAGGGAAGCACTACTGATAAAAGATTTCCCACATTCAAGGCACTCATAAGGCCTTTCTCCAGTGTGAACTCTCATGTGGTCATGGAGGGCAGAGCTACTGGTAAAAGACTTCCCACATTCTCTGCACTCATAAGGCTTTTCCCCAGTGTGAACTCGCTGATGGTAACGGAAAGCAGAGCTACTGGTAAAATGTTTCCCACATTCAGTGCACTCATAAGGCCTTTCTCCAGTGTGAACTCGCTGATGGTATCGGAGGGCAGAGCTACTGGTAAAAGATTTCCCACATTCACTGCACTCGTAAGGCCTTTCTCCAGTGTGAAGTCTCTGATGATAACAGAGGGCAGAGCTACTGGTAAAAAACTTTCCACATTCTCTGCACTTATAAGGCCTTTCTCCAGTGTGTACTCTCTGATGACATTTAAAGTCATATTTCCTCTTAAAAGATTTCCCACATTCACCGCACTTATAATACTCTTCTCTAGTGAGAAGTCTCTGATGATCAGGGGGAGCAGAGCTACTGGTAAAAGATTTCCCATATTCAACAAACTCATAAGATTTTTCTCTCATGAAAAGTCTATGAGGAGCAGAGAGAGCCGAACTATTGGTAGAAAATTTTCCACATTCACAACACACGAAACACTGTCTTCCTGTAAGGAAATCACAGTTCTCAACAAGTGTGTGGTCACAGCCAATGGCTTTCTTGCATTCTTCTGGGTTGTAATGTGTACTTTGAAAAATCTTTCCAGAATCAGAGATTTCTTTTACCCTGGGCATGGTGTGAGTAGCCAGTTTCTCAAGATGTCCTGAGCTGATGAGCAAGCATTTTCCAACCTGACTAGAGGTACAAGGCTTCCATGACACATGGAAATCGCAGCTGTTTGCAAGTGACACCCTGTCCACACTGCTTATGAAACCATTCTCTGTTGTGTCCTGCTCCTGGTGGTGACTCTTTGGACTGAAATAAAATGGTTTTGCACATGCCCCACACTTCAGCAGTGTGGGACTCTGTTGTGTTCCCTGCTGGTCAACCAAGAGGAAAATGTCTCTCAAGACACACCCACAACTCTGACAGGGGTGGCTCTTCTGGGAAGTCAAAGCTGCCTTGATATTCTTAGCCTGTGAGACTCTTACAGATAAGTTTTGTTCAGTGGGTGCCTCCACATCCTCTGCTCCACAGCAGCAACCTGAACAAAAAGAAATGCTGGTGAAATACATAGTGACATATTGTGAGGGAAGGGCTTTTCTCATCACTAATTTCCATCTGTCACATCAAGGCACAATTCTAGGCAACGATTGTCAAGACAAGTGAGACAGACTCTAAAAAAGTGGTGGCTGCGCATTACTAGACCAGTAAGGTTAATAAAGAATGGGTACCTCATTAAACAAAGTACACTGAGATGCGACAGAACAGAAGGAGGAGAGGCAGGGTTTAGAAGTTGTCTCACTACTGATGGCTGCCTACAAAAGCCTTTCTGCTGGTGATGTCAGGCTGTGTAGAGGATATGCTCCGCATCAGAGTAGATGTAGTGCAAGGTTCGTACAGAAACATGGACACCTCAAGGTGCAACGGACATTGACCAAAGTTGGAAAGCACACCAGAAAGACTCCTCAGAAAAATGGTGTAGTGTAGAGGATACGGACGCAGATACTAGCCCTGGCTGGAAGTCAGAGTAGAAATGATAACTATATGAACTAACAGGCAAAGTGCCAACACTGTGAAAGGACAAGTAAATCAGGGTGTAGCCAGTGGCAATGGTGACAAAATACAGTTAAACAGACAGGATTCTCATTATCTTTTAACAAAACCCTGATATCAATCCCTTCCCAAGTACCATTCACCAACACCAGACCCCTATGAGCCCATCCTGTGTTGGCTGGATTCCTGTCCCTCTTGTGATACACAAAGGATTCTTCCACTTCCCTCCCAGTTGAACAGTTACATGGGACACTGATGATGAAACTCATAAGGTAAAACTAAAGAGATGAGTAACTAGCACTGTCATGGAACAACTCAACATAAATGAACTGAAGGAAAAAGATCTATGTGAGTGATGACAGAAAATTGGAAGAATGAAAAATACAAATATTCAACCCACTTTGAAAGTAATTAGACAAATATCCATGATAAAAAGCATCCCTTGATGGAAGGGGGAAATGCTTAGGAGACTATTTTTTCCAAAGAGCATGAGTGAAGAATCAAACAAAGAACTGCACAGAAAAGAACTTCAGGGAAAACTGCAGTTGCTAACCATGCTAGCAAACATGGTTAGATTCAAAATACAAGAAGTGAGAGCTTCATCTCAAAGCTACTGCGCATGTGTACTGTGGATTTCAGTGGCCAGTTTTGTAAATCATGATGGCAACTGCTGTTGCTGAGAACTTCATGATTCCCTATAACATCTGCATACTTCCCACACATTTCTCCTCAAAGGGACCCATAGTTTTTGAACACAGATATCAAGAGGAATCCTCTTGGGTATAACATCACTTATGAAAGAATAACATCAGTATGTCCCCAGCAATATTTGTCCCCAAAGCCTCCAAAATAGATAGTTACATACATGGAAAACTGCTGTCTTGGCCTCTGAGGGTCCCTGGGATTTTTACTACTTGGACCTCAGCTCAAAGGACAAAAAGAATGCTAACTGAAACTTGTCTTCAGCTCAAAACACAACACATCACGCACCAAGCACTCTTATATCCACATGCAGATAAAACTGCTTTTTGCCCTGGATGAGGTGGATCAGTAGGTTAAGCACCAAATCCCAGTCTAGGCACATGTCTGGGTTGCAGGCCTAATACCCAGATGGGAGCGTTCAAGATGCAATCGATGATTCTCTTCACACATCAGTTTTCTCTCCCTTACTCTCTTCCCAATGCCCCTCTCTCTAAAAAGAAATAAAATATCTTAAAAAAAAAAGTTTATGGGCACAAATAGGTTGAAAAATAGATATAAAAAACATTCCATACAAATAAAAACTAAGAGAGCAGGAACAGATAAAATTCTATCACACAAAATAGACAACCTCAATCATTATCATAAGGAAAAAGGACATCCTAAAATAATAAAGGAGTTAGTTCATTACAAGAAAAACAATTTTAGTTACTATTTACTCAACCACAGAGCACCTAAGTACATAAGCAAACAATGTAAGATCTGAAGGCAGAAAATATGACCTGAAAGTACTAGACAAGTTAAATATTCCCCTTTTAACAATGGGTAGATATAACTGATTAAAAGCAAAAAAGAATTACTGAGATTTAACTGCATTTTAGAGAAAACAGAACTAATAAATACACAGAAAACATTTTATCCACCCTTGGTCCGGTGGCTCACTTGTTTGGAGAGTTGTCCAATGCACCAAAAGATCATGGGTTTGAGTCCCACTGGGGCAAGAGGCAAACAAGTGGAATTTTTTTCTCACATTCATGTTTCTCTCTTTCTCAATCCCTTTGCTTGCTCTAGCATCAATAAACATACACACAAGTAAATATTTAAAATATGTATGTAAAAATTATAAACAAGAATATAATAAGTACCCTGGCTGGTGTGGCTCAGTGAATTGAGTGCCAGCCTGTGAAACAAAGGATTGCTGGTTTGATTCCCAGTCAGGGCACATGCCTGAGTTGTGGGCCAGGTCCCTAGTTGGGGGTGCACGTAAGGCAACCACACACTGATGTTTCACTCCCTCTCTTCCTCCCAACCTTTCTCTAAAAATAAATAAAATCTCTTTTTTAAAAATTTAAGAAATATATAAAAAGTGCTTTTCCTCAGTAATCAATGAGAAATCCACTAGGCTTCCACAAACACTACTGACCTCAAACCCTTCTCTATGAATGTTCAGTACAGCAGGTGCTGGGGCTTCAGAGAAATGAGCCCCAGCTCATTCAATGGAAAAAAACATGCCTTACAAGGTACAAGGACTACAAAGAAAACTGGGCAAGCAAACAGTTTACATACAGTCCACACATGAGGACAGAGCAACCACTGAAGAATGAAAAGCATGGAGAAAATGCAGAGTCTAGTTGAGGTCACTGGTGAGTGTGAGGGTGTTTTTTTGTTTGTTTCTGGAAGGTAAGAGTTAAGTTTATTATGTTTGGGGCAACGAAGCAAAAAGAAGGACTCCTGGAGACAGAATCAGGGGTGACCCAAGACCTGCTACTGTTGTCCATTGCTCCCTGTGTACACCTCTGCTCAACACCCTTGGACTTTGAGATAGAAGAAATTGCAACCCTGAGAAAATGGGGGCGCAGGCCTGCTGAAGGGAAGAGTGAAGGGAGAATATGTGTCTTACCCAGTGACGATATAAGAGCAAAGTTCTCCAGCATCACATCAAGGTACAGGTGTCTCTGAGCCTCATCAAGGAGGAGCCACTCAGTCCTCGAGAAATATACAGCGACATCCTCAAAGGTCAAAACAACCTGTCAGAATTAATACAAATGAATCCAGAACAGTCTGCCTAAAATCCTGCAATCCAGATATTCCCCACACCAAACCCCTTGCAGGGCCCCCAGTTCAAAAACAATTGGTCCCAGAGCTGACTGCTGTCTCATCACAGTCTCATTAATCACTCTCATTGCCCTCAGCACAGGCAGGCAGGATAAGAGGAAGTGGGACAGATAAATTCCATCTAAACTTGTGGCCATGTCTGAAGGGACCCATTCTTCCTGCTAAACAATTTTCATTAAGTCTCCCAGATCATGCCTCCAAAACAGAGCCAAATATGGTCTTGTGCTTCACCCTTAAGACCCAGGTAACTAGGGCAATTATCTCACACTTCCTCTAGCTGTGCATACCACCGTGTGAGCTCTTCCTCCTTTACATATTCACGCCCAGGTTCACTCCCTCAGCTCTGTCACCTTCACCTTCATGTACAAAAGAGCCACCACTTTTGCTTGATTCTATTCTTGACCCTTCCACAGATTTCTAGACTCCATATTCAGCTGTTCACTGGAAGTTTCCATTCACTGCTCTTTGAAACTTTAAAAAATGTTAACCAAAAGAACATTCTGATATTCCTAAAGAGAGTTAACCTACCTACCAAAATCTCCCCCAGCCCAGCTGAATGGAGCCTATACCATTGAACACTTTTTCTTTCTCTCCTTCAGCTGCATCATCTGAAACTCTACTTGGCCTCCTTGAAAAATAGAGGGGGAAAGGTGAAAAAGTGTATGAAGGGGATGAATGATAATGGAAAAAATAATAATTAAAAAACTGGCACAACAATCCAATCTTTTCTCCTACCTCTGAGGCCCAACTCTGTACTCCCTTCCTGTTTTTAACTTCCATAATCTGTTTTCCACTATGAAAGCAGAGTGAGCCCAGGAGAGACCAATTACTTCCTCTTACACAAATAACCCATTATCTCCATGACAGATTCCCAAATTACCATTTGGCCACATAACTGGTCTGATTATTAAACTCCACTCTCACATGCTCTTTTTTTAGCTTAAAGAAAGGAGACCTGAGGTACCTATTCCTATTCCCAGCTCTGTTTCCATGGTTAAGTGTCTCTCCCTGGATAATCATCCATAAATGCTTACAGTCACTGCTAGTGTGTACCAAAAAAAGGGGGTGGGGCAGACCACTTGCCTAACCTGATAAGCTTAGGGAGTCGTCCATGATGGCCTTACAAACTGAAAGACTGAAAATGCTCCTACATATGGTCTGAAATTAAAACTTTTTAACTAAAAGTGAGTCATGGCAAGGAGTTATGTCCTATGCCTGTATCTTTTTGGAGGAAGGACAATTTTTACTTTAAATGAGTCCATCTTTGCATTCTTGCACCTATGTTAACACACCTCTGGAACATCAGCGTAATTTCCTTTTTTATTACCCCTAAGGCACAAACACTACATCAGAGCAGACACCAAAAATTTCCTCTTATTCATATTATTGTGTTAATTAAATATTAACTATCCTATACCCACAATTGTAAAAGACATGAGTGTCTAACAATTTTTATTTTTTATCTAATATCAGAATTTTCCTTCTGTTTTCTCCCGACTCCCACACCTACAACCAGTGGATTTAAAGTTCCCCAATTATGTCTTCCCTTTTGATTCTGATGTATAAAATGAGTAAAAACCTGTCATTTTCCTAACTATTTTTCTCAACCTGTTGAGACTGTTTCAGCCAGTTTGGTTCAAAGAATGTTAAAAATGTCTCTACAGGTTTGAATATTTCTTATGTTAACATCAGAAATGGGAGCACCTTGCTTGATAATACCTGTGACCTGCACTCAGGATTGGGGTATCTCCAGGATCCCCACATCCAAGAGCAGAGAAAAAAAACAAGGGAAAAGTCTTCAGACACTGTACAGTAATGTCACCCACCAGGGAGGGACTGCAACACCCTGTCCTTCCTTGTCTAGGTTACAAAATGGTTTTCAACTTCAGAACCCTTGGAAAGACGAAATCAACCACCTTTACAGCTCTTGGTTAAGGTCTCAGCTATACCCAGCCCTGAAGTCTGGTGACCTCGGGCCAAGAGTCTCCTTAGTGCCGCTGGGTTACCAGCACTGTGACCTTGAACAAGGGCTCCTCTTCCTGTGCTCACTGTCCTCATCACCCCACTCGAGTCGGTTTTGAATCCAGAAGGACCTAAAAGGCTTTCAAAACCATGAGTAGCCTTTGTCCCCTCCAGGTTCACGACAATCCCAGGCCCCTAGGACCCTGAGAATGAAGGTGCCACTCCTCTGCCTCCCAGTCAGGACGTGACTCCGCCTCCCTTTAAAGCAGATGTTAAGGCAGAGGCCTGGTTTAGGGGTTTATCCAGGTCCGGTACCTGTGCTTACATACACGGCGGCCTCTCAGCCTGTCACCCCCTCCCATCCCATCACACCCTGTGTTACCCACGAGCACCTACGAACGCCCACCCGGGACTGCAGGACGTGACGTGTCCCCACACGCGGGCTGCAGTGCTCGGTGGGCTGAAGGGCGCGGACGGGGGGCGGGGCACGCACTCACCTCGGCCGCGAGCCTCCGTGCGGAAGCCGCCGAAGGACTCCGTGGGCGGACTGAGGCCGGGGCGGCGGGCAAGACGGGGGTGCCGGTCACCGAGGTCCCCATCCCGGAGCAAGCACAGGTCGCCAGGGCAGAGTCACAGAACCTCACAATCGCGTTTGTGAGGCAACAACCAAGTTTCTCCGATTTCCTTTCACAGCATCACCACCAGGGCCCAGCACTCAGCGAGTCTGAAGGAGGAATCGGGGGGGTAGAGAAAACGCCCGCCAGCGGGGCTCCGGAAGTCCCACCCTCATACCTTTAGCCCCAATGGAAGGGCTGTTCCTGAGCCTTCATTAGCTCAGCCCTCCAACGGCCTTCTGGGTACTAAGGTTCCTGGAGTCCACGGAGGTGAACAGGGTCACCCGCGCCCCCCCCTACACACACACACACTTCAAGAGACAATACCCAGCCTCTTCGGGAAGCGTACGGGGAGATGACACATCCTGGTCCAAAAGAGATCTAACATGATACAAGATGTCACCTATTCCTACTGTAGGGTATCGCAAGCATCGTGATAAACGTACATTATCTCTGCAACTCCATAGAGCCAGTTGCAGTAATAAAAAAAAATACTCCTGCATAACAGGGTCTAGAAATTTTATGACAAGTGACTGGCTTACACCATCAAATTTATGAGACATATAATACCAGACAGTAAAGCAAAACTTTGAAATAAAAAAAAAATAAGATAAAAAACATAAAACTTAAATAGAAGTTGCCCTGGCTGGCGTGGCTTAGTGGATTGAGGCGTGGCCCAGAACTGATAGGTCTCTGGTTCAATCCCCAGTTAGGGCACATGCCTGGGTTGCACACCAGGTCCCCAGTTGGAAGCATGTGAAAGGCAACCACAAATTGATGTTTCTCTCCCTTTCTCCCTCCCTCCCCCTTTTTCTAAAAATAAATATTATCTTTTAAAAATAAATAAAGTCTTTTTGAAATAAATAGAAGCCAATTGTTTACTTATAAATAAATCAATTATGAAAAATAAATTTTTGAAAAAATGGGAGAATTGAATTCTGACAAAGTTATTGGTGTTTTTCTTGTTTCAAAATGATACCGTGACTATTAAAATAAATTTTGGGCTCCCCAGACATATTTAAAATCAGAGGTCACATGATATTTCTTATAACCCTAATGGATAAGTTAAAGATTATATTTATAAATTATACTTAGAGTAAATAAACAACATAGTCATATTGAAAGTTAACCTATGTATACCTCAAATTGAGAAGAGTACAAAAAATATTGGAATTAACAAAAATATAGAAGTACATATATGCAGTAAAAAAAAAATCAGTAATAGTATAGAAAGCCTGTGATATTTGCTCTATAGCAAATACTATTTGCTACAGAAACCAACACTTGAAAAACTTTAAAACTTAGTGACAGAGAGGAGTTGAAAAAAATCTAAAATCTTACCAGATATTACTTAAAAATTCCTTCCAAAAAATAAGAAATACAGTATTTCCAGCATCCTGCTACTGGGATTGTGGTCATAGAAATGGTCTGACACTGTATCCAATTTACTAACATGGGAAAATTATATTGCATTTTAATTGCCTGTGGAACAGCAACCTGATGTAATCCAATCTTTTCCCCCTTTTCCAGTGAGAGCTCTTAAAAGTCTTCAGGACCCATATAATTTTCATTTTGGTGCGCTGCTGCTTTCATGTTTCCATGGCACCTATCCCTTCACAATTTACTATAATATTAAATATTTTCTCTTTGACTCCTTGGCTAGCCTTCAATAAATGCTTTGAGGAAATCAGGTTGCAAACACCTTTATTTACTCACTGATAAGTAACACAGACCTAGAACAGCCAAAAACCAGATAAAATAATAAGTGATTGTTAAAGAAATGAAACTTGATACCATGTCTTTTCTTACACTTTTCTACATTTTTCTGCTTACAACTATCTTTGTCACCTATTTTTTCCTCAGGTTCTCATGAATGAAATGCACTCACACTTTGTACAAACAATTTCAGGGTAGCCAAGTTGCCTGTTAAATCTCTCATTCTTAGAAGTCGGTGTCCTTTATTTACTACCTATTGTGTCTTACCTGTTCTCAGGCTAATTAGAGTCTTTTCTAGCTATATAAGTAATTCTTATTGAATAACTTCATTAATCAACAGGAATGCCTTTCTGTAGTTTGATCTAATTCTCTTCTGGAAACAATCTGCAGTCCCCATGAGGCAGGAGACAACATAAGGAAGAACTCTTGAGACTGCAATACTGTTACTGGCCAGCATTTAGCACCCTGGTTGCCAGGAAACGCCTTTGACCAATTAGGTAGAATAAACAGTAAACCAAGGCAGGGGGGAGGAAGGAGACAAGTCTCACACACAAACTCAGCCGTCCTGAGCCTGGTCTAATAATATTGCCAACATCACAAGACACACGATGTTAGCAAGAAAGAAGGGAAGTCCTTGAAATTCTATGTAACATTTTCACCATCTGGGAAAGAAAGCCTTGAAACTGTGCTTTCATCCCAAGGCCTGGTTGTGGGAGAGGGTCCCCAGTGCCTGAAGAGCCCATAAAACAACTTTGATTAATTGCCTACCTCTGGTCACTATGTTTTATGAGGGAGTCCCTGATGCTTACAGAAAGAGCCCATAAACAACTTTGGAAAGTGCCCCAATTTTAATTAACTGCCTCTTGTCACAAGATGAACAAATGGGGTCTGGAGCAAGATAAGGATTCAGGCTGACTCCCACACATACCTAAGTTTGGGTAGTCACATTCCCCCAGGAAAGCTGGCACCACATTTACCTGTTAATCAATATGTAACTTTTTCCCTCCTATCCCACCAACTATGTAAGTCCTGAGAACAAAGGACCTGCTCTCTCTCACTCAGGGGCTCAGGGTGCTCTTGGCTCTTGGGCCACTGGGCCCCTGGGCACCTGGCCTCAGGCTGCCCAAGGGGCTTGCCACCCTGGTCTTCAACCACTCTTGCTTTTGTTACCCTGTCATGCCCTGATACTTTGCCTTTCACCCCCTATTCTACCCAGTCCTGTTCTCTCCCATGGGAATAGGCCACTAATAAACTGATTACATGCTACTAGATTTGCTGATATGTAATTCTTTATATGCAAGAAGAACCACATCTCTCCCATCAACACCCATGCAGACACTGTCAATGCATTTTCAGCAGAAATGATCATCATCTTCAGGATAAGTGGTAAAACCTCAAATTCAAAACCTTTACCTCAGATTCAGGCACCCACTTTCCACACAATCATAGATGCCAACATCGCACCCATTCTGGCAGCAAATATAAAATTTGTACATAATCAGTATTCCCAGATATGTCTTATTCTTAGAAGATTGGAATACTGCTATTGATGCTCAAAAGCGTCATGGTTAGTGCCTTCATTAATTTCACATCCGTGACGTGAGTTTTAATGAGTTTTACTGTCACCCAAAAATTCCCAAGAGCAGAACCTGTACTGAGACATAGAAGCCCTGAAGATATCTCCTCCATAAGGTAGGGTCTGTGTGGACTAAAGCAGATATTGGGTATGTGAGAATCTCCATTTATTTTCACAAGACCGTGGGGTGAAGGTTGCAGGACTGACTAGCCAGTGGATGGTGCCCTCAGGTGATAACTAGTGGTATAGCCACCACTTTTTGAATAAGAACCAAGGCTTCTCTTTACCCTTCTTTTATACACAGGAGGAAACTGAGGCCCATAGAGCGCATCGCTTTCCTGTAATCATAACAATGGTCACTAATCCAAGGTTTAAACTCAGGTTGCATTGCCCAAGGTATGTGGAGTCTAATCACTGAACTCTTCCCTTGGGCTTCTAGGAGGGAAATACTTTGTTCAAGAAATACTTGTTCATCCTCATACCACCCAGTTCACCTTCAAATCCTCCAGCCCAGCAAACCACAGATGATGGACCATAAAAATGGGTGAACACTAAAAAGCAAGGCTTTTTATTACATTACTAAATGTGTGAACTTATAAAAGTGATTAAGTGTGTAAATAATGCAGATTATTCCTTGAAATATGATATATTCCTACTGCATGGTATACAACAAGAAATCTAAATAATTTGGAAATATTTTCCACTATTAAAAACAATTATTCCAAAAAATGATTTTTCAAAGAGCGAAAGATACTTGTTATTCAAGGAGTGAAAATAGGTGACATTGCAACATGTGTCTTTGCTGTTTTCCTTTCCTATTTGTTAAAGGATAGTAGCCAAAATTAATAAAAGAATTGGTAAGTTATGTGAGCACACATATTACTAAAAACATATCAGTATATACACACCTGTAAAAATGCTCATCATAAATCCTTAGGGAAATGCAACTAAAAGGACAGCGAGATCCTGATGAACATATGAAAAGAGCTAACATTTATAATTCTTAAAAGAAGATTCTGTTAGAGTGAGGAAATACAGCCCTTACACTATGAGTAAGAATGCATAAAGTCACAATTAGTTTAGATGTACTTTAAGTCCTTAGAAAGTTAAACAATAAATTTGAGACATGTCTGCACTGTGAACACGTAAAATTTTCAGTTTCCTCAGGAATACACGGGTTTCCTCAGAATGTTTTCTTTAGTGTCATTGCACAGGAAATAAATACATTTCCCAAAATACAACTATTTTACAGTGAGAACTCTCCAATGCCAAAAGGGTATTGACTTATGGCCAGAGATTTCCCATGTTCACCTCACACTTGAAGTCTTTAATCAGTGAACTGTGATTAAGGTGACCATGACTCTGACATTAAACATTTCTTAAATTTGATGGCCCTATACGGCCTATCTCCTGTGTAAACTCTCTAATGATATGAAAAGAGAAAACATAGAAAAAGAATTTCCCACAGTCACTATACTCATAAGGCCTTTCCCCAAAGTGAAATTTCTGAACATAGGGGGTCTTAGTGCTACAGGAAAACAATTTCTCATATTGCATGAATATATAAAACCTACCACCAGTGTAACTTCTCAGAGGATAACAAAAGAAATGGCTAGACACAAAAGATTTCCCAAATTTTCTCAACTTATAAGAACAAGTGATTGTGAATTCTCTAATGGCAATGAAAGCCATAGTTACTGGTAATAAATTTCCAATATAGACAGCACACTCAAAAGGCATTTCTGAAGTGTAAAATCTCTCATCATAATGGAAACCACTAATACAAAAAAAAAAAGACTTCCCACATTCACTACAAGCACAAGGCCATTCCCTACATTGAACTCTCTGATGACAACTGAGGGGACTGCTACAGATACACGATTTACCACATTCACTGCTTTCATAAGGCTTTCTCCAGTGGGAATTTTTTTTAGAATAATGAAGATTACTGATTTAGAAAATTTCCTACTATCCTGGCGGGTGTAGCTCAGTGGACTGAGTGCTGGCCTGTGAACTGAGTTTGCCAGGTTTTGTTTTGTTTTTGTTTTTTTTTTACCTTTAGAGGGTATGGGAAGGAGAGAAGGTGAGAAACATCAATGTGTGGTTGCCTTTCATGCGTCCCCTGCTGGGAGCTGGCCTGCAACCCAGGCATGTGCCCTGACTGGGAATCGAACAGCGATCCTTTGGTTTGCAGGCCCGCGCTCAATCCACTGAGCTACACCAGCCAGAGCTGAGTTTGCCAGTTTGATTCGCAGTCACAGCACATGCCTAGGTTGTGGGCCAAGGTCCCCTGTTGGGGATGTGCACCAGGCAACACAGATGATGTTTCTCTCCCTGCCTTATACTCCCTAGAAATAAATAAAATCTTTTTTTAAGACTTTATTTATTAAAAAGTAAACAAAAAATTTTCCATATTCACTGCAGCCATAAGGCCAAAATTCTGTGTGAACTACATGATGACAATGAAATTTATAGTGAAAGATAAAACATATCTCACATTCACTGCACTCATAAGGCCTTACTTTTCTGTGAACTATTTGATGAAAATAAAGGTGACTGCTAGAGCTACCAGATTTACTACATTCATGCACTGATAAAGACTATCTTCTTTGTGAACTCAGAAAATAACAGAAAGCAGATCTACTGGTAAAAAAGTTCCCAACTTCACTGCACTCAGCCTTTATCCAGTGTGAATACTTCAGTGATGGCAAAAGGCACAGCTACTCATGTAAGTTTTTCCACATTAACTGCATTTCTACGGCTTTTCTCCAGAATGAACTCTATAGTGTTGAATAAGGGCGGATCTTTGTCTAAAGCATTTCTTACATTCACTGCACTCATAAGGCTTTTCTCCAGTATGAACTCTCTGATGAATATGAAGAATAGAGCTACTGGCAAAAGATTTCCCACATTCACCACATGCATAAGGCCTTTCTCCAGTGTGAACTCTTAGATGACACCGAAGGTCAGAACTATAGGTAAAACATTTCCCACATTCACTGCACTCGTAAGGCCTTTCCCCAGTGTGAACTCTCTGATGCTTAAGAAGAGCAGAGCTCATGGTAAAAGATTTCCCACATTCCCTGCACTCATAAGGCCTCTCACCAGTGTGAAGCCTCTGATGAGAATTAAAGTTTTCTTTCCTCTTAAAAGATTTCCCACATTCACTGCACTCATAAGGCTTTTCTCCAGTGTGAACTCTCTGATGACAATTAAAGTAGTATTTCCTTTTAAAAGATTTCCCACATTCACCACACTCAAAAGGCTTTTCTCCAGTGTGAACTCTCTGATGATTATGAAGGACAGAGCTCCTGGTAAAAGATTTCCCACATTCACTGCACTCATAAGGCCTTTCTCCAGTGTGAACTCTGCGATGACAATTAAAGTAATATATCCTCCTAAAAGTTTTCCCGCATTCACCACATTCATAAGGCTTTTCTCCAGTGTGAACTCTCTGATGATCATGGAGGGAAGGTCTACTGGTAAAAGATTTCCCACATTCATTGCACTCATAAGGCTTTTCTCCAGTGTGAACTCGCTGATGGTAACGGAGGGCAGAGCTACTGGTAAAATGTTTCTCACATTCACTGCATTCATGAGGCCTTTCTCCAGTGTGAACTCGCTGGTGGTAACGGAGGGCAGAGTTACTGGTAAAAGATTTCCCGCATTTACTGCACACATAAGGCCTTTCTCCAGTGTGAACTCTCTGATGATAACAGAGGGCAGAGCTACTGGTAAAACATTTCCCACATTCTCTGCACTTATAAGGCCTTTCTCCAGTGTGAACTCTCTGATGACATTTAAAGTCATATTTTCTCTTAAAAATTTTTCCACATTCATCACACTCATAAGACTTTTTTCCAGTGTGAACTCTATGATGATCATGGAATGCAGAGCTATCGGTAAAAGATTTTCCACATTCACAACACAGAAAACACTGTCTTCCTGTAAGGAATCCCTGGTCTTCAACAAGTGTATGGTTACAGTCAATGGCATTCTGGCATTCTATTGCAGTATAATAATTTCCTGTACTTTCAAAAGTCATTCCAGACTTAGAGATTTCGTTTGCCCTGAACAGGGTGTGAGTAGCCAGTTGCTTGAGAGGTTCTGAGCTGATGAGGAGGTCTTTTCCAACCTGACTAGAGGTACGAGGATTCCATGACATATGGAAATTGCAGCTCTTTCCAAGTAAGGCCTTGTCCACACTGCTTATGAAACAATACTTTGTTGTGTCCTGCTCCTGGTGCTGGTGACTCTGTGCACTGAAATAGAATGGTTTTGCACACGCCCCACACCTCAGCAGTGTTGAGCCCTGTTGTGTTCCCTGCTGGTCAGCCAAGAAGAAAATGTCTCTCAAGACTGGTCCACAACTCTCACAGGGGTGGCTCTTCTTGGAAGACAAAGCTGTCTTGGGATTCTTCGCTTTCGAGACTCTTAGAGAAACGCTCTGTTCAGTGAGAGCCTCCACATCCTCTGCTCCACAGCAGCAACCTGAACAAAAAGAAAACACTAGTGAAGTTTAGTGACCTATAGGAAGGGGTGTTCTCACCACAAATTTGCATCTTTCACAGGCAAGGCATTATCCTATGCCATCATTTTCATGACAACTAAGATAGACTCTGAAAAAGTGGTAGTTGTACATTATTAGGCAGCTTAGGGGAGTAAATAATGGGCACCTCATTATACAAAGAACACTAGGATAAGGTGGGTCATAAGAAAAAGAGGCAGGGTTTACAAGTGTTCATGATTGTCTGCAAAAGCCTTTCTGCTGGTGACATAAGGCTATGTAGAAGAATGTGAATATGCCCAATATCATGAATCAACATCCGCACAGTAGATGCTCTGCAAGGCTCCTCTGGAAATATGTAAACATATCAGTTCTAGCTGGGGTTGCTCAGTGGATTGAGCGCCAGCCTGCAAACCAAAAGGTTTGATTCCTAGTCAAGGCACATTTCTGGGTTGTGAGCCAGTTCCCTAGTTGCAGTTGTATGAGAGGCAGCAAATCGATGAATCTCACACACACCAACTTTTCTCTCCCTCACTTTCTCCCTCCCTTATCCTCTCTCTGAAAAATAAATAAACAAAATCTTTAACAAAAAATACAAAGAAAGAAAATGTGCACACTTCAAGGCTCAGTAGAAATTTACCAAAATTGGAGAGCACACCAAAAAGACTCCTTAGAGAAGTGGTTGTGGTATAGAGGTTAGAGAAGCAGATATTAGCCACGGCTGGAAGTCAGAGAAGAAATGATACCCATTAAAACTATCAAATAGGAAAAGTGCCAACACTGAATAAGGACATGTAGATCAAGTGTGGCCACTGGCATAGGTGACAACACGCAGTTTAACAGAACAGGTTCCTCATTGTGTTTTAACAAAGCCCTGGCATCACACATTCCCTAAGCATCATTCACTGATGCCAGACCTCCTGAGAGCCTATCCTGTCATGGCTGGATTCATGTTCCTTTTGTGATACACAAAGGACACTTTCACTTCCCTCCCAGTTGAGCAGTAACATGGACTACTGATGATGTAACTCCAAAAAGAAAGCCAAAGAGGTCAATAACCAGCACTGTTGTAGAACAACTCAGCACAAACAAACCAAAGGAAAAAGTTTGAACTCACTATGTGAGTGATGACAGAAAGTTGACAGGATAAAAAATTCAAATATTCCACCCCCTTCAAAAATAACTACACAATTTTGCCCTGGATGTGTGGCTCAGTGGACTGAGTGCCAGCCTGTGAAACAAAGGGTTTCCAGTTCGATTCCCAGTCTAGGGCACATGCCTGGGCACAGGCCAGGTCCCCAGTGGGGGGGGGGGTTGTGAAAGGCAACCACACACTGATGATTCTCTCCCTCTCTTTCTCCCCCTCTCTAAAAATAAGCAAATAAAATCTTTAAAAATAATAATAATTAGACAATTTTCCATGTTAAAAAGCATCCTTGAGGAAAGGGCTAAATGCTTAGGAGACCAGTTTTTCCAAAGAGCCATGAGTGTAGTATAAACAAAGAACTCACAGAGAGAATTATGTAATTCTATGTCTCAGTAAAAGTGGTTAGATTCAAAAGACAAGAGTGAGAACTTCCATTCCGAGCCACTGCTCATGTGCTACCATTGATTTTAGTGGCCTGGTTTGTGAAGACCATGGCAACCGTTTTCACTGAGAATTTCAGGATTTTCTGTAATATCTGCAAATTCCTTACAAACTTCAACTCAAAGAGACCTGTAGAGTTTGTTAGCATGGATATCAAGAGGAATCATGATGTGTCCCCTCTTGGGCACAACATTTCATATGAAGGAACAACACCAGTTTGTACCCAATAAAGACTCTAAAGCAAACTGCTAAGTATTTCGAAAACTGCCCTGGTCACTGAGGAGCCTACATTCTTCAGTACTCCTACCTCAGCCCATGGAACAGAAAGAAGAATGGTTACTGAAACTTATCTTCAGTACAAAACACAGCACATCACTCACCAAGCACTCTTCTATCCACATGCAGATAAGTTTGTCTGGTGTGGATCAGTGCCTTGAGCAGCAAACCCCAGTCCAGGCACACGCCTGGGCTGCAGGCCAGGTCCCCAGTTGGGGGTGTGCAAGAGGCAACCAACTGATGTTTCCCTCACACATCTATGTTCTTTCTCTCTTGGTCTCCCTCTCTAAAAGTAAGGAGTAGTTAAAATTCTCAGACAAAACAGACAACATCAAACACACTTGGACCAGTGGCTCAGTTAGTTGGAAAGTTGCACCGAAAGTTTGTGAGTTTGATTCCCAGGCAGGGCACCTACAGGAGGCAACCAGTCAATGTTTTTCTTTCACATTAATGTTTCTCTCTCTCAATCTCTTCCATTATAACAGTCAATAAATATATCCTCATGTGAACAGGTCCCCAGATGGGGGTGTGAGAGAGGCAACGGATCCCTTATTCTCTCACACATCATGTTTCTCTCCCTCTCTTTCTACCTCCCTTCCCCTTTCTCTAATAAACAAACAAACAAATAAGTAGATGTTTTCCCTCACTAATAAATGTGAAATCTATTAGGCTTCTGGTAACATTAGTGACCTCAAATCCGTCCCTATGCAGGTTGACTATAGCAGCTTTTGGGGCTGCAGGGAGAGAAGCTGTGCAAACAAACTAGCTCTGCCAAGTACAAGGTCTACCCAGAAATTCTGGGAAGCAAACGGTGTACACAGTCCACATGTGAGGACAGAGAAACCCCTAAGGAATTAAGGGCATGGGAAATGCAAAGCCTAGAACAGATCACCAGTGAATACGAGGGTGTGTTGTTTTTTTTATAAAAGTGAGAGTTAGTTGAAACCTTTGCAGCACCCTGCCTGGTGTGGCTCAATGGATTAAGTGGAGCCTGAAACCAAAAGGGCACTGGTTCAATTCCCAGTAAGGGCACTTGCCAGGGTTGCAGGCCAGGTCCCTAATCCATATCTCTTCCACATTGCTGTTTTTCTCCCTCCCTTCCCCTCTCTCTAAAAGTAAATAAGATCTTTTTTAAAAAAGTTTGAGCCCTGGCCGGTATAGCTCAGTGGATTTAGTGTGGGCCTGTGAACCAAAGGGTCACGGTTAGATTTTCAGACAGGGCACATGGGCACATGCCTGGGTTGGGGCCAGGTCCCAGCAGCGGGGCGCAGGAGAGGAAACCACACGCTGATGTTTCTCTACCTCTCTACTTCCCTTCCCTCCTCTCCTTTCCTTCTGTTCCCCTCTAAAGATAAATAAATAAAATCTTTTTTAAAAAAAGTTTGAGGCAATGAGGCAAAAAGAAAGACACCTGGGAACAGGATCAGAGGTTGACCCCACGACCAGCTGCTGCTGCCCAGCACTTCCTGGGTGCAAGTCTGGTCAGGATCCTTAGAGCTTAGGGTAGAAGAAAAGTGCAACCCTGAGGAAATGGGGTCGCAGGCAAGCCAAAGAAAACTGCACAGGAGAGAGACAATGTCTTACCCAGCGAAGATATAAGATCAAAGTTCTCCAGCATCACATCCAGGTACAGGCGTCTCTGAGCCTCATCAAGGAGGCACCATTCTGTCCTGGAGAAATACACTGCAACATCCTCAAAGGTCACAGAAACCTGTCAGAATTAATACAAATGAATCTGGAACAGTGCGTCTGAGACCCCATACTCCTACTTTTCCCCATGCCCAATCCCTCCTAAGGCCCCCAGTTTGGAGAGGATACCAGCACTTGGTGAGAGAGCTGCCTGCTGTGTCATCACAACCTCATGAAACACTTACTTCACCCCCCAGCAAAGGCAGGCAGGATAACTGGAAGTGGTGCAAATAAATGCCATCTAAGCTTGGGACCATGGCTGCAGGACCCCACTCTTCCAGCAAAGAAATTCCACTGAGTCCCAGATCATGCCTCTGAAACACAGCCAAACATGGCCATCACAAGTGGTGGTCTTATGCTTCACCCTTAAATCCCAGCACCAAGAACCCAGGGCCATCGGCTCACACTTACTGTAGGCAGTACACACCACTGTGGGATCTCTACCTGCTTCCCATCTTCACACCCCAGGTGGACTCTCTCAGTTCTGCCACCTTTGCCCTCATGCAAAAAAAGAGCCAGACTTTTGCACGTCTCCATCTTCTAATCTTACCTAGGTTTCCAGACTAATGTGATCAGCTGCTCACTGGATGCTTCCACTCACTGCTCTTTGAAACCTTTAAAAATGTTAACCACAAGAGCATTCTGATATTCCGAAAGAGAATTAACCTACCACCATCTTCCTCAGCCCAGCTGACGGACCCTGCACTACCACTTCAGCTGCGATGAGCAAGAACAGTAGGGTCGTTTTGAACACTTTCCTTTCTCTCCTACAGCTGCAAAATCTGAAACTCTACATGCCCTTCTTAAAAACGGAGGGGAGAAGTTGGCGGGTGGAGGTGTAAGAGGGTATAAGGAAGATAAATGGTAATGGAAAAAACAGAATTTAAAAAATGGATCAACAAGTCAACCTTTCCTTCTATCTCCGAGGCCCAGCTCTGTTCTGTCAGCAATCCTCCGGATCACAGAACTTGCCTGGCCCTGAGCTCCCTGCCTCATCTAATTCCTACAACCATTTTTCCACTCTGCAGCCAGACGGAGCCTGTTAAATCCAGGAGAGACCAATACATTTCTCTTATGCAAATACCCCATTATCTCCATGATGTTTTTATCATTATCAGTTGGCCATTTTACAGGCATGACTGACCCCTGCCACCCAGCCCTCTCCTCGAGGTGTCCATTCCTATTCCCAGCTCTGTGTCATCTGCAAGCATTTGCATGGGCACCTATCTCTCCCTGGATAATGTTCCATAACTGCTTACACAGGTTGCCAGTGTAGACCCCCAAAAAAGCTGGGTGGCCAACATGCTAAACCTGGCCAGCTTAGGGGAGTCTTCTATGATGGCATTACAAACTGAGAGACCGAAAATACCTATATAGATGGTATGAAATTAAAACTTCCTAACTAAAAACAAGTCATGGCAAGGAGTCATGTCCCAGGCCTGGATCTTCTCTAAGGAAGGTCAATTTTTACTTTAACTGAGCTCCTCGTTTTATTTTTGCACAATGTTAACAAACCTTTGGAATGACAAGATAATTTCCTTTCTCCTTACCCTTCAGGACACAAATACGGCACCACGGCAGAAACCAAAAAGCTTGCATTGTTGTTATCTATCCTATTACCACCAATGTAAAAGAAGTGTGTGTCTATTCAATTTTACTTTCTATTTAATGGCAGAGAGTTTCCTTCTTTGTTTTCTCCTGCCTCCCACACCTATGACCGATAGGTGTCAAGTTGCCAACTTATATCTTCGCTTTTCATTCTGATGTATAAAATAAGTGCTAAAACTGCCAATTTCTGAAGCATGTTCTCACTCCGTTGAGATTTTGTTTTTAGTCAATTGTACTCAGTTTAGGGCAAATAAACATTTTTAAAAGTACAGGTTTGAATGTTTCTTACATTGACACCAGAAATAGAAGCATCTTGACATTATCCGTGACCTGCACTGAGAATTGGGGTAGTCCCAGGGTCCCCTCATGCGAGAGCTAGGAAATTACAAAGGGAAGTCTTTAGACACTATCCAGTAATGTAACTACCAGGTAGGGAGTGCAACACCCTGTCTTTCCTCGGCTAATTACATAATGGTTTTCAACTTCAGAGCTTGTGGGAAGACATAGTCAACCACCCTTCAGCTCCAGGTAAGCAGGGTCAGCCTTACCTGGGTCCAGCCTTGGAGTCTAGTGACGCCCGGCCAAGAGTCTCAGGGCAACCTGTTACCTGCTTTGTGACCTGCACAAGGGATCCTCTTCCTGGGCCTCACTGTATTCATTACTCAATTCTAGTCAGTTATCTATCTGAGCAGAATTCTAGAAGCTTTGAAAACCATGATACAGCCTGTGTCCTCTCGGTTCACGATCTCCTCAGGCTCCCAGGACTCTCAGAATATCAGTGCAACCCCTCTGATTTCCAGTTAGATCGTGACTCAGCCTCAGACTGTTTAAAGCAGATGTAAGGCCGAAGTCAGGGTCCCTGATCCTTCTGGTTCAGCAGCACCTGGGCGTCTTTACACGGTGGCCCCTCAGCCAGCTACTCTCTCCCGTTTCCTCACATCTTTTATCCCCATGATCCCACGCCAGGGCCTCGACTTCAGGGCCTGACAGGCGCCCAGCGCCCGATGCAGGGCTCGTTGGGAGGAGGTGGGAGGGCCAGGGGGAGGTACACTCACCTCAGCCAGGCACCTCAACGTGGCCACAACCAGCGGACTCTGTAGGTGGGGCGAGGCTGGAGGAGCAGGCAAGGATGGGGAGCCGGGCATCAGAGTCCCCATCCTGGAGGAGGCGCGTTCACCTGAGCAGAGTCACAGAGCCTCACAATTGCTTTTGTGCCGCAGCAACCAGGACTCTTATTTTTTATCACGGGGATCTTTTCCAGGAACCAAAGCTGAGCCGCCTCTGACAGGTGCGGGGATTCTGAGAGCAGACCACGTGTCTATTGGCAGGGCGACGGAAGTCCCGCCCACATACGCTTGGTACCAACCGAAAAATCCTTTTCCGAGCCTTCATTGGGTCAGCCTTCCCAACAGCCTTCTGGGCAATGTGGTTCCTAAAATCCACAGAGGTGAAATGGGTTTTCCCCGCCTGATTCCAAGATAGAAGGCCCAGACTCATTGGGAAAGGTACAGGTAAATGGCTCGGCCTGGTCCAAAGTGATCTTGAAAATGATAAAAGTAGCCCTGGCTGGTGTAGCTCAGTGGATTGAGCGCAGGCCTGCAGACCAAACAACCGTGGTTCGATTCCCAGTCAGGGCACATGCCTAGGTTGCGGGCCAGTTCCCAGCAGGGGATGCATGAGACGCAACCATACATTGATATTTCTCTCTCTCTCTCTCCTTCCCTTCCCCTCTAAAGACAAATAAATAAACTCTTTAAAAAAAAAAAGAAAGAAAAGAAAATGATAAAAGTAAAAGGAGGTACTCCTGTAGTACAGGGTCTGGAAAGTTTTATCAGACAAATGACCTGCGAATACCATCACATATATGACCAATATAACCCAAGACAAACCTTTGAAATAAAGATCTCAGATACAAAATATGAACTTTAAATTCAATTGCTTGGTTACAAATGAATCAAGAAAAATAACTTTTTGTAAAAGAAACATTCTTTTTCTTAAAGATTTTTACACAGAGGGGTATGGTGGAAGAAAGAAAGGGAAACATCAATGTTTGGTTGCCTTTCCCACACGCCCTCCTAAGGACTTGGCCCACAATCCAGGCATGGGCCCTGACTGGGAAATGAACCAGTGACCCTTTGGTTCACAGGCTGGTGCTCAATCACTGAGCCACACCAGCCAGGGCAAGAAAAATAAAATTTTAAAAATGTGGTGGAATTGAGCCCTGGCCAGTGTGAATCAGTGGATTGAGTGCTGGTGTGTGAACCACAGGGTCATCAGTTCAATTCCCAGTCCGGACACATACCCAGGTTGATGGGCCGGTCCCCAGTCAGAAGTGCCAGAGGCAACCACATATTGACATTTTTCTCCCACTCTTTTCCCCTCCCTTCCCTTCCATCTAAAAATAAATAAATAAAATCTTTTTTAAAAAAGTAAATAAAGTCAATTGTTTACTTATAATCAATTACAAATTTTTTTAATATTTTATTTTTAGAGAGAGGGGAAGGGAAGGAGAAAGAGTGGGAGAGAAACAGCAATGTGTGGTTGCCTCTCATGTGTCCCCTATGGGGACCTGGCCTGCAACCCAGGCTTGTGCCCTGACTAGGAATCGAACCAGCAACCCTTTGCTTCACAGGCCTGTGCTCAATCCACTGAGCTACACCAGCCAGGGCAATTATGAAATTTTTTTAAATGGGAGAATTTAATTCTAACAAAGTTACTGGTGTTTATTTTTTTCATTTCAAAATTATCTTGGCCGATATAGCTCAGTGGATTGATTGAGTGCTGGCCTGTGAACCAAAGGTTAATCAGTTCAGTTCCCAGTCAGTGCATATGCCTGGGTTGTGGGCTAGTCCCCAGGAGGGGCCATGTTAGAGGCAACCACACACTGATGTTTCTCTCCCTCTTTCTTCTTCAATTCCCCTTTCTCTAAAAATAAATAAAAATCTTTAAAAATATATTATAAAATTTTTAAATGATATTGTGACTATTATAACAAAAAACTCTGGGATCCCCAGAGATATTTAAGATCATTATGTCACATATTTCTCACATTCCTAATGGAATAAAGACCATAACTGTAAATTATATTTAGAGTAAATAAATAACATATTCACACTGAAAGTTAATATATGTTTACCTCAGAAACTTAAAAAGCTCATACTAGAATTAATAAAAATGTGGGCATATATATATGCACAATAAATATCAAAAATCAGTAATTCTGTAAGGAGCCTGTTTTCTTAATAATCTATAGCAAACATCACACTAAAATGTAACTTGAAACCAAACTTGAAAAATAGTAAACTAACTAAATTAAAGAAAACCTGAAAAAAATCTAAGAACATACCAGATATTATTTAAAACTCACTTCTCAAAAAAAAAAAATATACAGTATTTCCTGCTCCCTGCTACTGGCCCAATGATCATAAAATGGTCTGATACTATATCCAACTCACTAACATAGGAAAATTGTACTGCATTTTTATTGTCCATGGAAGAGCAACCTGATCTAATCAAATCCTTCTTGCTTCTTTGAATGAGAGCTCTTAAAATCCTGAGGATCCACATACTTGCCATTTTGGTGTGCTTTTTTCACATTTCAACTGCACTATCTCTTCAAAATTTACTATAATATGAAATTTTTTTTCCCTTCTGAGCTAGCCTTCAATAAAGGCTTTCAGGAAACCTGATTACAAACACCTTTATCTACTCACTGATATGTAACACAGACCTAAAAAAGCCTCTGAAGCAAATGAAATCATCAGTAAATTATTGAAATGAAACATGATGCCATGTCTCTCCTTCCACTCTTCAAAATTTCTCTGCTCACAACTTACTATCTTTGTTACCTATTTTTTCCTGAGGTTCTCATAAATAAAATGGATTCACACTTTGTAGAAACCACAATTTCAGGGTAGCCAAGTTTCCAGCAAAGTCATACCTCAGAATAAATCTTTTGTTAGAGTCAGTGTCCAGCCCTAGTTACGGTGGCTCAGTGCATTGAGTGCCAGCTTATGAACCAAAGGTCACCAGCTTGATTCACTGTCTAGGGCAAATGCCAGGGTTGCAGGCCAGATCCCCAGTAGGGGGTGCACAAGAGGCAACCACACACTGACCTTGCTTTCCCTCCCTTCTCCTCTCTAAAAATAAATTTAAAAAAATAAAGTGAAAAAGCAACTGTTAAAAAATATTTTATTAACTTACATTTACTTATTTTGAGAGAGAGAAAAATATTGATGTGCAAAAGAAACATCAATTTGATTCATTTTTCAATTTCTGGACAAGATGGAGGCATAGGTAGACACACTGTGCCTCCTCCCCACAACCAAAATAAGGACAACAAAAATTGAGAAACAAAAAAACAACCAGTACTGACAAAAACTGAACTGTATTGAAGTCTAACAACCAAGGAGTTAAAGAAGAAACACTCATCCAGACCAGCAGCAGGGGCGGAGTCAGGAGGCCAGGCAGAGTGCTTGCTGCAAAGCCGGGGCTGGCGAACCCTAGGCACACAAGGTGGCAGCAGGCAGACTTAGCGAGGTGGTGATTGGAGGAGCGTGGTGCACAAGGTGACTGGAGGACTGGGTGGTCCCACATTCACATGCAGATAAACCAGGCGAAACCGGGGAACAAGACAGACCTTGCAACCCAGGGTTCCAGCCTGGGGAAAATAAAGCCTCAAAACACCAACTGAAAACACCTGTCGAGGTTAAGGTGCCTGGAGAGACTCCTAGCCTCACAGGAGAGTTCACTGGAGAGACCCGCAGGGTCCCAGGACGTACACAAACCCACCTACACATGAATCAGCACCAGAAGGGCCCACTTTGCTTGGGGGAAGTGGTGCAAGTGACTGAAATGCAGCAGAAAGTGGAGCAAGCACCATTGTTCCCTCTCGGCCCCTTCCCCACATACAGCTTCACAACCCAGTCACTGGGTTGCCCAACCCTGGTGACCACCTAAGGCTCCGCCCCTCATTGCGTAACAGGTGCTTCAAGACAAAAAATAAAAAATAAAAAAAGGCCCAAATGAAAGAACAGATCAAAGCTTCAGAAAAAATACAAATAAGCGATGAAGAGATAGCCAACCTATCAGATGCACAGTTCGAAGCACTGGTGGTTGAATTTGGTTACAAATTAGATGAAAAAAATGAAGGCTACCCTAAGTGAAATAAAGGAAAATGTACGAGGAACCAATAGTGATAGAAAGGAAACTGGGACTCAAATCAATGGAGTGGACCAGAAGGAAGAAACAACCAAACACAAAAGAATGAAGAAGCAAGAATTCAAAAAAATGAGGAGAGGCTTAGGAACCTCCAGGACATCTTTAAACGTTCCAACATCCAAATTATAGGGGTACCAGAAGGGGAAGAGGAACAGCAACAAGTGGAAAACTTATTTGAACAAATAAGAAAGGAGAACTCCCCCAATCTGGTAAAGAAAATAGACTTTCAGGATGTCCAGGAAGCTCAGAGAGTCCCAAAGAAGTTGGACCCAAGAAGGAACACACCAAGGCACATCATAATTACATTAGCCAAGATTAAATTGAAGGAATCCTAGAAGCAGCAAGAGATAAGGGGACAGTTACCTACAAAGGAGTTCCCATCAGACTGTTGGCTGATTTCTCAAAAGAGACCTTACAGCCCTGGCTGGTGTGGCTCAGTGGATTGAGCACTGGCCTGTGAACCAAAGGGTTGCTGGCCAGGTCCCCAGTAGGGGGCACATGAGGAGCAACCACACATTGATGTTTCTCTCCCTCTCTCCTTCCCTTCCCCTCTGTCTAAACATACCTAAATAAAATCTTAAAAAAAGAGAGAGAGAGACCTTACAGGCAAGAAGGGGCTGGAAAGAAGTATTCCAAGTCACAAAAGACAAGGACCTATATTCAAGATTGCTCTACCCAGCAAAGCTTTCATTTAGAATGGAAGGGCAGATAAAGTGCTTCTCAGATAAGGTTAAGTTAAAGGAGTTCATCACCAAGCCCTTATTTAACATATGAAATATTAAAGGGACTTATCTAAGGAAAAGATAAACGTGCAGTAAAATGACAGCAAACTCACAATCATTAACAACCACACTTAAAACAAAAAAACAAACTAAGCAAACAACCAGAACAGCAACATACCCACAGAAATGGAGATCACATAGAGGGTTAGCAACAGGGGAGTGGGAGGAGGAGAGAGGGGGGAAAGGCACGGAGAATAAGTAGCATAGATGGTAGGTAGAAAATAGACAGGGGGAGGATAAGAATAGTATGGGAAATGTAGAAGCTAAAGAACTTATCGTATAATACATGGACATGAACTAAAGGGGGGAAGGTGGGAGGGAGAGGGTGAGCAGGGTGGAGGGAAGTGAAAGGGAACAAAAGGGACAACTGTAATAGCATAATCAATAAGCTATATTTTTAAAAAAGAAAGATTAATTGTTTCCATCTCGC